CTTTGCACAGTCCAACACCTCACATATTTCTTCTCGTGGTGTGAAAGGATGAGACCTTGCGCGTCTACTCTAAATATACACACGAGGATTCAGTAATCGCTGTTAGAGACGCAACAGAAAAGACTGAGCGCACTCAACCTTCTATTGATAAAGTATAAAATAAATCTTACTGTATCTATTTCCTCTCGTAAGTCAAGGTGGTGAGATAAAACAATTTTAGCCAAGGGCTAGCGACCTAAATATCAACCGTTTACGTTAAAGAACAAAGTTCCGGAGTTAGAAATTTGGCAGGAACTCTTCAATTTCACAGACTTTTATTCCGGCCTGGGTACAGCCTCCTTTACATTAACCCTTTCACTCCCAAGAGTGCCATATGGCACTTTGGCGTGACCGTCACGTTTTCCCAAGAGTGCCATATGGCACTCTGAAAATGCATTTGTATTAACCAATCCTAACGTGTGATATAAATGAGAAAAAGCCCTTCTTTGTCTTTTAGCCAATAGGAGATATCCTTATGTTTCGTTTGACACAAAACACGAGGTAGGTTCCCATAGAAATATTTTTCACAATCGACCATCGAAAGTGAGTAAGCGAATTTCCGTAACCTTGCGTTATTATGGCGTCCGATTCTGAAGGAGATGAATTTTTAGGCTTCGAAACTGAGTCTTATTTTTGAAATGTTCTTTCTTCGGAAGTTTATCTGTATGGATACAGATAAACTTCCGAAGAAAGAAAATATCAAAAATAAGAAGGAATTCAAACAGGCCCCACCAAAGGATGTTGCAACGTGTAATATGTTTGCCCAACGGTTACCAACGATATAATGTTTTTTTTTTGTTTTTTGCAGATACCTTGAAGCTTTTATCCTCACTTACGTGGACACACATCATTTTTTGATTGTCGTTCATGGCGGCAGTGAAAAATGCGCCATCAAGGATGGGCTAGGGAAAAAGATATATAAAAAACTAAAGGATGGGTAATCCAAATGATTTTTGATAAGCAAACAAACATGATATAGATTCCTTGACGTCAGAATTCTGTTTTCTCACTCATGAGTCAGTAAGAAATTAAAAAATCAAAGCTTTTATTCTCACCTACGTGGACACGCATCACTTTTTGATTGTCGTTCATGGTGGCAGTGAAAAAATGCGCCATCAAAGATGGGCTCGGAAAAGACATATAAAAATATATATATATTTTTATAAATTTTTTTTCCGAGCCCATCCTTTGATGACTAAAGAATGGGTAATCCAAAGGATTTTTGATAAGCAAAAAATATGATATAGATTCTTTGACGTCAGAGTTCTGTTTTCTCACTCATGAGTCAGTGAAAAGTCAAACAAACAATCGAAGAGAAACTCCATATCTACGCACGCCCATGTATTATTCTCTATTTCTTTTCCTTTTCAGTTTCCTGGATCGCTTGTCTAAATGCATCATCTTCAAACTTAAGGCACTTGGTCTTTTCCTCCGTCCATTTCTGAAGTGAGTGTAAATATTTGTTGTATCCGTTTTGAAAAAAATTTAGACAAAGAAGGATTTGACAAGCAAAAAACACAACTATTTCATATGAAAAGTTATTCAGAGACGATATAATACAGTTAGTAATGTTAGCAGGACTTAGTGGAATTCAATTCGGTCTGTAATCATACGAGTGATAACAAAAGCGGACGAACGCGACGAGTATGATGACTTACAGCTGATTTAGTGTTAACAACTGAGTTGAAAACGTAAATTAGACACCGTAAAGGGTAAAAAGCTGACGTTTCGAGCGTTAGCCCTTCTTCAGAGCGATTGGAGGAATTGCGGGTTGTGGGTGAGTTTATATGCAGAAAGTGGAGCTACGCTGTTGGTGGGAATATGGTGACGAGAAAACAGGAATAAATTAGTTGAACGAAGGGCTAACGCTCGAAACGTCAGCTTTTTTACCCTTTACGGTGGCTAATTTACGTTTTCAACTCAGTCGTTAACACTAAATTACCTACTATACTCTCTCACCGACTCAGCACCACAGTTTTTTTTTAGAAACTTACCTTTACTTTATTTATTTATGATTACTTACAACCGAATTGGACGACACAAAGTCTTATTATCAACTAATCAAAACAATTACAATTTCTGAGAAAAGAAGAAAAGCCTTGTAATGAAATGAAAGAAAGGGAGAATTTGCATTGATCGACTGACAAAGGAGGCGTAAATTGTTTAATGTCGCTCTTGACTTAAACTACAAAATTGGAAAGTGATTGGCTAATTGAAATCTCCCTCCTCCCCAGCGCTTAACAATAAAGCTCCCCTGTCCTCTCCTGATTTTAATCTGAAATTTGTTCCATGTTTTTGCAGTAGAGAAATGAAGCAAAGGATTGCTATGACAAGGTCCAAAAGGTACCTTAATGATATCCAAGGTGAGACTTCTAGAACAGGGTGGTAATCAATGTAGAGATATCTAAAATACATGCTGGAATAAAGGTGGAGGAAGGGGGGGGGTCAATTATTACAGCAAAGAGCAAAATCACTGGTTGTTAAACCGTGGTAAATCAAATAATTTATGGGTAGCGAAAACTTTTTTGCAAAAAAATAAAAAAAACCACATATTTATTTGAATGAAGCCGAACCTAAGCGGCTGAACTTTCTCTAGTGACAGCTTTCACATTTTTTTCTGCCATTTGTTTCCAGGTATACCGGATTTTGTCACCAAACACTTTTAACCGTGCATTTACCATGAGTTGCAAGTTTGAAACAAATAACGTAAAAAAAGCAAACAAAAAAAAAACAATGGTTAAGCAAAACAAACAAATAAATGACCGAAATTCTAATTGGGTAAAAGCTCAAAAAAAGGAAGACAAAAAACAAACAAGCAAAAAAAAAAAAAAACCATATCAGACTTAAAAAAAAAAGGAAATTCAAAGCAAAATATATTAAAAAAAAAAAAGAAACAAAAAATAATGGCTAAAGAAAAAACAACAGAAAAAAAAAGATAAAACACAAAATAAAACACAAAATAGCAGAATATGAAGAAAACGAAAAATAAAGGAAAGGTAAAACTAAATCAAAAAAAATAAAACACAAAATAAAACACAAAATAACGTTCGGAATATGAAGAAAACAGAACACAATGAGCATCTTTTGAGCTTCGAATTTTTTACCGACCTTTTTACAAAATGTCCTTGTACAGAAAAATATTGCCTCACTTATTTCGTGATCGAGTCCGGCCCCAAGGCGTTTATGGAGACAGCCCCAAGGCGTTTATGGAGAAAAAATTTCAACTGTTCACCTGGTTTGAGTTTCCTTCTTATGTATCGATCAAATCGAAGCTTCGATGTCCTCCCGCGGACAAACCCCTGGGTATTTGAGCTGTTGAACATCGGTTTATGCAAATCCCCTCCTCCTCCTCGAGGCAAAATTGTTCAAATGCCCCACCCAGCCAACTTTTTCGTAAAAGGCAAATTCGACAACCGTGACTTTCTACTCCTCGACCAAATCTCCGCTGGAAAGACTTGACACTTTCGGTTCAAACTCTCCACCCCAGCCAGGCAAAGGTTCAAATTCCCCAGCCCTGAGCACGGACGACGGTCAAATGCCAGTGGGTTGCCCGTGAGATGATGAGATGAGAAATTGTCTTTAACTGTTTTTAACTTTGCGCATGCGCATGATTGTTAATAAAACTTAAAGCAAATCACATCATTACCCCGCGAAGGATATCAGCCAGGCTTCCATTTTGGTCTTTACACTTATTGATGATAAAAGAGAAATTTTAATCCAGAAAACACGAAACTTTCCACTCATCTAAAACCCAATTAATGGTCACATTTAGAATATTTATTATCGCTGAAAAGGGCACGTCATCACTATATGTCACGACAGCGTGAAGAAACTAGTCGAAACAAATTACACTTTCGCCGCATATTTAAGAGGCCCTGCGCCTAAGAAACGACCGATGATTTCTGGCTAAAAATTAAAATCGGCCGATTTTTATCTTCCAAGTAGAGGTTACCTAATACTATTTAAAAATGAATTTCTTTTGCTTCAGTTTCGCTGTAAACCAAAAATATCGAGCCGCGAACTTGTTACGTCTGATAGCAGCAAAATCTGTCCCAAAATATGCCCTTTCAAAAACCGGTTCAAAAATACCTGTCGCAACCCAAAATAATGAGAGAACTACGCAGTTATGAAGAAAAAGGCCTTGTAATGCAATATCATTCGATAAACATCGAAAACCTGCAGAAGCGAATGAAAAATAAATTTTCAAATATTGCATATCAAATTAGATGGAGCGTTGGAGATGATTTAAAATAATTATTTCTACAAAATCCAACGCTGTTGATAAGCATTCACAGTGATGAATCAGACATTAGAAGGATACATATTACGTTTCTGGAAAAAAAATTTTTCGGCCAAAGTATATTGACCTTGTACGAAGCGTTCAAATTTGCAAAGTTTACCGTTATGTTGCTACTTCGGTGAAACACTTTTCTGTTGCCATTGGATGTCATGGATAGCGTGGTGAATGTCACTTTATGACATTTGTCACTTTAAATGTCACTTTATCTTGATAGTTTTCCCTGAAGTTTCTTTGTACAGAATCTGGAAGTGAAATGTTCATTGAAATCCGGCCGAATTGAAACTCATAAAAACGCGTATTTTTTCACATCACAATTGGAAAACGAACTGCTTGAGGCACCTGCTTTATAACGACAGCCGAATTAACAGGAACTGCGCCTTAAAACTCGGCTACTTTGACCAATGTGGCCTTCCATTCAATGATTCGGAAAGGATATCAGAGCAAGCTCTTTTTAGTTCACCCGAAGGGCGGCCAATGAATTAAACAAAGAAGATATAGTCGCAGAGATTTGTTTCGGTAAAACAGCACAACGAAAGTTGGTTGGGAAGATGTGTCTAAACGGCATTTCGCGTTGTCTGTAATAGAATTGTCAACTTGTCGGTTTAAATTCTTGTGAGGTTGTCGGCCACCTGCAAATATGACAACAGGCACTTGTTGGCGATAAAACTTGAACTGGCGCAAAGAAAGAGCAGGTACGTAACAAGATCCGCCTTATCCACCCTCGCCTCGTTAAAAATGAGAAACATCAGGGCAGAGAAATGAAGCGACAGAATGGCGGGCAAATTTTTTGGTTTCATCGCTGCGATTGTGTTGATTGTACTTCAGTCGGGACAGGAGGTGTTGGCAAGCGGAACACCTCAACCGGAACAGATTCACATATCCAGCACAGGTGGGGAAAATTACTGTGATGTCTTTTTGTTTGAACTTCAGTCTCTGTCAGCGTTGTCACGGGTAACTCCAAACCAAACTACCGGAGCAAGGCAAAGATGAAAGCGCTTCTTGTACCATTTGATCGATTAGTCTCTGTATTTAGGTGACTGGAACGTGAATGAAGGTTACGGAATGCGATTAAAAAAAAATCTCTTAACAATATGGCGCCGTACATTTCATAATCCATAACACTCAGCTAACTTTCCCAATTTTACAACAAAGATACTTGAATCAAGGCTTTGTGTAACCTTAAATATTAGAAACAGTTGAAAACTATATTACGGTAAATACGGGACCATATTTATGGTTGAAGTTTCTCTCTACGGCGACAGACTGTTTATTATATTTGTCAAAACATCAGACAGGTTTTTAGTTAAAAAATTGAAGGAAAGGTTCAGAGATATATTTTATATTTCACGCTTGTGTCATATTGAACTTTTTTAAATGCGAGACAAGATATATAACTACGGCCTAAATTTACTTCTGCTCAGAGATTTCAAGACATTGTTCTGAATTTGGTTGGAATTTGACTAAAGCCGACAAAGCGTATTACATAATGCGTGGGTTCGTCCAGATTGTGAAATGCTAAAGGAGAAGCACGGGAAAAGCGACGCGTGAACTTTGGTTTGCCATTTCTTATAATCCTTGTTAGAAACAGAAGTTATAAACATGCACAAGCACGGAAATAAAAGCACACAAAACTTTCTTATTTGCTTTCCTTTATTTTTATTTCGGAAAAAATTAAAACAGGGACTTTGTCTCTCTGCCGGAGTACATTAATCAGTCCTTCGGTTAATCTACTTCTCACGGTTATATTGCACTTGACGAAACCTCAACTTTGTCTCTCTAAGAAGACTTGTGTTTCTTGGTTCCACTATATCATTGAAGTCTCGGTTGCGTTCTTTTGCAAAATTTGTAACCATTCTTTAGAAAGGTATGGGGTAGAAACTATTTTGAGAGTAGAGAAATGTGCACGCCCAAAATATCCATGAAAATCTTTCAGGTGACCCCACAGAAATGATGATCACGTGGGTGACGATGGCCGAGTCAGTTAAGAGCGTTGTGGAGTATGGGGAGAGGTACAAACTACCGCTGAACATGAAAACATTCGGTTCTGCTACCAAGTACAAAGCTTGTGGCTGGAAGAAGCGGATCATTTATATGCATCGAGTCAAGCTCGAAGGATTGACTCCGGGTTCTGGATATGGTAAGGATTTCTTTGTTGCTACCTTAAAAAATTTTCAATTTCGAACAAATAACAAAATAACTAGCAGTTCCAATCAGAAAAGGTGAAGGTAAAGCACTTTACAATTATTGATAGATCAAAGTGATCAGCGGGAAATTATAACGAAAATCGCAGGAAAGCGTCGACAACCGAGTTGTGATTAGTCCTAAACTTCCTTCTGGTTGGTTACGTGGATAGTGCAAGCTTTTTAAACCAATGAAAGAGTGAAGAGAGTGAATTGAAGCAAATCCGACGAAGTCCCAGACCTTTTTCGACATTAACCTCTACCTGTAGCTGGTTTTTTCTTTTTCTTTTAATCACATTCTAACTGTTACGAATTCAAATACTTTTTTTTGTTTCCTTAGATTATCGAGTTGGCAGCTCAGATGGCTGGAGCGCCTTGTACAATTTTAACGCCACAAAAGCTGGAACGGCCTGGCAACCGAGATTTGCCATATATGGAGATCTAGGAGTAGACAACGCCCAGTCTCTCTCCAAGCTACAGAAGGAGGTTCAGGGAGGACAATACGATGCCATTTTGCACGTTGGTATGGACATCTACATCCACACAAAACTGCACATCGCAACTGATGCTAAAAGGAGGAGAAAACAGGCCATAGAATCAAGCCTAGAATTTTTTCTGATATCTGATAACATACTTTGTAGAGGCCCAACCTTCTCGTGTTCCCGGTCACGATTTCAGCTCACACTATTCTTTTAAACTAGCTGTACACATTTTTAACTTTTTCTTTGATTGTTCCTTTTCTAACTTCTTCTGCAGGCGACTTTGCTTACAATATGGAATCAGTGAGTAGAAAAAATATTCTTGTTATTGTATGCAAGTAATTTAATTGCCAATAATTGGTAATTAATCTAATTAACTGCGTGATTTTCCACTTCTACCTTGGAAAAAGATTCTCTATGGTTTTTCATTTGTGTCTTTTTGCCTGTTGAGTGGACCCCGATCAATATTATTTACACATCAGTAGGGATTGTGTGTGTAAAAACTATTACCCACTTTTCAGGATAATTCACAAGTAGGAGACAGGTTTATGAATCAAATAGAGCCGATGGCCGCGTACGTTCCTTACATGACGTGCCCTGGGAACCACGAACAAGCTTGGTAAGTTTCCGCATGACTTCATTTACAACATTTGTGATCGAACTGAAGATTCACTTTCAGGTTTTTTTTCATTTAATCAACGCCCAGCTCTATTATAGTTTCACTTCTGTTACCGCGCTCACCATTTATAAAACGTTATATGATTCCAACTGAATTAACGGTGCCAATCAGTGCAAAGACCAAAGCAAGCCATGATGACCACAAATGCAGATATAATTCTTAATTCATGTTGTCAGATTTGCAATTTTGTGTAAGAGGAGTCTTTTGTGAGTCTCACTACAAAATTGGTCATATATCTTCAAATAATTGGAGTTTTTATCTAATTTTTTCTGTTAAGAGATCAAAAATTAGACATACCTGTACATTCGTAAATACAATATTAACTAGTGACTTGGACTAAATTTGTACACCGAGCCGTTTTGAAATATCCGCAATAAGTGTGGTGCTTCCTTACCCAGAAGGAATGAGCAAGTCTAGCTACAGGAGTCATTTGAACTTGGTGCTCTTGTACTCATTTTCAATTAGCAACCCAATGTTAATTTTACAAGTACGAATATCTCAGTCTTATCCGCGTTTCTCTTTTTTTTTGTGAGAAAAAACCTCTAAAACATCCTAGTTATTTTCACGCTTCTTTTTACCTCCAGTAACTTTTCCAACTACAGAGAGCGTTTCAGTATGCCTGGTGACACAGAAGGAATTTATTACAGGTAGGATGCCGCCATTGCGCATGCGTCAGTTTGTCTTGTTCACCTGACAACCCCTAAATTTGTCGTGTTTCTAAATCTTAGTCAGTGCCTTTTTTGACTTTTGATTTGATCCAACTGATCGCATATGATATCCAACGTAAAATGTGTTCATTTTCTCTCCCTTGTTCAGTTGGAACATTGGACCAGTACACATCATAAGTTTTAGTACAGAATTGTACTACTTCCTTGAATATGGCATGGAACCTCTTGTTCGGCAATACAAGTGGCTTCAACGAGATTTAGAGGTACCAGTCTCCTTTTGCTATCCACTTCAGCTGATCATAAAGCTCTTTGAGGGCCGTTATTTATACTAGTTATAAAACATTTTCGGATGGTATTCATGGGAATTTCCCCCGAGTCACTCAAAAAAGCACGAGAAAAGTGGAATATTTCATAGTTTTTTGTTGCATACTTATTTTCTACAATGCCACGAGAAAAAACATGTAAAAATATAATCAAGACGAAATACGCGGAGGCTTTATTAGTATGACGTAGTTTAGTTTGTGAACTGAGTTTGTAACGTAAATCGGCCACCTTAAAGAGTTTAGAAGTTGACATTTCGAGCGTTAGCCGTCCATAGCTCTGATGAAGGGGTAACGCTTGAAACGTCAGCTTTTAAACTCTTTACGATGGCCAATTTACGCTATCAACTCAGTTGATAATATCAACTTACCCTGTTATACTCTCCAACCGACGTAGCACCACAGTTTCTTTAGAAACTTACTCCCTTTCTTCAATAGAATGGTTTTGACAATTTTTTTTACACTTTATGTATCAAAATACAAAGAATTTGTGGCAAATGGATTCATGATATTAAAACACTTGAAAATGCCACTTCGTAATTTTTTTCGACGGGAATATGATTACAGCGCACGATGGAAAGGTGGGTGTAATACCTTCGAATACGCAACTTATTTCATGTCATCTTATTGACTTTATTTTCTATTGTATGGACAGTTTCCAATTGCTTTTACGTGTACAAAAAGTATAACGTTGCTTGTGTTTGCAGGAAGCCAGTAAGCCAGAAAATCGAGCACAGCGTCCCTGGATAATAACTATGGCACACAGACCCATGTATTGTTCCAACGCTGTGGGTGACGGCTGTGAAAATCACGAAAACGCTGTAAGTAATTCAAGTGACATACTGTTATTCGAGCAGCTTCCAGTTATCTTGATTGACTTGCTTGTTCCTGGCTCTAACCTACTCAACTTGCATTTTTCACTCAATCAGTAACATAAATGATAAACTTAAGATTTCAATCACATTTAGGTGATATCGTCAAACCCAGAAGACTACGGGGATATGGTTCTTTTTTGCGCTGAACTCATAATAGCTGCGCGTGTCTTTAATCTTTTACTCCTAGAAGTGATTGACGTGTAACTTCTTGCCAGCTATAATAGCCATACATTATCCTGAAAACTGGTAATGAGAAGAATTTGTAAGCTTGATTTAACTCCAAGTTCTCGTAACTAATTTACGAGGAAATGTGCCGTAACTAGAGGGGAGAAGTAAATATGAGATGTTGGGAGTTATACGGTTACTTCAACTTTTGTTACTCTAGATTGATCTGGTCCTGAAGATAACGCACTACACCAAAAAAAAATAATATTTCTTAATTCTCTTTTTTCACGCGCAGATTTCTTTATCACAGTAATGTCGTTGCAGACTGGGTCGAATAATTCTTGAACAAAAGGCTTGCACAGGCGTCTTTGAGAAGTTCCATTTTCGACATACAACTTTGATTAGTGTCTGAATCTTTGTTTTGTAGATAAGGACAGGATTATCGTCGGCGAAGCTGTTTCCTTTAGAAGATCTTTTATATAGACATGGTAATTATTTTGCGGAAACTCCGTCACATTAACCGTATTCTGTTAGTATTGTTGTAATCTTCATTCTTTGGTTGACACGCAATGGTCCATCAACCTTATAGCAAAGGAACTCGTGTAGACATTGTAAGCAGAATTTCTTCTAGAGTAGACAACATGAATTTTCTGCCCTATATATAATTATGTGTAATTATTTAAAGCCGCCAGTATGGTACATGCATGAGCTATTGTAAACTCGACAGAATCGTACACACATTTTCATCGGTTATCACACACGAGATATCGATGGACATATGCATAGATGAGGTCATTATCGGCAACTTTATCTTGCATGTAATTTTTTACTTGTCTTTTTTGTTATCCAAGCTTTTGCTATCGTTTTATTATTAATCTATATAATTTTGACATCACTTAGCTATGTTAATAGACAGACTCACGGCAACACGGAATGTTTAGCAAGCTTTTCTTCAATTTTTCTCCTTTCTTTTTGATATAATTGTTAGGGGTGGATGTAGAGTTTTGGGCTCACGAACATTCCTATGAGCGCCTTTATCCAGTGTATAATCATCAGGTAGATCTTAGACCACATGACTGTTTAATTTATGTCAATCAGTAACTTGTAAGTAAAAACATTTCTTTTAGCAGGTCTTAATACTATTGCTTCACGCACGTATGACGGAACTCACAGTATTAACTCAACAACAGAGCATATATGATTCAAATTAGTATGTTTACGTAATCCACACAAAATCCATATAAAGAAACGTAATTCTCGGGTCACGCAGTGATGACGCAGAAACGTTACCCAATAGTCGCGCAGTATTGACATAGAAAAGTTCAGTGGGACTGGTTCACGTCCGGAGTTGTCCTTTCGCCTAATGAACCTTTCATTTCCATTCTCATTCCATTCCCGTTCCCATTCCCATTTCATTACCGTTTTCATTCTCATTCCCATTCCATTCCCATTCCATTCCCATTCAGATAGTTTTCAGACTTTTTCTTCCCATCTTATCCTGGCTTCTTTGTTGATTGTCTCATCTGCAAGCTGTCTCACTCACTGACGAGTTAAGTAATTGACCTTTGGCCCTGACTCCCTGATTAACTTTTTGATTGAATTATTAATTGATTGATTTAGATCCGGAGCGGTTCAAAAGAAAAGCCATACACCAATCCAAGGGCACCTGTACACATCACCACGGGATCAGCGGTAAGAAAAACATTTTAAACACCAAACATTATTTCCTCAATGACTTAACCCACTGAATGAATTGATTCCCAGTCCTGTATGGAGTTAAGTTTACAAAGCAGCAGTTCAAATTGTACAAAGAAGTAGCGGTGGTCAAGATTAATGGTAAACGATTCGTAATAATGATACCCGACCCACCTCTTCCCCCTGATATAAAACGTACTGACCCAAACTAAGCTGGTTCAAGTCAGAAATTGGATGGTCCGCTCTCCTCATAAAACAGCTTTTCTAATAGTTTTAAAACTTAACATTGAAATTGAGTTAACTGTCCATACAGTTTGTCCAACCATCGCAGGTTAGATCAGAGCTGAGATTCTTACGTTCATGATAAGGAGGTTGTATTATACACGGTCTCAGTTTGTAAGCGGTTATGATGGACAGATAACTGCTTGAACTTCTTTGATCATGAAAACATTCGTGCACAATCTTGAAACACCAGTATATATTTATTTTATACAAATTTGTTACAGGGATGCAAGTATTGCCATGACAAATTCAAGAGAGATTACGGTCCTTGGACGGCGTTCCGCACACTAGATTATGGGTACACCAGGGTACAGGTGTTCAACAGCAGTCACATGTCACTTGAACAAGTCAGCATAGATAAGGTCAGCGGTAGCTGCTGTATTTCGTTATGGACATCATTATGTGAAGTGTGTGTGCTCGATCACTTCAATTAATAACTTCGATGGAAAGCATTTCGTCTTGAAGTTGCAAAGTACATTCGATGAATCGATCACAATATCTAATTCGCGATTTAGCTCTTAATGATCAAGGAACGCCATAAGCAGGATTCGGTAAAATCTTCACCGTCGTGAGGTTTGATTTGCGAAATACCCCCAAATAAAGAAAAGGCTTATGGCTTTGAACAGACAAATGGACACTATTGCAGAGAAACATTCTATTTACATTCTTACTAGCTTACGCGAAGCCCTTCGTTATCAGCCATTCAGCACAAGCATTCTTTCTCCTGTGAGAAAGTTTGTGGCCTTAAGCAACGCAGGACGGCGTCGCAGCGAGAAGTGTGCGAGGGGTATGGTTCTGATAATAAGGTGCCAGACCCCTCGCAGACCTCTTACCGGCTCGATGTGCTTAAGAAGTTCAGTTTACCCACCGGTGAAGAAACACACGTGATGTAATGTAATTTCAGTCTAATGTTTAGTAACAGTTTATTTAATAAGGGTGCCATGTGATCACCAGTACGTCCTGTTTGTTGGTTCTTTTTTCCTCTTAGATCGTACGATGAGATCTCGGAGCTCAATAGATACTTGGAAATGAATTATAACTAGTATTGGATGTTCTTTTAACTTCGAAATATTATGCTATTCAGATATAGCACAGATTCAAATTTCTAATTTCCATAACTGAAGAAAACTAATTATTTTGTTTTGTTCAACTGTATCTTTAACCACAGGACTACCAAGTAATAGACAGAATATGGATCATCAAAGATAAACACGGTCCAGAGGCCTGGAAAGGAGGAGAAGATAACACCGAGACCAGTGAGGAGACTGATGAGAAAGTGTCGGAACTTCATGTAACATCTGTGGAGTGACTCGAATTTCGGGGAAACCTGTTCAGACAGTTGAAGTCGCTTTTGCGAAAGTTTTTGCAAGGAATCAGTTACAGTGATAGAGAAAGTCTGCTCCGCTAGTTACCACATGAGAAAGTTCGAGTATTTGCATATCGCAAAAATATGAGTTTTGTGCTTGCTGATAGTTTGCTAACAACGTCTACGAGGATCAATAGACTGGATTTTTCATTCCTACATTAGGGAACAAATTGTTCGAAAGAATGCGTCGTGATACGATCAAAATCAAAACATTTCTTCTCGGAGGGAAGTTCAGGTCGCTATCTCGTGGCAAAATATATGTGTCTGGTGATCTTTAAACGTTAAGTTTTTTCAGCACGTTAAGGCCTGTTCTGGTCATCGGTTGAAGATACTGCTTTCAACAACTCAAAAATTATATCTGTAAATTTGTGGCTGGTCCATACAAAATAGCTTTCAAATCGTAAGGAAGTTATGACCCCTTCTTACTATAAATAGTTTGCACGTGATTTTTTGACGCACAACTTTAAAATACTTTCAAGCTAAGGCGGACTATTGAGATTAACTAACAATCGTGTCGCTGCTTCGTCGAGCTTCCCTTAAGCTTTAAAATAAGTTTGAGGATCGTTAATGGGTACGAGTCAAAAACTGACTCAACACTTCTGATTGATAACAGAAGACATCTCCATAATCACAACCTAGTTCTGCTGCGCCGCGCTGTGTCCTTCTAAAGAATTCTTCTTCACCTTCCTTACTTTCTGAACTAGCTTACCCAAAAGGATATTAAATGATAAAAAGTAATGGCCTGATTCGTATTCCTTGGCCGAGCTTAGAAGAAACAGCAAGAATAAGAATGTGCGCAGTACAGTTGGTAAGAAATAAAACATAGAGTTTTCATGGAGTTGAGAGCGTGTCTGTAAAATACACAGCCGCAGAAGTTGCTTCCAATATCTATCGCAACCTTTACTTGAAAGTCTATGTCAGGCAGCTGTGCACACAACATAACAGCTTTGAATAACCAGGGAAACCGATGTGAGATGTTAGTATTGCTTCTGATCTAAACTTATTACTTGAATTTCGCCACCTTAACTTGAAATAGTATGCAGTACAAGAGTCATTTAAGTTGGCTATGAACTTGCGAAAGTTTGGTGAGCAGTATTGCTTGTTTTCGGCTAAAGTGGTAGAAATCTCTTTCTCTCCGTGACAATCCTCTACCCTGAGAATTCGACGTAGCGCAACACATTTAGCAAGGAAATTTGGGCATGCAATTACCAAATATATTCGACTGCATAACAGGTTACATTAAAAATTGAGGATTTATTGTGTACATTGGACAATTTAACTAAAAAAACTAGGAAGCTTTAACAACTGCAACTTCCCACTAAGCAAACGTCCGCCACACCCCGAAAAAAGAAGGCCCCCCCCAGTTCATTTGCTACCATGTACGCGCCTCCTGTAACTAATAACAGTTCAGACAACCTCGTTTAAATTAAGTAAAATACACCATAGAAAATAACGGAAAAAGTTATTTTCCATCAGTCACACGGCTGGGAGACATTTTCCTATAACTTCTTGGAAGAAAATCGAATCCCGTCACGTTGTTGAATGAAAAACCAAATCAGTCCATTCGCATGTTCTCGGATGTGCTCACCTGGACACATTTCTCGCGCGGATTTTCTCGCACTCTGATCGCGGGCTCCGAGTTCACATGCGTTGGTATTTTTCCCATAACTCTCTTGTCCTTCCTCACGCCTCCATGACTCTTCTGTGCGGCATTTTCTTTCTCTCTTTACTGGTGTTTTTCTTTCCTTTCTTCTTGAGATACTGCTGCAGCTTTCCTGAAGATTTCAGCTTTTTGAATTTCTCCGCCAGCTCCAACTTCTTTTTATCAGCTATTTAGTAAGTAAAGAAATGAAAGGTATAGCACTGGCATTGTAGAGGACAACACACTGCGAACAATGCCAATAACACATTAAAAAGCCTTCGCAATTTCAAAAATTTGAAAGCGTACATGATTGGATCAAAACTCACATTTCTTGAGGTAATATGGTGTTTTCCCTTGCTTCACTAATTCCAGTTCTGCCTTCTTTCTCTTTCTTTCTACTTCTCTCTTTTGAGCTGCAGCTTTCTTCGTTGCTTCTTGTTGATCCTGGCAAAAAGACAGGACTTCAGATGAAATTATATGTACTTAAATGAATGGAATTATTCACATTATAATGGAACGACTTGCTTTGAAAAAAGGAATACGTAATCTTTTTTTTTTTAGAATCTTGGAACTCATTAGATTTGTTTGATTGATGTACATATAGGATCACTGTCACATCTGTCTTCCACTGGCTGTGAAAAGATAAGGCTCTCTTCATGTTCATGACCTCATTAAAAGTCTGCTTAAACCTTAAACTATCAATACATGATTGTTAATTGGCCATTTTACAGTTGTGTATTTAGTTACCAAGCCTTTGATTTGGAGTGAGGCTGAAGGTGACCTTGTTGTGATAGAGACCAGTATCTAGTTATCATGATAACAAAGTAATTTGCATTTGAAAAGCAAGCAAGGTTTGTATTATAACAAGGTCAATCTTGGCCTCACTCTTGTTCAAAAGCTTGGCAACCAAGGATGCACTGTACAATGGACTATTCTCCCCTCTTGCTGCTACACATTTCCTTGTAAAATTTTTACAAAAATTTGGTGTCAAAGCAAAGTAATAACTTCCACTTCATAAGCTTGGCTGTTCCTGTTATCTGTTTACTGGAAAATGTATGAATATTACAGGGAGAAGTTACATGTTCATAACTTCTGTAAGTTGAAGGGTAAGGAAGCTCTCGTTACCATCACCTTTAGTGCAATGTCTTTATTTTCTGTTTAAAGAGATCCAAGGGGAAGTGGGGAGGCTGGTAAATTGTACTACAAAATATTTACCATTCTCTTCAGTAATGACTCCAGCTGATGTTTTCTCTCTGGATGCTTGGTTTTCTGCATTTCTTTCTGTAATTGCTGCAAGAAAATCAAGAGAAATTATCACCTTCAAACAGCAAGTGTGCTTACCAGTAGATCTGCCTTGTTATGCATATAAGGACTTTGTAAGAATAGTTGTTTAGTACTTACGAAGACAATGAAGCTTCTGTTTGCAGTGGTGGTGGCAATGACAATGATAATAATAACTATAACAATGATGATTAAATTACAGTAAAAAAATATTTGATCAACTGAAATCAGATATCAATTGCTCACCTTCTTCTCATTTGCCTTTACATCATCTAAGAAGGAGTATGCTTTATCAAACATTTCTTGGTTGAAACTGCCTGACAATTCATCAAACCTGGGATCTCTTGCCATCTAAATCAATGCAATTAGACTGCTTTTCATCACAAAAATTTACAACCAGCACATTGTGGGGGAGGCAGTAGTCCTACAGTTAGCATGCTGCACCCTAGATCAAAGTGTCTTGGTTCAGGCCAGTAGCTAACTGCTTTCATGGAAGAAATACTCTTACAGTGCTGCTCTTCAGGGAGTATAATTATTAGGTAATGGCAAACAATCAGCGGGATGCAACAAAATTTGGGGGGTAAGCAGCAATGATTCCAAACTTTGTAGTAAACTCATGCAGAAAAAAAAAACTGGATAAGCTTTTATATCTAACAAGTAACTCTCATTTAAGAAATACTTCCCAGTGCTGCTCTTCAGAGAGTATAATTATTAGGTAATGGAAAACGATCAGCGAGACACAACAAAATTTTGGGGGTAAGCAACAATGACTCCACACTTTGTAGTAAACTCATGCAAAAAAAAAACCAAATAAGCTTTTATATCTAGCAAGTAACTCTCGTTTCCAGACTTTTCACACCCTTTCATGGTCTTTAATGTACAATAAACTTAATCTGATATGTACTACTAAACAAGTTTTTTTTTTTTTTCACTGGGTCATTAAAGAGTCTGCATAAAAAGGATGTTTTGTTAATTTCTAGACAATGTCCTTTAGGAAAAAAGTTGTATTGTTGTAATTTTGTTACATTATAATAATAATTTTAGTGGGAAAGGCTAATGTGCATAAGAGCAAAAAAACTCACTCGTTTTTTAACTGGAATAACTTGTCTTAGTCTAGGAACTGGTTTCTTTGATGACAATTCTCTTGGCCTGTAAAAATCATAGCATTTAATTATCAAAACAGTCTGTTCTCTATTTTATGAGCAAATTATTTAATGGAGGGGGAAGGGGGATAAAATATTCTAACTCTTTACCTTTCAATGTTTTCACATGTACTTTTATCATTTTTTTTTTCCAAAAACCTTTCTCAAAACAACTCTACATGTATTGCAGTACAATGTATATGTAGATGATTTGTCAGGCTGGCACGTTTCTTTTAGTCCGATGGGTCTCACAGTCAACATTTTCCTCTCTCACCTGTTTTTGTTTTCCCTTTTAAGTGACTTTGTTGTATTTGTTCCTTTCTTGTCAAAGAGACCATGAATTGCTTCATTGTATCTTGAAATGAAATAGTCCCAATAAGCCTTAAATATATTCATTTGAAATGAGTTGGCCTTAAGGTTCAAATGCTGAAGTTCAAACAACATCAAACATAGATGTTTCCTGCTCTAACTTGAGCTCAGGTCAGGCCAATTCACTTCAATTTGACAAATAGATAATTTTTCAAAGTTTAGATAGACGTACATTGTTGCCAGAGCTTATTGTTTTTTTTTTTTTTTTTTGGGCACTTCATATATGTTTATATGAGTATTGCTTTAACTACATCAGGACCATGTTGTTTGGATGCTGATCAGCATTCACCCAGGGTTAAATTTTTATCTTCTTTATTCTTTGAAGGGCATTCAGTCTTCAAATTGTAGACAAAAATAATTGTAATGAATTTTCTTTTAAAGTTTTCAGATCTTAAATCCGATTTCAGACTAACCCTGAGTTATCTTAGCCCAGCTTTGAACAACCTGGCCCAGAATGGAAACCCTGTTGAGTTGCTTACCATCCAGCATCTCATCAGGCTTCCCTAACAGTTTGTCAGAAGCCACTCACACTCCAGGGTGGAGAGTGGAGACACAAGAGTAGGTATCTTACCAAGAAACACAATATAATTACCCTGGCAAGTGCTCAAAGCTGCACTTTGGGCACCCAGTATCAACCATAATAAATAAATCTCCAATTTGGTTCCACAGGATTTCCCCAAACATTATTAATATCATTGCACCGCACACTAATAAATGTAAGTATCATTAATAAAAGTTTTACAGAAACCCAAGTTTTTGTTGGTTACCTATTTACTGTAAGTTAATGGCTATTGTGGTGAGTGTAATAATTATTATAATTTCAAGTTACCAAAGTATTGCAAATATTTATGTATATTTGTTATATAGTAATAAAAAAAGGGTTCTCATTTATAAGGTTCAGGCTGATGTCACTGTACTAATACTTCATCTTTTTCGACTGAATATTTTGCTTTGTATGAAATCAATCCTTTATTGACCCCTCATATGTCAGCTACGCCATACCTCTTGGAGCCAACTCTGTGCTTAAGCTCTTCAAGTTCACAGAAAGGAATCTCTGATAGTTCTTAAAAAGAAAAATGGAAAAAATTCGACATTTTTCCTTTCCTACAGTAGTATTTAAACGACTAACCAACGTTTCACGTGTATTAAAGCTATTAGGCGCTAGCCGTGACTCTTAAAAACTAACTACAAACAAGATAATTCACTTTACGTAAACTTCTAATTGTCAGCAGTCCATTAATCCCTTGAAAGACACTCACCTTCTTTAAGCCGACTCTGAAATAAAAAAAAATTAAAAGACACAGATTAAAAGAAATAAGCTTAGTTAACGAAGGTTATGAAATGGAAATTTTTCAAGAGCGACAAGTCTTACAATTTGGCCTTCTTCCTCCTCATCAGAGTTATCTGGGCTTGTATCATCATTCGGAGATTTTGAAATACTATCATTTGGATCATAAACATCCATGCTTCTTTAGAATTTCCCTTTTATCGAAAAGAAAAACAAGCGTAAATCGCTATGAAACACATCTACCTTCGGTTCGCCATCTTGGACGAGCACAACCAAGGCAGACTGGATCGAGAGAGTTTCCAAACTAGCATATTTCCGGGCTCTCTCGATCGTCTCAGGGAAGTGTAGAACGCCTGACAAAATCTTGTTATTGCTATGCATTTTCATCAATGGATCCGTTCAAAAAGGAATTCAAACGATACAAACAACGTCAGCCTCCACCAGACCTATCAGAAGTGATCGATTTTACTCAACCTGTTGGAGAACCCTTTAAGAAATGGGTAACCTGATATTTTCGTATCGAAAAATTTTGCTAACGTAACTGTGACTTCCGTGTCATCCAAATTGATTGGGTATCCTTGTTTGTATACATTACGTTTGTTACCACTAAAACTCTAAGAGTGACCAGCATCTAATTTCTCCCTAAAATATCACTCCTGAATCACACATTAAGGTCATGAATAAAGGAAATGGTCATCAGGGAAGGAACCTTTTGATTGGCAAACAAATTCTCCTCGTCAGCACCTTAGCAAATGTAAACAGAACAGTGTGGAGAATATGCATGCTGATGTAAGGGTGTAAAGGGTTAAATAACTTTCAAATTAGCCTATTGAAATGACTTAATTATATTTTTTAACAGGTTACCACAACAGAAACACATATTTCAGATGTAGCACGAACATCTGACTTTGGATTGCTTCCAAGTAACGAGTGGCGTGTTTATGGAATTCGTGACCATCCAGGTAAGCTGAATGATTCTCAGTCTCGTCTCTTCTGAATGGTTAATGCAAATGACTGGTGAACATTTTGAATTGACGCTGGTGATTTAATTCTAGATATACAGTCAGATTGTCAACTGAAAAAAAATCAATAGAAAGAAAAACTCATTTAAAACTGATTAATAACGGTAATTGCACTGAGTGGAGTGCAATTTGGGCTGAAATCATACACATGATTTCAAAATCAAATGAGCATGCAGTGCAAGTTCAATTTGAAATCACAAGTATTATTTCAGACCAAAATTGTATGACACGAGGTTCAACTACCACTTTATTACATCCATTTTGAAATCACCTAAACAGGACTTGGTCAGTTCAAATATTTTATTGATGCAGTACTAAGCCAGTCTAAAATTAAATTCATGTCAGTTTTTTGGGGGGGAAAGTAACAGTTTTGGAAACAAAAATTACAAAATTTGCCATGATACTCCTTGTCTTTCATTTTCCTGCAATTTGATTGCTTACTTTAAACAAGCCTTAAAATCTGATTGGTTGTTTTGTTTTTAGTGTAACCTCCTCATTGGCTGGGAAAAAGATGTGATTTAAAGCAAAAAAAGGTGCGATTTGTGAATAAATCGCACCAATTAGAGCCAATCAGATTACAGGGACCACTAGTGATTTCAAAATAGGTGTAATAAAGTCAGTAATCCATGTCAAATTTGCCATCATTAACCCTTTAATCCCTAACATCAGTATGCAAATTTTCCTTATTGTACTCTTTACATTTTAAGGTGCCTGCCACAAGAATTTTCTCAACAATCATGAGTTTCTTCAATTTGTTATAATTTCCTTAATTCTGGTGTCCTTAATACTTTAGTCAGAGTGATATTGTAAAGGAAAATTAGATGTTAGTCACTCTTATGGGTCAAAGGGTTGACCAGATTCTCTAAAAGTTTTTGCCAATCCTTGCCCATACATTTTGTGTTTGTATGCCATATAGAAAGTTATAGTTTTGGGCTTTTTTTTTTTTCAATTTAAAGGCAATCTTAAGGATGCTAGAAATTACTTAAACATCACAACATCACAATTTTTTTCAATTCTGTTTTCCCTGTAGGTTTTATTTTTATTTTAAATCCATTCTTGCCTGGGGCACAGTGGCAGTGGATTGAAAAATGTATCAAAGACTATCCTTGTAAGCCAAATTTGTGTAATCTAGATGCTCACATGGAAAGAACATGCACAAACACAATCTGGGATGAGAGCAGATCTTTTGAAAGGTAAAATGAGGCCTTGCCATTATATTCATTTTTGCCACAAGAAGTAGAGTGCACATTATGTACCAAATATCAAGAAATACTTTTTTCTTTCATTTTATCTAGTTTCAATTAAGTGAAACAAATCCTATATCAAAAGGTACAGGTAATTATTCATAATTTTTGTGTTGCTTATTTGCAGTTGTATGAAGAAGAGTTTACTGTACAAACTCCGCTGGGTTACTCTAGGATATCATTATAACTGGGATGATAAGGTATATGAATTAAGTAGGATGACATAGAAAGTGTTCCCATCTGAAGTAACAAAGAAAGATTCCTTCAGTTTTTGTGGAGAATTTTAACATAACTCAACTATTAATGAAAGCTAATTTAAACTGAGACATGGAATTCAACAATTTTGGAAGATGTTGCTGCTTGCAAAACTTATTGGAGAATGACAAGGAGGATTCATTAAGTAATATTTTTACTTCCACTCAGTGACACTTAAGTTTTATTGCAGACTTATAACAAAAAAAGACATACACCATTTCCACCTGATCTGGGACAGCTTATGGAATTCATTGCCACAACTTTACAATTTCCCAGGTAAATTTCTCTGTTTTCTTAGGCACAGTTTTGTGTGTTAAAAAAAATTGCTAATTCACATTATCAACTGATTGTGCCAGAAATTGTCATAATGCCTTGATTCCCAAAATTTAAGGAAAGAAGTCAAGGTTTCTTTAATGCTTCTTAAGTTTCATTGAATTTGACCTGACTTAAAATAAAAGGATGCTTTTTTTCTCAATAGTTTTCTCTCTTTTCCAATCATTCGTGTCTACAAAACATCAGTAGCTATACAGCCTGCATTTTGGAATATTTCAGCAAGTTTTTCAAATTTCTTCAAGAACCACAAGTGTGACTTACAAATGCCTATTCTTAGTCAGTAAGAAAGCCTACATAAATAGGCGTGTGAATATTAAAGCAGTAATAGAATTCAAGGGAAAGATTAGGTGTTATGGAACCTTTTTTTTGTTATAAGCTTCAAGCCTGAGGCTGGAATAATCAACTACTATCATCTGGATTCAACACTGTCTGGACATACAGATCATTCTGAGTTTGACCTCACAGCTCCTCTGTTCTCTTTGAGGTACGTTATGTAGAAGGGTAAGCTTAGATAGGGCATAGTTGGGTTTGTAGCAATTTGCAAAAAAATCCAACTGACTTTCACTCACCATCTCTTTTTACTTTTTTCACTGACCAAGACCATGGCTTAGACTAAGTGTCCTTTATGAAACACTTTGAACCTGGAGTTATAGAACTTTTGACAAAAATAGGGGAATCAGAACTCTTGCTAAAATGGTTTGTAAGAAAAAGTGATGAACTTTTGATAGCCTGTCTGTTTTTTAAGGAATGAAAATGGTGTGTTTAAAATATAATTATGCGGTTGTACCATGAGGAATAGTAAACATGAATTGAAGAAAAATTAATCAAATCATGGCTGCGTTGTCAAAAATAAAAAAAATCAACTGTTATCATTATTGTAATCATTATTATTACTATTATTATTAGTAATAGAAGTAGTAGTGGTAGTATTTAAATTTCTCTTTCTGCAGCTTTGGACAAACAGCAATCTTTCTTCTTGGCGGGAAAACGAGGGAGCAGGTGCCACTCGCGATGTACTTGCGCAGCGGAGATATTATGATTATGGCGAGAAACTCACGACTGGCTTACCACGCTGTACCGCGGATTCTTTCATCACCAACACACGCAGGCGCACAAAGCTTGCCACTGTGCTTAATGAAAGATAAAGATAAACCAAGCGAGAATTGCAGCGAGAAGGATGATGTTATTCTTGAACACTACCTTACTTCTTCGAGGATAAATTTCAACGTAAGACAGGTTTTAGCACCAGGAAAGGAATTTCCAGATGAGGGTCTCGAGGAAGAGTGACGATTGCGGACGATTTGCCCCATTCAAAGAGCAGGTTTTGAAATGAAACCATTCTACTAGGAAGAGGGCAGTATCAAGTACTCCACCTCTTGACGTGATTCGAGCCATCGTCGTCAACTTACAGCGCCAAATACGTCGTCTTTTTCGATGCGCGAGACCTGCTTGGTGTGAATGAGAGAGTTAAGAATTAACCTCGAGAAATTACATACATATACACATGTTGCTTCCCTTCACGTCTTTCGCGTGATGTGTGACGTCACAAACGCCTATGGGTCACGTACTGAACGCGCATGAAGCAATCAACTTGTCACGCATTGTCGGTGGCGACTAAATTTTTTGGGTGATTGGAAAATCGGAAAGAGGTGAAGAAAAAGCCATCGACTTGCCACAGTGGCTTGCCTCAGCCAGGTAAGGTGTGAATCTGCTGGGAAGTAGTCCTTTGGTCAATTTACACTCAGCTGAAAATATGGGAACTGCTCTGCTCTAATTGGAATTATATTTGTAAACAATATGTGTCAATTTAACGTAATATTAAATGGGACATTCTTAATGAAGATTGTGGAGTTATATTTTCCATCAGCGTTTAAGCTATGGAAAGAAGGCTGCTCATCTTATTTTTGAGTGCTTTAATTTTGTTCGATGTGACGGCTACTTTTCCTCTTTTCCGTGGCCTTCGCGAGGAACATGAGCCGCAACCTGAAGCTGAACTTAAAAAATCTAGTGGTGTTATTATGGCTGAAACTCGTTTGAAGATAAAGACAGATTTCTCAAGAAATGCGCTTGATCTTAACAGCGAGATTCACAGGCATCGCGAGCATGGGCGTGGGTCGTCATTACATGCGCGTTTAGCTTCAAGGGATGAGAGTAAAGCTCAAAGAAAGAAGAGATCAAAATTCATAGCGCTTTCAATCTTCGGTGGATGTGTGGCTTTCATGTCGCTGTCGTTTGCCATAATGTGCTGTGTGCAACGCGTTAAGGCTTCGGCGAAGCAAGTGAAGGAAGCGACGCACGTGGACGTGCGCCCGCGGCAAGAGGCTGACCTCCCAGGGCAGGTCAGTAAGATTGATGATGATGCAGTACATATCGACGTGGGGCAGTATTAGTGTTGTTCGATTGGACAAATCGAGTCTTTATATGCAAGTCATAGCTAACCAAAGCAAAGAACCGTGTACCTGTCTTCGAATATTTTATTCTTGTCTCTCAGAGTACAATAGCTATATTTTGAACCGTATAAACAGTATTCTGAGGAACCTAGACTGTCTTTGTGCTGGGCTAAAATATTTCAAGGCAGCCGATCGTACAGAAGATCTAGCTCGCGAAGCAGTGTATTTTAAAATTACAACCGTAACTTATTATTCTCGTAAGTTATCACAACGAGGAAATAATAAATATCTATTTCTCAAGATAAATGGCTATAGATAGCTTTATACAGCTCTAACTATAATCCATCGAGTATTTCAAACAGCGTGCGATCGGTTTTTGAGTGTCATGTGACCAAATATGTCCTTGGTAAAACGAGAACTTTTGGTGTTTTTTCCAACGTGATACTCACCAATTTTGAATCTTTGTACTCAACGGGATGATGGACTTCCTTTATATACCAAAGGAAGCGACCAACTTGTCTTTTAGTCATACAAAAGAACACTGTAAAGTCGCTAGCACATGTTCTCGTTAAATAGAGGCTGTCGTTTGTTTATGTGGCATAAATTATACCTTTCCCTCAAATTTTTTCCATTACATGAACTGTTGTGAAGTGGAGAGGTTTTGATGAAGTCTGTCAAAGGTGAATTTCTTTCATCCAACATAAAAAGTATCCAATTGATTTCTGTCCAAGACAATGGGTTCCTCCTCCAGTGAGGTCGCTCAGAGCTATGAACTGAGAGTTATTTCAGTAACGTTTTGAGTTGAATACTTCTTAAAACACCATTCATATATGTATTCCAAATCACTGGAAATGTCCCAAAGCGTATATCGATTTAGTCTATTACCTCCTGTTGAAATATCAGGCTGAAACATTTCCCTCGCCTTTGTAATTAAAAAAAAAGTGATACGAAAATAACTGTCAGGTTGAAATTGACATTAGCTAGGTTGATATTCTGTAAATTCCTATTTGCGTATTTTATAGGAAAATTCATTACCAGACGTGGGAATCCCGCGTTAAATTGCACGCGAAAACCGATATCGCGCGAATCGCGAAGCGATGAGTAAATATCATCTATATATCTTGTATTTATTTATCTCTGGGTTGGGGTAGTGGGAAGGGCGGGAGGATTTTGGTTGTGTCATGATAGAAGTTACCTGATTCCTCTACAAGGCTCTTTAAAAAATTCAAGTGATCCACCTTATTGGTGGTCAATTCTCTATAGTCCTCCCTTTATACTCTGTTGGTAACAAATGACACTTCCCCCTCTTCCTCATGAAAACCATGTGATCCCCAAAAAATCCTCCAGCCCCAAACCCTCCCTTCCCCTTCCCCCTTCCCCAACCCGGGCGGTAGATAATGACTAGTCTATAAGAATGAGTTTTGGGGGAAGTCTGACGGGTCTTCAACATGTGACATCGTGTCTTGCGGTCCTTTGGATACAGAATAATTTCTTTGAATGTTCATGCAAAACGATGTTATAACGATGTCAGCTATCGGTGGATAATTTTCTAACTGAATTCAGTGTGATTTGGAAGAAGCTGTTCCTCCTGCGTTCGAGGAGCTGTCGTCTTTCTTTGTTGTGAGCTCTCCTCAGTTCGTTAGCAATTTCACAGAACCTTTGATAAAATGTATTCACCTCCTGTTTCAATTGTTGTCGCAGAGACGCGAAATGTTTGTCAGGTTCTGAGTTAAACGATAAAATAAATAGATGAATGAATAAATGAATTAGTATTAAATGACTGGTAAAATAACAAATGGATAAACATGTATATAACTAAGAGTTGCGTGCTGGTGTACCTTTCCAACAAACGTTGCCGATTGCAATGCTTCTGCATAGTTTTGGTTTAATTCATTAATTGTAAGTTAGCACAAAATATGTCTATGTTCCTTTCCGAGTTGACGTCTTTCGAACTTACTTATTATGGTTGAGTGCTGTTTCACTTTCCTGCAGTATATCTGACCCACCAACCCGCAAAGGAGTGCAAAGCCCAAGACAATCGTCAGAGCGAGATAGCTGAAAGAGAACTGGGAACTATCCGGGTCAAACAATCCGCCACTTATTTCCTCTGCGATTGATTCTTCGTGAGGCTGACACAAAAGAGAACCGAAAATAACATTCAAATTGGATTCAATGAATAATGGGAAATGTTTTCAATTAAAGGAATGCTCCCATGCAGAAATAAATGGGAAAATGAATAAAATAAATTATATTTTTCAGTGCCTTATATTCAGAGATGGACAGTTGGGCACCGATTTGAAGGCAGAGATAGATACAGAGGGTTGGACTGGGCAGACAGAAAGACAGACTGATAGGCGGACAACTTGACAGACTGACAGACAGACAGATAGACCGACAGACAGCTTGACAGACTGAGACAGAAAAACAGATAGCTTGACAGACAGACAGAAGCTTGATAGACAGACAGACAAAAAGCTTGATAGACAGACGGACCGACAGACAGCTTGATAGATAGACAGACAGACATCGGCACATAGGTGACACACAGGCATACAGAGGGACGAATGGATGGACGGAGAGGCGTGAGAAAGAAGGACAGTCAGACCTATAAACCAGTAAAAAACAAACCGCGAAGAAAGACGATCAGACAAAACGAACTCCTTGAACGAGTTAACTGTAGCGAATGAAGAAGGATGTGCTTTGTCTGTAGTAATTTTTCTGATAATAAAATCAGCATACCACAGGAATCCTTATTGTTTCTTCTATCTTGTGGTAAATCTCCCATTTATGGAACTTCGCGAAGTCAAAGAAACACTTTTCTAACTTCATTGACGGTCCTGCTAGAACCACTCCGTAAGTCTTCTGGTAGTCGAAGACCTTTAATACTCGTAAATCGCGATTGGAGGACAGATGCCTTTGCATGGACAGGACATACACGTCAATAAGAGCGCCTTCTACCTCTTTGTCTTTGAGAGCTTTGTTTATGGCACTATATGTATGATACTGTTGAACTATGAAACGGAAGAAAAGGGTAGTTAATTTAACTAGGAGTCAACATTTCATAAATCAAGAAAGTACTGTATGTTACATGCCACTATGCTATCAATGGAGAACATCCGCGCAGGATGGAAAACCAAACTATACATCTTGAGAATCTGGGGGAAAGCAGCTTGAAATCCGACCTCTTTTTGCATAAATTTTGAAACTGAAGTTTAAGTCTGGCAAAAGAATTGCTCTCGGTCCGAACTAAAGGTTATTGCGATAAAAATAACGTTAAATCAAGCCCCTGCCTCCGAGATGGATTCGCCATTTTCAGCCGGGTTAATGGTAATAGATAGAATCGCGGAATTGGACGCAGTCATACAGTAACGCGGCGGAAATTCTTAACAAACCGTCTTCAAGTGAAGAAGTAAAAATGATCGGTAGTAGAAGATGTCGTACGTAAAGTGGTCTGCAAGAGTTAAGATAGTTCTGAAGTAACTATGCCTACGTGTCGTACCTGGATTCATACGTGCCACTTTGCGCAGCCCAAATAAATATTCCGGAGAACCTTGGATGGCTCCAACCTAAAGAAAGTGTATGGCTTCAGTTTGGAAGGTGTCATTTGTGATGCTCGAAATTCATCCTTTTTAAGTAACTACGAGTTTTCGCCATACCCAAAGCCGATTGGGAGCTCGAAGGTATCTTCGGAGACTATAGGGTATTTTCGGATAATGACCTCGATTTCGCTTTCCATCGACATGATTGGCTGAGCAAAACGTAACATTTTCCATAGACGGATCTAATTATCACATCCTGTAATAGTTTTACTAGGTTCAGCCTTCCGCTCAGCGGCGCTCTTTGGCTTTTTCTGGAGTCAATCGTCTCTTCAATGACTGTGACCAAGAGATTATAAACTGTTTATATTCTCTCGCTGTAACTCATAAGATGAACTTACCTTAGCACCATAAACTTTCTTGTTGGTGGTTTTAAACAAAGAGTATGATATGAAAGCATTGGTCATATCAGCCAAAAGAAACGAAATCATGACAAGGCCAAATAGCGTCCAGGCTATCGCAAAAAGTCTTCCTAGGAGGGTACGAGGAACCTTGTCGCCATAACTTGAAAAAAATGAAAAAAAGACTACTTTTAACGAAAAACTTGGTACATACCCAATTGCACCTCTATTAAATGAGCGTTCTATCAGGAACAACACAGAAGTTTCGCACCTTACATTCTTTAGAGAACATTTCATTTCTCCATAAAGAAAAAATGCATTTCTTTGACTTTAGCTTTACCTCCTTCCACCGATCAGTTTGAAAAAGTAAATATTTCATAATCAAGCTAAAAAATATATTTTCAGTCATCGTGCTCGTCTCTCTTGTAACCCAGCCTTTTACCCCAAGATGATAAACTCCTCACCCTAATGTTGTGCATGTGATAAAGGACCACCAAAATCCTTCCCATAACCCTCCTATGAACGAACTTGGAAACTCCTCGGGGTTAGTTGTCGATTCCTATCAAATATAAGAGGGGAACACAGCAAACTTTTAAACATAATAGACGGGTATCAATTTTGTTAATTGTAACACCATTTCTAAGAATGCACCTCTCAAGTATTTATTCTTGAAAATATAATGTATTTTTAATCATTTTCACAATACTAGGATTTTATAGAGCCTCTACTACTGATAAGTCACTTAATCAGAACTAAACGAGCAAATTATGACTGAATTGTAGATGATATTCATTGCGCGCCCATATCGACAGTTGTGAGTGCTAATACGACGATCAACGGTACGCAGGAAATTCAGTATCTTCACTGAGATTTTTTGACGAATTTGCAGCTCTTCCAAGGATCAGTGAAAGTTAGTGAGAAGAAGCTTACTTTATTTTCGGTTGGCAATTAATGGCATATAAATCGCTGTCGACATTTGTGGCCTATCATGACTTATTACCTCTGTGAACTAACTCATCTCAATTTTCCAATATTAACTAAGAGAACACCGACCTCTAGATCAAAAAGGAACTTTGTGATACAAATGGAACTCATTCAACTTACAAGAACCCATATAACACTTGCGGCCAGCGCCATCATTAACAATGAAAGGAGCAGCATGGGGAAGCAGGCAGTGGCGACCCATATCACAAAACTGACTCTCTCTTCAGGTGAAGGCACAGGTACGACAAAAGCCACCCCGGCCGACTCCATCAAAGGTACATAGCGATACACCCCAAATGTAGACTGACCCCTGTACCCCTCTATGGGGAAGCTCAAGTCGGTCTCGTACTCAATCTTGTGTACTAACGACACGTTATCCTTTTCAGCGGGTACTCTTTCTCTGTCATGTTCATAATCCACTGAAGTGGCTCCGTGTCCATTGGTGCAAGGCAAACAGCACGTGCGAGTTGCCCAGTTTAATATAAATGGAAAAGCTCCTATGTAAGAACCGTTCTCAAGCTTCATGTAAGGAGGCAGGGAATGCCAGTTAGTTGTCATTCTCAATGGGCACGTGCAAGTTTCTGAAAGACAATAGTTAATGATAAGACTGATTTGATTCATTCGTTTCGCATCAAACAAGAGATAATGCGTTCTCCTTTTATACTGGTGCTTGCGACCATATTTTATTTTTCTATAAAAGACTTTGTTGACAAAATGTTTTAGGCTTCAAGCTTAATTCGAGCTAACGAAGGAGACTACGAGGAAAACATGAAGACAGTTTTTGACCATGAGTTGATGAGTATTGATCACAAGTTGTGGATGAAATATATACATACTACATCCTAGCTTTCGTTTTCTTTTTTTTTCCTCTGTCTCATTTTTCAGGCATTCTTTTTACAACTTCAACACACCTGCTATAATGCTTTGAGTTCCCGCTCCGTCCCCTTTCACTGTGAATGCTAACACTCGTATGTCATATACAGCATAGTTCAGAAGCCCTGTCAATGTAAAATTCAGTGCTGTTGGTTTGGCTGTTGTGGTTAATGTCGGTTGCCTCACGTCTTCTTCAGCTATACTCAGTACTCTGTAGAGGATGCGATATCCCAACAAGATTCCGTGCACAAAGCCCTCTGGGACTGGCTTCCAGGACACCAGAATGGAATGTGGTCCACTCAAGTTAACCGCGCTAGGTCCCACAGGTGGCTTGCTGGGGACTTAAAAACAGTCAAGTGTACGTTTCAACTGGTTTAGTGTTTTGATAATTTAACATAATCGTTTTCCTGACTTTATACACTTCACACTTCCTATTTATTTCTTATTATTTATTTCTTGTTACTTTGAAGTAAGACGAGGTTTAATCCTATACAATATGCGATTTACTCAACTGTAATAAAAGTTCACTGCAAACTTAGAAAATATTTATTTTTTATTTTATATCATACTCGCCAAACTAAGGATTGGTGTGCCTCAGCAGCAGCAAACCATCACGTAATTAGAATCACTAGGTAGTTGACCACGTTTATGATCAGTGGTATCTATATAATTAATACCACAGTTATTCCACTCCACTACATATTAACAACTATAATGTTTGCAATACACTTACTGTCCTCATCCGTGCTCACGTTATAAGTTAGGCTTATTTGGCCGTCGCCTTTACTCGTAAAGCCAACAATTTGAAAGGAGTAATAAGTAAACTTTTTTAGGTTGAATATTCTAAGAGATGTTGCGTTCGGAGGTAAGGTTCTAACGGTTTCGTTGAGAGTTTCGACAGATCTTATGCGCCTTCTTCTCCCATGATATGCGTTTGTGTGCTGATAGTAAAACACTCGGTATCCCAGGAGAATGCCATGAACTAGTTTCTTGGGAATCTGTTCCCAAGTGATCAATAGACTCGTGGAACTTGTGTTAGTTGAGGTGATATTCAGCGGTGGAAGACTTGGGACTAAACACGAAAAAAAGATGAAGAATGCTATCAAAATTGTGAAAAGGTTTTCTCAAAAAAGTCTCGTTTCCTTTTCTTTTACTTTACTTCATTTAAATTTCTCAACTCTCCGTCAACATTTAAAGTAATAGAGTACACTACCAATCGCCCTCGACAATCTGTGGTTGGTCTTTGAGAAATCCTAGGGCCTGGACCCAATGCAACCGCTATTTCAGCTGTCACACGATTGTTTATGTCAATCAACACACTCGTTCCTTAAAATTGTTGCGTGACGAATTGGTAACGGCCGTGTAAGAGGCAGAGCCCAGTAAACGCAACTTACTCACGGTTCTAGTTATAACTACAGTAGCTTAGTTACTCTACATCTTACCATCTTGATCTGTGATGATAACAATGGGTGGACTATTCACTCCAAAGAATTTGCTAATTCCTTGAATTTGAAAACTATAGTTGGTATACTTTTCAAGATTTGTCAGGTTTACAGACAACTGGTCGATTGGCAGTCTTAGCGTATGCGTCTTTACCGGATCATTCAAATCGTTCAGTTCGACATAGACAACTCTGTACTCCCGCAAAACGCCAGCTACTAATTCCGGTGGAATAGCAGACCACTGAAGGTAAATAGAGCGGGAGGTGGTGTTTTGCCCGGTGACATTCCACGGGTATACTTGAGGTGCTGTAGAGACAATGAAACAAGAGCAGAAATTTTTTTTTCAACCAGAGAAATTTTAATTTAGAGTCGAATGTGAAAAGCTACTCAAGCTACTCATATTTTGAGAGAAGAGTAGTTAAAAAACAATCTATCGGCAAAGCGAACGTGCATCATGAAAGAGGAAAGAAGGTGAGACGAGCAAAGGACGTCTTTGGGGCTCGGTCGCTCCTTTTTCTTCTTGATCTTTGGTGGGTCAAGATGTCGCATTTGCCCCCATGAGGCTCCAAACAGGGGCAATCTTGCCTTTAAATCACATTAAAGGCAACAGTATCTGAATTTAGTTTCTTCTGCCATGTTCCTTACCTTCTTCTTCTGTTCTTACGGTGATTGGTGGGCTCTTTGGCCCATTTCCTTTTATGGTAAATGCAAGCACTTGTATCGTGTAGAAGGTATATGGTCTTAGGAAGCTCAAAGTGACGTTTTTTCTTGGGAATGGAACAGTTTCATTAAAGACTTCGTCCGATGACTCATTGAAGAAAACCATATATCCAAGCAGGATACCATTGACGTCACGAAAGGGGACATCCTCCCATAAGACCCGGATGTCGTGCTTGCTGATGTTATAGCCATAAACATGCTGCGGGGGAGCTCCAGGGACTAAAGATAAATTGACATAGTTATACCTCATAGTAATACCTCCCCAAGGACGGTTCAACCAGTAGGGCAAGTGGGGCATTTGCGCAACCAATTATGGACGATACAAGAAAGAAGAGGTTGGAGGGAATAGGAGGGAGACCTGAGGGATAAAGACATCGATTGACCAGATATCGGTCGGATTATGCTAATCAAATTCTTAAAATAAGTATTACTTTAATTTTGTTAATTCAAAGGCAATCCTCCGCTCACTGAGGGAAAATCACGGCTGGGCGAAGGCCTGGCATCGATTCCAGGTTTAAGTCGAAAGTCTACAGTCGTGGTTTTTATAGAGGAAGGAAAACCTGTAGACTTGGACAAAAAACCTCTGAGGTTGGAAGAGAACAGAAAAAAGATTACACCCACAAGTGGCTACTAGCTCAAGATGTACCTGAACATGCCACACGAAACCGCAGACAAAACGATAGATCACATTGCAGACTTTTTGAGATGCTGGCCTATGACAACAATTTAAGAAATAGTATCCGGACTTCAGCGGCGAAGGCAGAGCATTATCATCCTAGCTTCGCCCTCCCTAGTCTCTCTGAATATGTTTTAAATAACGAATTAAAATTTAGATTAGTTGTTACTTCCCTTACCATCCTGATCAGTAGTGCTGTTGATGCGGTGAAAAGGACCTGCTCCCTTCACTGTATAGGCGAGAACCCTAAATTCGTACTCAACGTACTCGTCTAAACTTTCCACCTCCAGCGACAAAGTTGAACTGCAAACTCGTACTTGCACAGTGGATTCCAGACCATCTAATCTGTCGTAAGTGATGTGGTAACCACGGAGTATGCCGTGAAGAAAATAGGGGTCAGCCAATGGCTTCCATGACAACAAGATTGAGGTAGAGCTCGTATTCCATGCGGTAATATGCGAAGGCCTCCAGCTTGGCACTAGGAGAAAAAGTGTATTTTGTTGTAAGAAAAATGTCCATCATTTAATTTCATGTACACAAAACAAAAACGAGATGGATACTGAGATAATAACTTGGGCTTCGCATACACTACACTGAATATATTTTGTACGCTTCGTGGTGGACAATTTAACCCTCTCGCCCCCAAGATCCCGTCAGTAATTCTCTCCACTGTCTGCCATACAATTCTTATAATGTTGGTGCGGAGAATTTGGTATTGGATCAACTAATAATCCCCTAAATGATATTTTCATTTATTCTCATCATTTATGTACTTGATATTCTAAGGATATTGTGAAGAGAAATTCTGTCTCGGGAGTTAACCTTATTATCGTGGACACTGGGCTTATCCGGAAGAATCAATAGACGTTTTCAAATTATAAGCTGCGTAGTATGGAGATCGACTGGCTCATGAACATCTTTTTGCGTTAGATCTGCATATGACTGTGTTGAAGACCAGCAGGTTTCAGCAGGTGTCAAACTTAGTGAAAATTTTATTGTGAAATCTTCATCAGTGTGGTACAATAATGACTTAAGGAATAAATTTAAGGTATTTCGAAATGTCAATGTTTCTATGGAAACAGAGATCAACATATGTTTCCTGACTCAGCGACGAAATATTTTTAACAATCTAAATTTTGGAAAGTATTCTGAAGTACATAATGAACATGGTAAATTTTCTTTTCTTCCCCTTTAGGCGTGCCAAGAAACGTTAAAGGCGCTAACTTCGAATGCAACCAGATGCTTTTGACACCGAATCATCTGTTTTGCTTATCGAAATAAATATCCTAACCGTCATGCTTAGCATTTGTATTCAGAGTATCTGTAAAGCCTCGATACGCTAGTTCGCACCGATACGAAAAGAGATCCCTAGCGCTAGCGCTAACAATGGGTTCAGTAAATCTTACAGACAATGGAAAGAAAAAATTTGAACAATTGTATTGCTCTGCAGTTTTAGCCGAAGAAACTCAAGAATGGTTTGTGTATATTTCAGCGACGAATGTTTTTCTTTCCATAACGGCTTTCACGTGGAATTTCCTAACGCTTGTGGCCTTGCGCAAGGAATCTTCTCTTCATCCGCCGTCGAAGCTCTTGCTTCGCTGTCTATGTATCTCTGATCTCGGGATTGGTCTTCTTGCAGAGCCTCTTCATGTCGCTTATGTATTCGCACTAACGAACGGACGTTGGGATGTCTGTCCGTATGTATTATTCTCTGCAACTATGGTAAGCTATACTTTAAGTGGAGTCACTTTGCTGACTATGACTGCTATTAGCGTGGACAGACTTCTCGCCCTCTTGCTAGGCCTTCAATACAAAACTGTTGTCACTATAAAGCGAACACGTGTGTTCGTACTTGCCTTTTGGATTATGTCGGGAATCTCAGCAACGACCTTTTTGGTTAACTACTTTCTAAGCTTATTATACGCTACTGTCGCAATATCTTTGTGTGTGTTAACATCTATTTTTTCGTACGCTAAAATTTTTTCCACTCTTAGAAATCATCAGAGACAAATTTGCCCTCAGCAAGTGAATCAAACTTGTCGCCGATTGGATAAAGCGCGACACCGAAAGCGAGCGCTCGCTGCGCTGTGGTTGCAGTTCGCGCTAGTTTTGTGTTATTTACCGTTTGGTGCAGTAAGTTTTGTGGGAGCTAAGACCTCGGCTCAAGAAAAAGTGTCTTCGTCCTTTTTCCTTGACAGAGTGATTACAATCACTTTAGTACATCTCAACTCGTCACTAAACCCGGTTCTTTACTTTTGGAAGATGAAGTCGGTGAGACAAGCAGTGAAAAAGACAATTGAAAACATACTTTCTTTGTTTAGAAATTGACCGTTATTATATTTTCCGAAAGATTTGTTTATTTTGATGCTGAACAGCTCACCGGCTGCTTAAAGGAGTACGTTGTTTTGTTGCCTTGGGAAAGAAGAAAAAAAATTGAGCTCGCCCTGAATTCATCCGCTTTTGTTTGTTGGAGGTAGGAATTTCCTAGGAAGAAATTGGGTTTTTTAGAGTTTCTTCTGGTACAAGAAGGAGACATAAATTTTTTAATTTGATGTCGGGTTAACACAGGAACATTTTGTACTTGTTTGATTAACTTTTAGGACTGAATAATGCAATCATAATGCAGTTGGTCACTCCCCTGAATAATGCCTATCTTCACTAAACTGAAAAAACAAAAATGTCATTTGGTCCACAAAAAGTTGAAAAAAAAATTTAAAAAACGCAAAAAGACACGAAAGCGTTTGCGGTTAAGAGATCAGATGTTCCATTTCGCCATAAACGAAAAAAAAAACAATTTGAATCCTAAGTGACTTCCGCCTTAGTAAAAGAGAAATATGCGAATTTTATAAAAAGCATTTTATCATCGAGTTCTAAAATGTTGTTGTCCATACTACTCCTCGACAGATAAAAATTATATATTCTTCGAATATTTGTCTTGGTCTATAACAAAGTTTGACGGATCTTGGAAACAATCCTTTAGCCTTTTATCCCCTACGAGAGACCAGCAGTATCTAATGTCTCCTTACATTATCACCACTGAATTAATTCTAGAGCCAGGAGCCCATTACTTGGGCTCCTGATAAAGCTCATGCGAGTGAAAGAAATGTTCACAAAATTAATGTTAAAAATATCTTGACTGTTATAAAAATTTTCACTGTCAGTATGGAAGGAAGCGGATAGAGAACACAATGGAGAAAGTGAATATAACTGTTAGCGTGTAAAGGGTCGATTAGTGGTTGATGAACCCACCACCTGCCCTTGTACGCTCTCCTCACGCATTCTTCCCCCTCCAGGAAAAAGGCAACCAAAAGAAGCGTCTTTCTTTGAGTCTAAGCTTACAAGAACGTCTGATGGAATATTCAGTTTTATTCGGGCGTCATTTTTAAACAATTTAATTCAAATTATAGACTATGGTGCTTCAACATGTCCAACAAGGAAAAATATAATTGAATAACTGAATGACGTCTATTTTTAAAGGCTTCGCAGGCGTCATTTTGAAAATTGAAAAAGTTTAATTTCATATGCAACAGCTGCCTTATTTACCTCAAAGTCTATAAAACAGACCATCACTGACTACATCCTTTTTATTTTTTAATGATTTCCTTTGTTAAAAATTGAAATTTTTAATCGCTTGTTCCTTTCTTTGTTTCTTTTGTTGCATCAAAACTTTGGTGTCCACGCATAAAAGGCCACTTAAAATTCATGTCACATTACAACTTTCAATGAAAATGAAAGTACAAAATAAACAGAACGCAGTGGCCACATTACATGCTTAGTGAAATGATCCACGCATTACATTTTCTACTTCAGCATGGTTTTTGTTTCAAAAATAAACAACATTATTGCGTATTGCCGTAACGTGCCTCGGTACGCGCATCTTTGCATCGTTGCTGAGCCATCTGCTAATCCAGCCAACTTAGCCCATCGCCAGCTTTATCCGTTTCATGAAATGCAACCGATTAAGTCAAATTTTACATTTATAACTAAAGTTACATTAAAACTAAACCAAAAGGTAAAACATAATTATTGTTTTCAGTTCCTATGTTTCCACCTTCTTCCGCAATTAGATATTAACGCCGAGGTTAAATGGACTTAAATTACAAACGTGACCATTTTGATAATTTAAAAATTTAAAAATTAAAAATAAAGGAAGTTTTTTAGAAGGAAAATCAAACTGACACGGAGGTCGAAGGTATAGGTTGTCATCAACAGGTTAACCCCTTAACTCCCAAGATCTCATTGGCAATTCTCCTTACTGTCTCCTATACGGTTCTTGTGATTTTAGTTTGGAGAACCTGGTATTGGATCAACTTATAATCTCCTTACTGATATTATTCTTTATTCTCATCACTTGTCTGCTTCATATTATATTGATATTGTAAGAAGAAATTCTGTCTTGGTCACTTATAGGAGTTTAAGGGCTAATTTATCTTCTTTTGGCTCTGCAGCATATTCATAGAGAACTTCGTATCCCATACTGACTGAACGATTTTTAACGTAAGGGTAATTATATTCAAAAATAAGGAAATGTTATAATAATGATAACTGTTAAATAATTGATAGCCTGATGGATCGCCCACCAATCCGAACCGAAAAACCTTGCTGGAAGTGCTAGCGAGTAGTACATTGGACGTGCTTATATCGAAAATGTTTGTTGACAATTAACGACCTAATGGTGTCGTTTTCGACCATCTTGCGTTGAGTTATTATTTGATGTTAAGTGATGGCTGGAGAGTGCTGGATAAATGAGTGGTGCAATTGATTTCAGCTTGAACCCAATTGGTGAAAGTCAAATTACCTCGCAATTGAAACAACAATGACAGTCGTTATGCGTGATTGACGGCTTGCGTCGATGATGCGACTATTTAAAGCGATGCACTGCAATCTTCTCACGTACTGTACCGAAGCGCTTCACTTATTCCAACTTAGAAAAAAAGTCTTTCTTGATTCATTAGAGAAAAATAAGGATGGAAAACGAAACCGCAGATGAAATACAGAAAACTGCAGCTAACTTATACTGTTCTCTTGACGAAGCTCTTGTTAAGGAAGTGAAGCAGTTTTTGATCTTTTTGGCAGCTTTTAACATTATTCTGTCATTAGTCGCATTTCTGGGAAACACTCTGATCCTCGATGCTCTTCGCAAGGAGTCTTCCATCCGTCCACCTTCAAAGCTCTTTTTTCGCTGTCTTGCAGCAACTGATATTTGCGTTGGAGCTTTGATCGGGCCGCTCAGTGTTTACTATTGGATATCCACCGCAAACAAGCGATTGAGTAACTGTCAAGCTGTTGTCTCCATCCTATTCCTGACTTCAAGCATCTTGACCTTAGTCTCTCTGCTGACGGTGACTGCGATAAGCGTGGACAGACTGCTCGGCTTGTCATTGGGACAGAAATTCAAACATGTTGTTACCTTGAAGCGAACGTATGTGGTTGTAACTGCCTTTTGGATCATGTCGATTGGCATTGCGATACTGCCCCTGTATAATTTCCTCGTGTATTCCTGGTGCGTTTACACGATCGTAACATTATGTTTAGCAACCGCGATATTTACTTACACCAAGATATTTTGCACGCTCCGTCACAATCACAATCGAGCAATCTGCGTTATTCGTCATATGACTCCGCTAACTTTGGCGCGATACAAGAAGGCAGTATCCAGCTCCCTTTGGGTGCAAGCGACGATGGTCGTTTGTTTTCTACCGCATGTTATAGTAGGTATACTAGGACAAATTTTGCAGGATCGAAGTAAACCTGCAAATTCCTTGTTTTTTATTGCAAAGGCATGTACGGTGAATTTAGTTTACATAAACTCCTCTTTAAACCCGATTCTTTACTGTTGGAAGATCAAATCAATCAGAAATGTAGTGAAAGCCAGAATGAAACAAATTTTTTGCTATTAGCTCTTGCTGTTTCATTTTGCGTTATAAAATTAAAACCAACTTGCGACAGGCATTCAATTATTGGAATTTTCTAATGCTTGTGGCCTTGCGCGAGGAATCTTCTATTCATCAGCCGTCGAAGCTCTTGCTTCGCTGTCTATGTATCTCTGATTTCGGGGTTGGTCTTATTTCAGAGCCTCTCCATGTCGCTTATGTATTCGCACTAACGAACGGACGTTGAGATGTCTGTCCGTATGTATTATTCTCTGCAACTACGGTAGGCTACACTTTAAGTGGAGTTACTTTGCTGGCTGTGACCGCTATTAGCGTGGACAGACTTCTCGCCCTCTTGCTAAGCCTTCAATACAAAACCGTTGTCACAATAAAGCGAACGCGTGTGTTCGTACTCAGTTGCCTTTTGGATTATGTCGGGGATCTCAGCAACGACGTTTTTGGTTAACTACTTTCTAAGCTTATTATACGCTACTGTCGCAATATCTTTGTGTATGTTAACATCTATTTTTTCATACTCTAAAATTTTTGCTCTCTCAGAAATCACCAGAGACAAATTTGCCCTCAGCAAGTGAATCAAACTTGTCGCCGATTGGATAAAGCGCGACACCGAAAGCGAGTGCTCGCTGCGCTGTGGTTGCAGTTCGCGCTAGTTTTGTGTCATTTACTGTTTGGTGCAGTAAGTTTTGTGGGAGCTAAGACCTCGGCTCAAGAAAAAGTGTCTTCGTCCTTTTTCCTCGCCAGAGTGATTACAATCACTTTAGTGCATCTTAACTCGTCATTAAACCCGGTTCTTTACTTTTGGAAGATGAAGTCGGTGAGACAAGCAGTGAAAAAGACAATTGAAAACATACTTTGTTTGTTTGGAAATTGACTGTTATTATATTTTCCGAAAGATTTGTTTATTTTGATGCTGAACAGCTCACCGGCTGCTTAAAGGAGTACGTTGTTTTGTTGCCTTAGGAAAGAAGAAAAAGAAATCGAGCTCGCCCTAAATTCATCCGCTTATGTTTGTTGGAGGTAGGAATTTCCTAGGAAGAAATTGGGTTTTTAGAGTTTCTTCTGGTACAAGAAGGAGACTTAATTTTTAATCTGATGTCGGGTTAACACAGGAACATTTTGTACTTGTTTGATTAACTTTTAGGACTGAATAATGCAATCATAATGCAGTTGGTCACTACCCTGAATAATGCCTATCTTCACTAAACTGAAAAAACAAAAATGTCATTTGGTCCACAAAAAGTTGAAAAAAATTTTAAAAAAAAACGAAAAGACACGAAAGCGTTTGCGGCTAAGAGATCAGATGTTCCATGTCGCCATAAACGAAAAAAAACAATTTGAATCCTAAGCGACTTCCGCCTTAGTAAAAGAGAAATATGCGAATTTTGTAAGAAGCACTTTATCATCGAGTTCTAAAATGTTGTTGTCCATACTACTTATCCTCGACAGATAAAAATTATATATTCTTCGAATATTTGTCTTGGTCTACAACAAAGTTTGACGGATCTTGGAAACAATCCTTTAGCCTTTTATCCCCTACGAGAGACCAGCAGTATCTAATGTCTCCTTACATTATCACCACTGAATTAATTCTAGAGCCAGGAGCCCATTACTTGGGCTCCTGATAAAGCTCATGCGAGTGAAAGAAATGTTCACAAAATTAATGTTAAAAATATCTTGACTGTTATAAAAATTTTCACTGTCAGTATGGAAGAAAGTGGATAGAGAACACAATGGAGGAAGTGAATATACCTGTTAGCGTGTAAAGGGTCGATTAGTGGTTGATGAACCCACCACCTGCCCTTGTACGCTCTCCTCACGCATTCTTCCCCCTCCAGGAAAACGCAACCAAAAGAAGCGTCTTTCTTTGAGTCTAAGCTTACAAGAACGTCTGATAGAATGTTCAACTTTAGTTGGGCGTCATTTTCAAAAAATTTAATTCGAATTATGAACTATGGTGTTTTAACATGTCCAACAGGGAAAAGCATAATTGAATAACTGAATGACGTCTATTTTTTAAAGGCTTCGCAGGCGTCATTTTGAAAATTGAAAAAGTTTAATTTCATATGCAACAGCTGCCTTATTTACCTTAAAGTTTATAAAACAGATCATCACTGACTGCACTCTTTTTAATTAATTAATAATTTCCTTTGTTAAAAATTGAAATTTTAATCGCTTGTTTCTTTGTTTCTTTTGTTGCCTCGAAACTTTGGTGTCCACGCATAAAAGGTCATTTAAAATTCATGTCACGTTACAACTTTCAATGCAAATGAAAGTACAAAATAAACAGAACGCAGTGGCCACATTACATGCTAAGTGAAATGATCCACGCATTACATTTTCTACTTCAGCATGGTTTTTTTTCAAAAATAAACAACATGATTGCGTATAGCCGTAACGTGCCTCGGAACACGCATCTTTGCATCATTGCTAAGCCATCTGCTAATCCAGCCAACTTAGCCCATCGCCAGCTTTATCCGTTTCATGAAATGCAACCGATTAAGTCAAATTTTTCCAGTTATAACTAAAGTTAAATGAGAACTAAACCAAAAGCTAAAAACCAGTTATTTTCAGTTCCTATGTTTCCACCTTCTTTCGCCATTAGATATTAACGCCGAGGTTAAATGGACTTAAATTACAAACGTGACCATTTTGATAATTTTAAAATTTAAAAATGACAAATTAAGGAAGTTTTTTAGAAGAAAAGTCAAACTGACGCGGAGGTCGAGACACGGCAAAGGTGTAGGTTGTCATCAATAGGTTAACCCCTTAACTCTCAAGATCTCACAAGTAATTCATTCTCCTTACTGTCTCCTATACAGATCCTGTGATGTTAGTTTGGAGAACTTGGTATTGGATCAACTTATAATCTCCTTACTGATATTTTTCTTTATTCTCATCACTTGTCTGCTTCATATTATATTGATATTGTAAGAAAAAAATTCTGTCTTGGTCACTTATAGGAGTTTAAGGGTTAATTTATCTTTTTTTGGCTCTGCAGCATATTCATAGAAAACTTCATATCCCATACTGACTGAACGATTTTTAACGTAAGGGTAATTATATTCAAAAATAAGAAAATGTTATAATAATGATAACTGTTAAATAATTGATAGCCTGATGGATCGCCCACCAATCCGAACCGAAAAACCTTGCTGGAAGTGCTTGCGGGGCGTACCTTGGGCGTACTTATATCGAAAATGTTTGTTGACAATTAACGACCTATTGGTGTCGTTTTCGACCATCTTGCGTTGAGTTATAATTTGATGTCAAGTGATGGCAGGAGAGTGCTGGATAAATGAGTAGTGCAATTGATCTCAGCTTGAACCCAATTGGTGAAAGTCAAATTACCCCGCAATTGAAACAACAATGACAATCGTTATGCGTGCTTCACGGCTTGCGTCGATGATGCGACTGTTTATAGCGATGCACTGTAATCTTCTCACGTACTGTACCGAAGCGCTTCACTTATTCCAACTTAGAAAAAAAGTCTTTCTTGATTCATTAGAGAAAAATAAGGATGGAAAACGAAACCGCCGATGAAATACAGAAAACTGCAGACAACTTATACTGTTCCCTTGACGAAGCTCTTGTTAAGGAAGTGAAGCAGTGTTTGATACTTTTGGCAGCTTTTAACATTATTCTGTCATTAGTCGCATTTCTGGGAAACACTCTGATCCTCGATGCTCTTCGCAAGGACTCTTCCATCCGTCCACCTTCAAAGCTCTTTTTTCGCTGTCTTGCAGCAACTGCATTTGCGTTGGAGCTTTGATCGGGCCGCTCAGTGTTTACTATTGGATATCCACCGCAAACAAGCGATTGAGTAACTGTCAAGCTGTTGTCTCCGTCCTATTCCTGACGGCAAACATCTTGACCTTAGTCTCTCTGTTGACGGTGACTGCGATAAGCGTGGACAGACTGCTCGGCCTGTCACTGGGGCAGAAATTCAAACATGTTGTTACCTTAAAGCGAACGTACGTGGTTGTAACTGCCTTTTGGATCATGTCGATTGGCATTGCGATACTGCCCCTGTATAATTTCCTCGTGTATTCCTGGTGCGTTTACACTATCGTAACATTATGTTTAGCGACCGCGATATTTACTTACACCAAGATATTTTGCACGCTTCATCACAATCACAATCGAGCAATCTGCGTTATTCGTCATATGACTCCGCTAACTTTGGCGCGATTCAAGAAGGCAGTATCCAGCTCCCTTTGGGTGCAAGCGACGATGGTCGTTTGTTTTCTACCCCATGTTATAGTAGGTATACTCGGACAAGTTTTGCAGGATCGGAGTAAGCCTGCAAACTCTTTGCTTTTTATTACAAAGGCGTGTACAGTGACTTTAGTTTACATAAACTCCTCTTTAAATCCGATTCTTTACTGTTGGAGGATCAAATCAATCAGAAATGCAGTGAAAGCCAGAATGAAACAAATTTTTTGCTGTTAGCTCTTGCTGTTTCATTTTGCGTTATAAATTAAAACTAACTTGCAACAAGCATTCAACTTGCCTGAAATGGTCTTCATTATTCTATTTAGAGAACCGTGGCGAAGCTGTGTTGAAATATCAAATAGTACAAGAGGAGATAAAACTTGACATGTTTCATTAGCATTCGGTAAAAATACCCAAACAATAGCTCATAATTTTCTTTAGAAAAAATAAAAAAAAATTGGCTGTGTCTAGTTCCACTGTACCATACCCAAGGGGATTGTACTTCAAACCGCCCACTTGAGTCATACAAACACAATGTATGCTTCAGAAGAGCTCTTTTCAACGAAAACGTTCTCTCAATTTACACAAGCGAAGAAAACAGCTTATTTATTGGAGGGGTTCGCTCTGCTTGATCTACTTGTTAGGATGAATTAGTGAATAGACCTGCCTTTTGGTCCTTCCGCAATTTCTTGAAAACTCTTTTTTTTTTTTTTTTTTTTTTTTTTTCTTGCACTCCATCTTAATTTTAAGCATGACTCGCGCTTCGGCACTCGACTCCGAGTCTCGGTTACATTTGCTTGGAAAATATTTGCCATTGCTTTTAATATGGCCAAATGTTCCTATCACGTTTGAAAAAAAATTGTGGTTTACTTTTTATCTAAGAGCTGCCCGAAGTGGCGAATGAAAAGGTAAGGAAAAACTTCGATCTCATAAGCATTACCGTCGTTATGAATGACGCAAAACAGCGTTAAAGATATATTAGGGTGAGTTGCACCGATTCCTAATTTCTGCTATCATCATTGTTCGTTTTCCATATCGTGATTGATAAGGTTTACCACAATTAATATTGGCAATCTTTAAAAAGTACGATTAACATGTTCCAACTAATGCTAATCGAACAACGATAAATTTATCTTCAAAGCTTATTTTAAGGTTAGTTATCTTCCTTATTGCAATTAATGCCACCCTTAAAACCTTTTGCTTAGTGTGTTATGAGTGATAAATGTATATTCAGTGTCCAATTGGTAAAAACAAAACGGCAAAAAGGAGAGGAAGAAAGTGCGGCTGACAAAACGTGGTTATTGAAAATTCGGAATTAAAAAAATTCGAAATGTTTTTCATGAATATTTATTGGTTCCAAGTATCAAACCTTCACGAGAGCTGAAAGTCTTTGTTGTTCTTGTTTTTGTTGCTTCTCTTTTATTTATTTATTCATTTATTTTGTCTATTCGAAGAATACGTACCATTCGCTCTACGACCTTTCATTGAGATTCAGTTAACCATTTATTCAGCTTGTACGTAACGTATTCATTTGCCAAAGACGTGTTCAATCATCGAATGATGGCTGAAAGCTTAAATTGGCCATCCGTAGAAGACTTTATAAAAAATAATCAACAAAGACAGCGGAATCAAAATTTCCGAAGCCAGATCCTACAAATTTAAACAAAGCGCAAAAGCCGGTCATTAGCAAAGACAACCTAGGAGGAAAAAACGCTTACTTGTCGGACTATAAACAAGAATCGACGAAAACACGTCAAATCGCACCAATAGCAATTAACCAATATGCTTAATAAACAGCGGCACTTCGTCATTCAAAACCGATGGACATTCGCAGTAAATTACATGTGGTAAAGGAAAAGTCGCGATCCTGAATTGAAACCTCAACTCGTTATTTGATATTTTTTCGTGAGACAAACGATTAAAATTCTTTTTGTCGATTAAAATTCGGTACGTTTCATTTAGATGCAAATGTGTGTCGCTCAGGCACAGTAATTTTCACAAACAGCACCAGAAAGTCTAAAATTTACATCTTAGAAATAATAGAAATTTAGAAATAATATCTTCACCGGGGAAACAATCTCCAAGTTACTTGTGTATGTAAAAAATACAAGGGAAGAAAATATTTGTTTTATTCAGTGTTTTTCAATATTTTTTTCTCCTTTTCAACCGCAGTAAAGCTTAGTGGGTTTAATTACGTTCTCTAAAGAAACGAAACGACCATGCACTTCGGAAAGCAGATGCTCCTTCGCCCTTAAAAAAATCGAATTTGCTCCCTTTAAAATCGAATCTAAAAAAATACGGCCAAACATAATTTCTTTCATATGCTGACAAATAAAAAAACCTGCAAAAGTGAAAGGTGGAAAGAAGCTTAGAACTTGATGAGATAAGTTACATTTATTTTTATGAATGACATTTTCAGTACAACTGTCTGGTACTATGCTAATACTTCAAATCGGAACGCGTTTTGACTTAGAGATAAAATTAAAAAATTAAAAGGCGGCAGCCAACTGTATTCCTTTTAATCCTACGAAACTGAGTCAATTTGAAACTTAAAGCGACAAAGTACTTTTTTAACTCTGGCTTTCACTGCATCTCTCACTGATGCAATCTTCCAACAGTAAAGAATTGGATTTAAGGACGAGTTTAAGTAAACTAAAGTCACTGTATATACTTTCATTAGAAAAACTGATGAAGTTGCAGGTTCACCAGGATCCTGTAAAACTTGTGACACTACTCCAGCAACAGCATACGGTAAGTAACACACAACCATTGTCAGCTGCACACATAATGCGCTGGACACTGCGTTTCTGTAGCGTACCAAGGTGAGCGGAGTCATTTGACGAAACGCGCTGAGTGTCTGGTTCTGATGATGACGAAGAGTACGGAATATCTTGGTGTAAGTAAAAAGAGCGGTTACTAAACAAACTGTTACGACCGTATAGGCGAACCACAAATACGCCCGAAAGTTTATTGAGGACATCACCCCAAAAATAATGGATAAGATCCAAAAGGCAGTTAAAACCGCATACACCCGCTTCAAAGTCACCTCTCGGTTATATCTCAAACGCAACAAAAGGGCAAGAAGTCTGTCAACCCCTATTACAGTTGAAGTTAAAAGGGAGACTTGTGTTAGGATGCTGCCAATAACAAAAACTATGGCAACTAAAAAGCGACAATAAATCCATCGATCTTGCATTATGGAAATCCAGTGAAAGACAACCAGAGGCCCTATTATGACACCAACACAAATATCAGTTGTTGCAAGGCAGCGAAAGAAGAGCTTTGATGGTGGACGAATGGAAGACTCGTTGCGAAGTGCATCGAGAATTACAACGTTTCCAAGAAAGGCCGTAATGGAAAGAAAAATGTTGAAAGTTGACAAAAATGTTAACTGAGGTCGTATGTCCTGGATTAGAGTTTGCGATAGAGAACAGTATATGTTTCCTACAGTCGCTTGATTTCTGTCGAGAGTTTCATTTGCCATTCTTCTCTTGGTATATAGTCACTCGACAACGCACTCGACCAAACTGTGTTTTCAAATTAAACCATATTTATGTACGGCCACTGCATGGACCCCAATTAATCAGCGCACCACACGTGTGTGTTATACAAAATATTATGTACTTTTGTACACAGATTGCTTGACATTAATTTGCTTGAAGGAGTTAAATGGCGCCGGCCTTCTCTCTCGGCAATTTTTCTATTTGCGAAGTGATGCGAATAATTACAATCACTCACGATTCACTGCTTCTCTTTATCATCTTTTAAGGAAAAGAAATCCTCTCAGGAACACTTCCACCAAACATGCGGGATCATGTTCCAAGTAACGCAAGTACACCTTGGATAATCCTACACTTCTAACGACGACCCAAAGCGTAAGAGGTGGAGCTGTTCTTTAATCCCTTTTAAGATCAATAACAAATTCAAGTTTCTGATTTTGATCTTAAATTGAGAACTTCCCCTTCCGTTTATGTAGATCAGTTTTGCAGCAATCAAATGTCGTTTTAACTGTGCCTTATTGCAACGGTTCTTGTAAGGCTGATCAAGTTCCCCTGGTATAATAGTTTAACGTCTCCTGTTCTTCTTTCTGTTAGTTTGACAAAATTACGTGTCCAATTAAAATTGGACAGTGGTAGTGTCCAATTTTGGACACGTAATTTTGCGATGAAAGCAGAACGTGACCATCTACACTAATCTAAAATCTAATTTTTTTCAATAAATGCTTCTTTCAAATCAAAAGTGATATACTTTGCATTAAATTTCTTGAATCATTAAATACATTGACACTTTTTCTCACTGTTTAGGCGGCTTTGAAACAAATTGCACAACTTAGTGATGACGAAAGGCAGTTAGAAATTTCTACCGAAACGACAACTTTAGTTTTTTTTACGAGAAAAAAAATCTCTGAAGAGCATTATACCATTTGACGGTGTTCAACCTAAAGAAGAAAATTATGCTTGATTTTCTCAGCTCAGTGTATTGAGCTTCACAATGCTTTATCTCCGAAACATAGCTTTCTTCTTAACCTGCACCTTAAACAACCTCTTAAGATTTCAAATAGCCAAGTGGCTAAGAGAAATGTATAACTTGGAAACGCAGTGCAGACTAAACAACTGGAAATTGATTATTTCTAAAATAGCTCACGAAGAGGAACCAATCAAACACGTCCTCTCGATAAAGTCAAATTTCAGTTTTCAATCTATGACTGAAAGAAAAGGCTACCGGCTTTAAGGGAAGATAAAGAGCAATTTCTTGCTTAAAAACAGATTTACAATGAAGGAAACCCTTGTACATACTAGTATACAAAGCTTGACATGTCCTATTGATCGTGGGGTTCGATGAAAATTTATTACAAATAGAAAAGACAAAAAAATACAGATTTCCCCTCAAGGAAGTTTGTGCCATAACAGATAACGATGCGGTATGTGGTCAAATAAGCCCGGGGCGCTTTTGAAATTCGCTTTTTCGTGGAAATGGGGCGCTAATTCAAGGGGCTATATGCGTCACCAAGTTCCGGTGACCCTCCCAATCGCATTTAATTTCTGAATTTTTTTTCTTTAAGTTTACAGTGAAAAATTACCGTAGTAAACCATCTGCTCTTACTTTTGTGATCATTATTTCTCGCGAGGATATTAGACAACACGTTAAATGATTTGAATAATTATAAAATACGTTAGTCGTTATCACCTGTCGCGATGATATTAGACAACGCATTAAACTACTTGAATAACTTCCAAAGTCGTTGGAGACCATCTCTCATATATTAATGATTGATTATTCTGGTGGAGAGAAGACACGTACATCAGTTTTGAGCCCGAACGGAGAACTCATTTGCAACTGGCGCTAATTCGAGCATTTAGGGTATTTATTTAATTGTTAAATTTTTGCTATTGCAGAAGCTTCAAAGAATATTATTACGGGAAGAACATTGGCGCCATCGACACGTCCCATACTAATGATTATCATGTTTGTGAGCGTTGTCATGTGACTGATGATCATAAGTGATCTAACGAGAACTTTTGTGTTATTTCCATATGAACTGAGGGTTCGTAACCAGCTCGCGTATTATTCGCGCAGGTTTTATGATATTCACGGTTATGGCTATTGATTGAAAGCGGTCGTGGATAAGAAGACGACTGAATATCACGAGACTTTGCCCTCGACAATTCAAACACCCGTATCCCCAATTAATTACAATAATTATACAAATCGAGTCGCACGGCTAAGGATAGAATGGCGAATGAGAGTGTTTATGGAGGACAAAAGACTATGGAAAATGTTTACTGTTTACTTCTGAAGACTCTTATCGAAGAAGTAGAGCTCCAAATGACATTTTTGTCAGTTTTTAACATTTTCATGTCCTTTGCTGCAGTCTTGGGTAATGTTGTGATCATCGATGCTCTTTCCAACGATTACTTTTGTCGTTCATCTTCCAAGTTCTTCTTCCGCTGTCTGGCAACAACAGATATTTGTGTTGGAGTTATTTTAGAGCCTCTCACTGTCTGCTATTGGTTATCCATGGTGAAAAAACGATGGAATCATTGTCACTCCGTGGTAACCGCTATTTTCGTAATCGGCAATATCACAACTACAGTCTCTTTGATGACGGTGACTTCAATTATCATTGACAGACTTCTCGCCTTGCAGTTGGGACTCAGATACAAACATGTCGTAACGTCAAGGCGTATACACATGACTATCGCTGCCTTTTGGATCATTTCGTCAGCCGCTACAGTAATCTCCTTATTGAATTTCCTCGCATATCTTTGGTATGTTTATGTAGTCATAGCATTATGCTTGGTAACCTCATCAATCGCCTTCGCCAAGATGTTCTGTACTCTTTGCGGGCATCAGAATCAAATACTTAGCTCTGAGCACCAGACAACTTCGTTGAACTTGATACGACTTAAAAAGGAAGTGTCCACCGCTTTCTGGGTGAAGTTGACAATGGTTGTTTGTTATCTTCCTCATGTTATAGTTGGCGTAGTATCGCAAATGTTGCAGGATCCAAGTGATCCCATATCATCGACATTTTTTATTACAAAGGCGTCTGCACTGACTTTATTTTATTTAAATTCGTCATTAAACCCTATTCTTTACTTTTGGAAGATCAAATCCATCAGACATACAGCGAAAACCAGATTTAAAAAATTACTCTTTGTTAGCTCTTGACGAAATATTGATCTCAATCCAAGATGGACAAAAGCGCCACATGTCGTTAGTAACTTCTGAGTCATCGTATTTGAATATTAATACACGCATTGCTAGTCAATATGTCAACACGACGCATTTCGTGCCATGTCGAAAGGCTCTAATACTAAATGATGTACGACATTACTTTGTCAAATAAAGAAACAAAATCGACATCACTCGTTTCATATTCTCTCTCAAGTTTTTGCTCTTCTTTATGAATAGCTAAAGGGCGATAGCTTTTCGCGATAGTGACGCGATTGAAGTGAACGAAGCCAGATGCGTCACGGCGCCCCTACGGCTAAACGTGTCAGAATTTATTTTTCCTATTGAGCGGGATTTCACATGAAAGAAGAGGAAAACCAGCGACGCTGTTAAAAATTGCTTCTCACTATCAAAAAGATATTTTAAAAAATTGAGAACAAAAATGCGTTTTATAAGAAAAAAAGGTTCACAGCCAAAGAAAAAGCTACGAATGAGTAGTTTCGTCAGGTCAGAAATAAGTGTTTTCAGGTAAAACACTGAATCAAACAAATTTAAATTTAGCGAGACAGCTCACTCTTAAGATGAAATAATCAACCTAGAATAAAATAATTACCTCGACTTTTAATAAATTTGCTCATTTCGAAATTTCTCGTTTAATCTGCATTCAAATTGCCCTCTAGTGTTTTGGCGCTTCTCTTAGGAAGTCCTACATGTATTACATTTGCGTATTCACAAACTACGCATGTCCCAACGAAGATAACAACGGTTTAACTGTGGCGATCTTTCCAGAAATGCTGAAGCTATTATCGAATTATTTCTGTCGCTCATAAAACTTTTCCATGCCATTTTCGTCACCTTTTACAGTTAATTTTTCCTGTAAAAGATTGACAGTTAAACAAGGCTTCAAAGACGACAAATTTGAAGACAGAAGCCTAATATTTAATTTCTACCCTTTACTAAGAGCAGATGGTTGTACGTGCGTCTTATTTGTAGCATTTTCTAAACAATTAGTGTTGAAATATTGAATATGCGAGTGGCTTCGGATCAGTTTCATGAAAATTAGTGGATTTTGTTGTGCTTACGGACGCTGACAAAGACGAGAAAATGCATCCCATTTTGGACGGCTTTATTTTTTCAATAGTGTAGGATACAAGTTAGATATGATAACAGATGGTTAAGAGTGGGACTGCACTCGTTCCCATCATTTCTTTTCCGTTGCTTGAAACGGAATTACTTTGAAGCGCTTTTCGAATAACAAAGCTATCTCTTCATCGAATTATTTCCATCGAAGTTCCAATTTATTTTCAGCCCTCAAAGCACTTCCTTAATGGCCTGACGTATGACAAAACGACTCAGATATGGACCGAACATCATACAATTACTGTTGAATAAATTGACATTCATTTTTTTTTAAGGAACAAGACTGTTTTTTATTCTTGCCGGTCGGTGTTTATCTTTTAAAAGCGACCAGACTGGCTGCAAATTTCGATCGAGAAAAATTTTTATAAAACTCATCGCTTGATTGTTTTTCAGTTTGACATTCGTCTGTTTTTTTTTTTTTTTTTTTTTTTTTTTTTTTTTTTTTTTCTTTTCTTTTTGATGGACCACTCTAAAGGAGTTCGTTCTTTACCCAGATGGGAGTGTGAAGCGAAGAGAAAAAAAAAAACAGCTACACGCCCCGTATATTCACTTTGTAATATCTCGTTAACACATTCTTTTCACTATTACGCCTTTTTCAAAAATTAACGTTGAGGTCCTACGAACTGGTTACCCCTTCAATGCCGAATTTTTTCCTGTTTTCATAAGCATGAGGAGTCATGAAGAATGCATGGGGCGCTAGTTCCTAGCACATTTTCATAGGAATTCATCGAGTATGCTTCGCAGTTTGATACTGCGCGTACCAATTTGCACCTCGGAGGGTAGAGAGCTGCTACAAGAGGAAAGAGTCCTGCTCTACAACAGTACACAACACAGCAACGCAATATATAACTCCAGTAGAACTCAAACTTCAGGTCATCCAATCTCGGTAGGGTCTAACACACCGGCCACCATGCCAACACGTTTCACGCATCATTTTAATAGCAAGGGCGGTTAGAGAAAAGAAGGGATAAGCTATTTGCAAAACACATCTTCTAAAAAGAAATTTTTTCAAGGGGAGAGTAATTGGTAAATTAGCGAACTTAGACTGTTTTACAAAAAAAAGACCGACAAATTTTGACATCCAACAAACAAACACTCTTTCCCTCCTCTGGTCGCTATCATTCCACTGATATTGTAATTTTCTGACTTTGAATAGTAGCACGTTTTGGATGGCTCTGAGCGTATGAACATTCGTACTATGACTTCAGTTTCTTGTTCCAAGCAAAACATTATTCTAGGAATTTATGTATCCAAGCAAAACAATATTCTAGGAATTTATGTATCCAAGCAAAACGATATTCAAGGAATTTATGTATTCAAGCAAAACGATATTCATGAAATTTATGTATCCAAGCAAAACGATATTTAAGGAATTTATGTATCTAAGAAGCTTTGATGATGTAATCCTCAAGCAGATATAAGAAATGAGAAATGATGATTGAGAATCTGAATTAGCCCCATTTATATAAGGAAAAAATTTAATTTATGCTCACATTAAAATGTCAAACAATCAGTTAAAAAAAGAGAGGCATCTCTGAATCTAATGGAAAGCCGAATCCTTCATCTGTTGATTTTGAGTTGCGACTCTGTCAAGATATTAATTACATCCGGGAAGTGACTGAAATACCACAGATGTTCACCGTCAGATATCGGCCATAGTTTATCATAAACTTAAGTACGATTTGCACCGTTATTTTACCTTTGCTATAATTAATACTAATAATTCTTCCCCAGTAACTAAAAGATGGTAAGTTTTTGGTGCGAGCTACCGTCCGTTATCTGAACACTTCCTCTTATAGTAAGTACATTTTCCTCCGCAGAGAAACAAATTAGTTGTAGATTACAATGAGCTGCCGAAAGGTTGTTGATATTAGCTGAAATGAGAATTATACATAAAGCAAACAGTACTGATAGATTTGCATTTTTCTCCCTCGATATTTGTAGTTACTTGTCTAGTACACTTGAGTTCAATTCTAACAGCTTTTTAGGAGGCTCCCTTTGGCTGACAAAACAAAGCATAGAGGAAGCCGAGGCCAAACCGTTATGGAACATCTGTTAACAAGTTTCACTGCTGGAGACCACGGTAGCTGTTGATGGAAAGTTTCATCTACTTTTACCTTTCCAACCGAAATGGTAAACATTACAGTAGATGGGAAGAAAGACGCATTTGGGGGATTTTGCTCAGCAGAGCGTTTACCAAATGGAATGCAAAACCAGCTGAAATCCCTGACAACTTTCACCTCATTTTTATCCCTGACTGCAATTCTAGGTAATTCTTTGATCCTGGCTGCCTTACGCAAGGAATCGTCTATTCATCCGCCATCAAAGCTATTACTCGGCACCCTGGCAGTAACTGATCTCTTTGTTGGGCTCATACCTTTGTTTGCTGTGCATTTGCTATCTGTGGCAAGCGAACGATGGACTGCTTGCGAATTGTCGTACTCCATGGCCTTTATAGCAGGTTACATACTGGGCTCTGTGTCTTTGTTAACACTGACTGCAATAAGCGTGGACAGGCTTCTCGCCCTCACATTGGGGCTGAGATACAGACAAGTTGTAACTATTAAGCGAACATCCTTGATGATAGCTGTCTTTTGGATCGTTTCAATCGTGGCGGCAACAATTTCCCTTCAAAACTACTTCATAACCCTGTGGTATAGCTACATCGGAACGTTGTTTTGTTTAGTGACCTTAGTCTTATCCTATACAAAAATTTTTAAAACGCTCTGTCAACAGCGGGCACGAGTAGAAGAATCCCTTGCTCAGCAGCCAAGGTGGATGACTCCGCGGCACATGTTCCATATAGCGCGACAACGGGAGGCGGTCTCTAGTGCATTGTGGGTTCAGCTGACTTTGGTAGCTTGTTATTTGCCATTTGTTGTTGATGGCGTAGTGAGTAGAGCCATGCCTCTTCAAGATGTACTATCCCGCTCTTATTATTTTGCCAAAATGAGCACTATTACCGTGGTTTATTCAAACTCATCATTAAACCCTTTTCTTTATTGCTGGAAGATCAGGGATGTGAGACGAGCAGTCAAAGATATAATCAAGAAATTTATTCGCTGTTGACAGAACTAAGTCCGAACGAATTATTCTTTACTTCAGAAAGATGAGAGATGTGAGACAAGCAGTCAAAGATACAACCTAGAAAATTATGAGCGTATGGTACGTCTTTGTTACATCATAATATCTGATATTCTTTCTCGGCCTGTTAATTAAAATTTTTATTACCATCATTTTCCAAGCAATTTTTAACATTTAAGTTACTGTTTTCAGTATCCTCAATAAGTCCTTCCAGTCGCAAACAGTTGATTTCGCCCCTCAGGCCTCGCTTTTAAGTTGCAATACAGTAAATTAAGATGAGGAAGTAGTTACAAAGTATTTAGACCGAACGAATAATTAGGAGAATACAACACGGAGGCGGCAAAGATTCAAGGAAAATATGACATAAACGTGACTTGGGATGAATTTTCAGTAGATGACGTAATTACGCCCGTCAGCCCGGTAATTCCTTCTGCTTTCTACTTGTTTTCCTTACTGATTGAATTCTTAGTTGAGAAAATTTCAAAATTTAGCAAAATAAAAAAGAATTAAGGAAGTGAGATAACAATGGAAAGGCATGAAACAACATTAGTGGTGGTAAGTGCGAATCAAACACTAGAAGCTATAAAATAAAGCTCCTCCAACAGATTTAAAAGAAGTTTCCCGTGGTGATAAAATAAAAAACAAACCATACCTTGTTTACAATTAAAAATCAATCACTCGAAATTTTCTAATTTTCCTTCAAGACAATTTCCAACAGAATCCTGTGATTTATTTTGACTGCTCTTTGTCGAAAATGTTTAAATCATTTGTGTCGAGCACCTGTCTATTTTGAAGTCACGTCCGAAACCCACACTCAATTTAAGCTGATGAATTCAAATTTTTCATACTCATTCATTTCATTATATTGATGTTTAGCGGATGTTCCGCTGCAACATTCATGGAATAAAAAGATGTTTGATAGTTATACGAATTTAACAGTTTCCATTCGCATTTTAAGACATTTCGTATGAAATAGTAATAGCAACTCTTAGAATCAATCTTCGAGTTAGATGTCATTTTTAGATCATATTTATTTTCATCGCCCAAAGGAACATCTGCTCGTCTGGTGTTTTGCTTTTCTCAGTGTTTTCGTGGTCCGTGGAATTTTTTCATTAAAGGTTGAGGCAGGAAGCGGGACGTTACAATTGCACAGTGCCTGTTCTTTTTCTCGCACTCAGTAATGCCATGTTTCTATTTGGTTTCTAGGCTCTTACGTTACGTTGTTCTTCAGTTCCCTGACCAATCATATTTTACCAGGTATAGAATGGAATCGATGGAGGAGTATACTTTTATAAAAGCCGTTATGATGGAGAAACTTAAACTCTTAAGCGAATAATCTTTAATCAATGAATAATGGAGATGGACTTAGGTCAACTGAACGACTGCTGTGCTCAGCAGAATTGCCTTTTCAGTTGAACCATCACTTCACTTGCCTTTCAGTGTCTAGCATCGTTTTATCCATAACTTCATTTATGGGAAATAATTTGATGTTAGTGGCCTTTCACACAGAATCTCCTCTGCACGCGCCGCCTAAAAATTTTATTGCGTTGTTTGGCTGTCAGCGATCTTGGTATCGGTCTTGTTACGGGACCTCTCTATTCGGCATATCTTAATTCTGCCCTGGCCAAACGATGGAATGTGTGTCGCTTTGCATTTGCTTCAGGTACTCTGGCAAGCTTTCTCTTTTCTTAAGTGTCTTTGACGACACTTACCAAAATTAGTGTAGAAAGCCTACTTGCATTAAAACTAGCTAGGCTTCCGATACAAACAAGTTGTCACTTTGAAGCATGCTTACATTGCTGTTGGTGTTATTTGGATCGTGTCTATCTTCTCCACAGCTGTCTCCTTCCTTAAATACTTTATAACTCTGATAATTGCATACACAGTCATATCTTTATACTTAGTAATCTCTGCATATTGCTGCATAAACATTTATCTGACTCTTCGTGAGCATCGGTCTCAAGCGCATTGTATTCGCGTTCTGCAACAAAGCCCAGCCGTTCCACTGAACATAGCCACATACAGGAAAACCTTGTCGGGTTGTGTATGGCTACAGCAGGCAGTTGTAATTTGCTGTCTTCCAAATACTGATAACTTTGTTTTTCGAAAGTTTCAACATTTATCATTTTTAATGGATATTCCGACAGAAATGTTTCGCTCTTCGATATCGCCGCTGCTCATCCCTACGTCATACAGGACGATCGTTATGCGTAGAACGGTTGATTCGTCATTTATTACGCCCAAAATGTGAATAAGGGCAAAACTGCATGTGAATCCCGGTATGGCTAAAGTGGCATTAAACGAATTGATCCGCCGCTGATTGCGACGAATTTGAAAACAATTTTGCCGGAGAAATTGGAAAGGAATTTTTTTCCTTGTCGAAGCGATCACACTAAGCAATAAATGCGAAGGTCGTGATGGTTTTTTTTCCTTTACACAGTCATTTCGTTTACGTCCTTTATTTTGAAACGTCATACTGATGATATCGAGGCAAGTGATCAACTGAACAAGCCGCTTGTTAAGTTGGACCATTTTTGAGTTCCACAAGTTCTCATTTTCAATGTGAGATTAGGAGCAAATCCTTCTTTGAGAAAATGAGTTGTATTTGCATGGGAATAACAACTTAAATAGACTCTCATTCGCTTCAATATAAAGTCTGCGCATCTCAGGAATGTCCTATTAAGCTTTTCAGTTTCTTTTAATTCCCTTTTAAGCTAGAGTTAACGGACATATTGGCCACCGCCAACATGTGATCGTTAAAAAACAGATAACGCTATTTGCATGCAAAATAAACCGGGTTTTTGACGCTATTTTTAGCTCTAACATAATCCATCTTCACTTACCGTCCTCGTCAGTGATTGCAATAGTCGGTTCGCTCTTGATTCCTTCTCCTTTGATGGTGAACGCCGACACCTGGATTGTGTAGTTTGTATACTTCTCTAATCCTAAGAGGCTGAAAGTTCGCGTTGGAACCAATATTGTTATGTTCCGTAAAATAACTGCACTGTGATTAGTTCTCCACATAATTAGCCTGTATCCTCGGATGATACCCAATTGATCAGGGAAGGAGACCTCGCCCCAGTCCACACAAAGGCTTGTCGAGCTTGTGTTTATAGCAACGATGTTACTTGGAGGAGCCCTGGGAACTGAAACAAAAATTAAGCCAATCAGCCTGAGAGATAAGAAATATATACCTGCCCGATGGTTGTTCCATCGACTTTCTTTCAAACTAACAACTAGCGAGTTTCATTCATTTGAATACTAAAGCTTACCAGGGAGCTGCGCCTCAAAGAGTTAAAGATGCTTGTTTTGACGCCGATGCAAAGCATTAGAATTAATTACTCACCGTGCTCGTCTGTTCTTTTGAGTATGAAAGGGCTCTTGGCACCTTCGCCAATCCTGGTAAAGGCGGTAACAGTAATGTTATAATCTCTGTACTCCTCTAAGCCTATTAATGTCGTTTGGCGGGCCAGGGGATCACGAACCGTTTTAAAATTCCAAAGTGCATGGCTGTCGTTTATATTCAAATAATGCACGTGAAATCCAAGGAGAACACCAAGCACCAGCCGTACATTTGGGTCAAATTCCCATTCGATCAGAAGACTCCAAGCGCTCGTGTTCCTTCCACGTACTTCGAAAGGAGCTCCGATAGGAACTGGAAATGAGTTCGTTCAAAGATAGCTATTTTAAAAACTGTGATAAATAACATTCGAAGCATTTTTGATACAAATAATCTCCCTCTGATTATAAAAATTCTGAAATAGCATGAAAGCTAAACATCAACTTTGAGAATTGTTTCTGTTTTCATTTTCCGCTTATATACAATCAAGCAGGCGATACACCCCAAAGTATGACTGATGAATAAGTCTTTATAATTAGTGAGAGGAGTAAAAAAAATAAAGATTGTGGCAGGATGAAGCTATTGTAAACTGCTTTGGACTTCTTTGGACTGCTTTGCAAACCCATAAAAATTGAAATATTTATATTTACATTGGAAAGACTATGGGCCAGGCTCTTGAAATTAAAAAATGCAATGAAGCGAACTACTCGATCTTAAATGGATGTATAGGACGAACACTAATAATAAAGTAATACCTCAAGTTAACGAACCTTAGCAGCCTATTGTATAAATTTAACTAGCCTTAGTTTGCATCACTTTATACTGATGAAGCCCTAACCGGCGAAAAGTTTACTACCAAAGTATATAATATTTGTGCCTTTCGAGGTCTAAATTTTTTTTTCTCATATACATATATAAATATATATTTGTGCACTGGCCAGTTACAAAATCTAGCATTTCCTTTTCCCACGGATTGAGGATGTCGAAGATAACCTGAGCGTCTTTAGTTACCGTTATGATTCATACTTACAGTCCTCTTCTGTCATGGCGGGTACATCTTTACTCAGTTGTCCATCTCCTTTTATAGTGAAAGCCAACATCGAAACGCTATAGCCGTAGAACTTCATTAGAGAGGAAAAGTCAAAATGGTGTCGGTCAGGAGCTGCAGTTTCATTACGTAAAAACTCTCCAGTGTTGTTGTCCTTCAAGAACAGCCGATAGCCTCGAATGATGCCGTGACGACAACATTCAGGAACTTGGTTCCAGACTGTTCTCAAACTGGTCGAGCTCATGTTGAACAGCTGAAGATCTGTTGGAGCCTCGGTTGGAACTGGGAGGGAATGAAGTTCATAACCTTAACCCTTTAACCCCTTAGAGCGACTAAGGTCAGGAAAATAAAGGAACTGATCACCAACGAAAGAAGCTCTTGATTGTTAGACAAATTCTTCTTGTCGGCACCTTATGAAATGTTTAGAGAACAGTGTGGAGAATATGCATACTGATGTTAGAGTGTAAAGGGTTTCGTTCATAACGTAAGAAAACTGGGCAACACGTCACTGGGAGAAGCTTCGATCCAGAACCCATGAGTGACCAAGACAGAATTTCTCCCTACAATATCCATACAATTTCAAACAGACAAGTGATGAGAATAAAGATAAATATCAATTAAGGGGTTATCAGTTGATCCAAACAAATTCTTAGAACTAAAATTATAAGAATTGTACAGCAGTCAGTATGGAGAATTACTAATGAGATCTTAGAGGTGAAAGAATTAAGAAAGCTTATTGAGCTGAAAATTGGTTGTTGAAGTGAATGATATCGCGTTTTACATTCACAATTTTTAAAAAACCATACAGTGAAATCATCAATTTATGCGATATTGAGAACATGGGCTACCACTACAAATACGTTTTTATTTCTCATGGTCAGAAATTAAGTACTGTCTTTTGATACTCTCCAGTAGAGCTTACAGAAAAACCAATAACCATAGACCATAACTGTCTCTGATTTCAATCAGAGCAAAGGACGCATTTTGATATTATTATCAACTTTCAGAACAACATTTGAAAGAAAAGATATTGTTGAAATTCAAGGATTTTTTCTCCTGATGAGATGGTCGTTCGAATCCATAACTGTCAACAATGAACGCGTCCGAGGCTTATTTTGAGACTACATCATGCTAGGAAATGATAAACCTGAGACGTTACCCTCTAGGAGACAATACCGTTACAGCTGTTTTAAGTCTGTTTTAAGTGTCAAGGCATCTGATCAGTCGTGTCGATGATTTCATTATGAATCTCGCTTGTCTCTTAGAGAGCTGAGAGCAGAATAAATCTACGTTCCGTGATTTTAAAAGTAAGGAGAATTCGCTCAATAGGGTTGTGTACACCCAGTCCCTTTTCGGATTTCCCTATACTGGAAAGGTCTTAAGATAACTTCTTTAATTAGCCTAAGAGGAATGACTCGTGGGATAGGTAAGGGGGTGATACAACACCACAGCTTGGAAATAATTTATTTGCATCACGTCCGAACGTAAGTTATAAGTGTTACAACTGTCAGCGACATGCACGCCGGATATCGAAATAGCCGATGAAGTTTTCACATCAGTATTCATGTAACTATCTAAAACCATTTAAAAATTAAACTTACCGTCCTCGTCTGTTGATGCGGTAACCTCCCCATCTGGCCCCTCCCCAAAGAGGGAATATGCGCGAACACGAGCACTGTAGGTCGTAAACTTTTTCAAACCTGTGAAATCTGAGGTGTTTGTGCTGAGGGGCACTGTATAATTTCCTACTACTGCATCAAAGTGTCCACTTTCCTCCAAAAACACGCGATATCCCCTCACCTCGCCATGATGAAAGTGGTCTGGAACTTTACCCCACGTGACACGGAGGCTTGTGGAACTTATATTAAAAATATAGATGGGTACAGGATGGTGATCGGGTGCTTGAATGTATAAAAAAAGAAAAGAAAAACATTATGAAGAAGAAGACCTGAAAGTTCAGAAAATAGAGGAAGTCGTGATGAAAGTGGAAAGTGCGAATATGAATCTATCCCGATTGACTTTGTAAACAGACCTACGTAGTTATAGTCATTCAATTTCACAAATTCATAATGAAATAGATGAAATAAATGAACAGTTGGACTGAGGACCGGACTGACGGAAAGAAGATTATACCAGAGTACTTTAATTAGCCATTACTCAAAAAGAGATCTTGCTCATAGGCTGAAAACACAATAAGATCCGTTTGTCCAGTAGTATCTTCGCTTATTGCCACTCGGTAATCGATACCCGAGATCACTATTTTAGGGCATTATAATCTCTTAACACTTGAAGTTTGATACTTAGTCAATTATTGATTTCTTCCAATGCAATTGCAACCAAAGTATGGTTCGAGAATTGACTGATAAATGTTAGTCGAGTTAAAAGTAGGAAAAACAAAATGTATGGATGTTTACTGAAGGACAGGCAGACGAAAGAATTAATGTATGTATGTATGGATGGATGAATAGATGCAGGGAGGGAGAGAAAGAGTTGTATGACACTAACCTGTACCCAAAGTACGTATATACACATGTTCGCTGATCACTCCGTGACCCTTGCTCGTTTTCCCAGCCACTGAAATCTTATAAAACCTGTAAATCTCTAATCCAGTTATTTCAGCTTCTCGAATGTTATTTCCATTTACTTCCAGTCGTTGTAATGGCGCAGAGCTGCTGTTAGCAAGTTGGTAAAATATTCTAAATCCCCTTAAAATGCCAAGAACGTCTCGCACTTTGTCTTCAAAATACCACGACAATCTTATACTTGTTGTTTCTGGATCAGAAGGGACAACATTGCTTGGAGCAACGATTGGCACTACAAAAACAAAAAAAGAATTATGAGCTTTCATCTATCGTTATTCATATAATAGCATAACGCCTATGGCGCTCGTCGAAGGCTTGCTCTTCCAATCCACGATAGCCTTCACCCTAATTATTTTTTACTGAACTTCATTCTTTTGGGGGGCAGGACAATGTTTTCATTGATGTTTCTTTTTGGGGGGGATGCAATGCGAGAGACTGGTAAGATAGCCTCGATAAAAGTTAAACTAAACCTTATACTCATATAGCCATGTAAACGTTTATTATGAGCTTCGTGACCCGTGTATTCTCCAACATCAACTATTACAACCTTGCTCTCTTAGACAATTTAAAACCAGAGAAATCGAGGTCCGTCCCCTTTTAACAGTCACCATACCTTAGCATTCAGTTTCCCTCTGATTATTTTAAGAAATAAATTATATGATTTTGCACAAACCCCATTCATCTGTCATGCCAGTGACTTCGACGCTAGATGGTCCGACTCCCAAGGTTGTAAAAGCCTTAATGCGGACTCCATATTCCCAGTAGATCTCCAAACTGGTGAAATCCAGTCTTCGCTCCTGTTCCGCCAGAACACTTACATTGTGCATTATATCTGAGCTCCCACTCTGCACATCTCGTAAGTGAACCTCGTATGACACGACAGGTCCGTGCACATGACATACATGCACGGTATTCCACGTGATTTTCACGCTGTGATTACTTGTTGCAGTGATACGAATGTCCCGGGGGCCACGGGCAGGAACTGTGAGTGTTGAAGAGAATATACATAACAATCATTATAACTAGAATGGTATGTATCATCGGAAACAAATACAATCAAACCCTTATTTTTTCGCTTTTTGTTGTTGTTGGTGTTATTATTGTTGTTTTTATTTACTTTGAACAGCTTAGCAACGTATGGACAATAATACCTGAGTCATTAGTCTTTACTCGAACTTCAGAGGCGGCCCCATGTCCTGGGCTTGTTACTCCGCTGATTTTAACAATATAAACCACCCAAGCCTGTAAACCAGTGACTGTGAATGAAGACACGTTTAACCCCACGTTCTGTGGAGGCACATGATAACCCTTGCATGGGTTTCCCTGCCCGTGCACGCGGAACCCCCTTGGAATTCCGTGCCAGTCCTCTTTTGGGATGCTGCTTTCATTCCATCGCACAAATACACTTGTCATGTTGATATTATAAGCTTCCAGGATGACGGGACCACTGGCTGGCACTATAAGGGACCAAGGTTTGTAAGGTTATGGAAAGTATTGAATCTAAAGGAAAGACTCTGATTGGTGGGAAGTATAAAGAAGTCATGAAGGAGACTATATGTTTCAAACCTAAACATCACTTCCCAAAAGAAAACTTTTGTCGATTATATTTTTTGGTTGTGGAATAAAGAAGGTTGAATTTATTTATCTTGGTGTGTGATTATAAAACACATTTATATTAAAGGTAACCTGCGATAGACAAAGACTGAATTTAAGCTTAGTGAAAATACCGCCAGTCACCCAGATTATGGTAAACAGTTACATCACAAATTGTACACTTTACGTTAGTTGAGGGCCTCATTGGGATACTGGCTTTTACGGCCAACGGTTAAACTTTTTGTCATTTTACGATTTACCCAAAATGACACAAAATGACTCGTTGAAGATGGAAAAATTTTAAAGGTCAACTTTTTTTACGACTTGTGGTTAAAATTTGTCAATTTTTACTCCTAAACGCTCTACTTTTTGACTGTTTTAAGGCTAACGGTTAACCCCATTGAGACCCTCTTAGTTCGAGGGTGACCGTCTTTTAAAACAGTAAGACGGCTCTTCACGGTTTCATTGCTGATCTTCAGTTTGGACTTTATCACGCCTTTGATGCGTTACTTTTTCAAATGTGTTTCACGTCATAAAATCAGCCTTTGCTCACTGTTCTTTATGGTTCAGTCGTTTTAAAACTCTTATGTGCACCCTCAGCGGCGTTTGCATTACACCCCCCCTCCCCTCTCCCCCCTCCCCACACTATATTCATCCACCTTCTTCCGCTGTTTCAAGAATAGTGATTGGTCCTAACAAACCAGCGGCTTGAAAGGAATACGGCGTAACCCGAACTGAATAGTTTGTATAGGGCTTCAAGCCAGAAATTTTGTAATAGTGAGGCCAGCCTCCACGGACATCATGTGGTTTCCACGAGTCGTTGCTGTCTGTTTTTTTGTGCAGCACAGTATATCCCATTAGATGCTTATGGTGATTCAGTTTTTCCACGGCGTTGAAAGAGATTCCCAAATGCCTTGAGCCAATGTCACTACTGTTTGCGACGATGTTAAGTCCCTCACAAAAAACTGTTGGATACAAGAACGCGTCAACGTTTACAAATTAAGCTTACAAATTATATTTCTCACCCAGAAAAGAAATTAAGGCTAAAGGTGTGTGCTTTTGTCGGTCAAGTGCTTCTTTAGCCGCCAGATGAAGAGGGAACATTTACGTTGTAATTGGGTATACTATTGCTCAGTGCATAACGGTAACTTTGGTAGAAAACTTGTCTGTTAAATAGGCCGCAGGTTGATATAATGGTCAGAAGAAATTTGAATGGTATGGATTTGGTTAGAAGCCAAACACTTGATGTAAAAAAAAACTGATCTTGACTTTATTGGATTTACGTCCGAAAGACACTGACCATCTTGTAGAGACAACGAATCTCTGAGTATTAAAAAATGCAGATGGTTTGCTGCAAGACAAATTCTGACCACAAAATTAGCTTGAGCAACGACGGTAAAGAGGAAGCAGTAGAAGCAAGACGAAATAGGACAAGAAGACAACCTAACTGTGGCATGATAACAACTTGACATGGTGAAGCAGTATGTTTTTACTCACATCCATCGTCCGCGTCGCAGTCCGTAATGTTGGCAACAGTTCCCCCAAGAAAATGTCCGTTTTCAAGACAATCCTGTAAAACGAAGCTGTCTTCCCAAGAAGTCTTCCGGTCAAATTTGAGTTCAATATGTGCGTTCACACCGCCAGAGCTGTCAGAGCTGGAGATCAAACAAAGTCAGCATTTCTTAGCGGAAAATTTCAACTTAGACTGAATTACCCCACTGCCCAAAGGTAAGCAAAATAGGAATCCCCTTAAGTCTCAATAGACAAATTAAGGTTGAACTCACATCAGTGGTAATTTATTTGCTTGATCTTTTTTTTTTAATATATTTTGTGGGCTGGTTTAATTTTAAGTGAGTTTCTTTAACATATTACCATAGGTATATGAGAATTTGTATATATATATACACTCTCTTGCTTAGTATTACTTACGTAAATTGTTGAATGTCTTTGTGGCTAAGGCCATCGTTATTGTTATAAATTCTCTCAATCTGTAAAAATGAATTATAGGCGGGAATTGAACAACCCACTAAAGAGAAGTAAAAGATAATCAGTGAACAAGTTTATCCGTAAAATAATCAAATGTTCATGCATATTTTATTTTATCAAAACTTTAAGAAATGACCCACACCAAAATGAAGTGTAGTCAGATTATCGACATAATAATATTCATAAACCCATTTTAGCGCCCACATTACCATAGAAGGCTTTGCCAATCACGAGTCAGCAGTTGTGTTTAATAGCGCGTAACTTTACGAAGAGACTCTCGCCAAATAACCAACTCGTCGCAATCGACAACTTCTTCTCCATCACATTCAAATAATCTCCTGTTATTTGCCTTCAAAACCCAACGAGTAGTTAGGTCTTCCTCGGAAACTCTCTAATTGTAAACGATAAATCTGAGCAGGTCTTTGTTTAAACGCCTCCAGAGTTGTTTCTTATTAAAAGGCACATTTAAATCGCCACTCTTTGCTGAAGACCCTTCACTTAACTTGCACTTATCAAAAGTCAAACCAACCAAAAAAATTGCTTTATAACAAAATTTTGAAAAAGCTCTAACTCAGCACCTTTTACTTGGTTCGCTTTACCAGGTGTTTCACTTCTAAGAAAAGAAATTTAACAATTTCCAGGCATTTTTTTAAATTTATATTCTTAGAGGTCAAATGACAGTCTACCAGACCATCTTTTTCACTAATGATATGATTTGTGTTGACTTGAAATTTAGATCCTCCTCCTCTCGCTAAAGAAAGTTTTGGGGAGAGGTCTTCTCCGAACTCAGTTTTCGAGAAGTTGAATTTTCCCTACCTGACTAATGATTTCATTTTTTAAGGTTTGGAACTGTGTCGATCCACTGTTGCTGAAGCCTGAATTCCATGGCTTGTCGAGGGTAATTTCAAGAGAAAGTGTGGTATTACCACCAAAATCTAGAAAGAAAGTCAAGAAACAAAATAAGAAAGATGATAAGTTTTGAGCTCGGTTAGCAAATAGAGAAAGATGTTTCTCCTTCTTGTCACGAGCGTGGGATAAAGGAAAAATTCTGATTGCCCACCAGGAAACGAATCTAAGAGCTCCGATGCTCTACCACTAAGCCACAGAGACTCTATGGTGAGCAGGGCCCATTGCGAAGTTCATATATGACAAGAAAGTCAAAGTAGGTTAATAATTACCCATGATAAAGAGAATGATTTCAAAAACGATGACTATTGTAATTTCGTAATAATCACTCATAATCAGTAGCTGAAAGGGCGAGAAAATAGGCGAATGGGGCGGCGAGTGCTGCACCTGGTGTCGACTGAAGTAAAGGGCTTGGACTGCACAAATTTGAATGATTGATCCGCAAAAGCTTCTCAGACTCATACGCACAGGAGAGGGTTATGTCTTTAAAATGAGCCCACCAAGGAACCAGTATTGATGTTAAGTCTAATCTCTGAGACTTTTCTACTAGATCACATACCAGTGACTCAGGGTGGTGACACTGGTATAATGCGGTTTCCAGAGAGTAGCTGTTAAGGCTGTGTCCCCTCCTAACCTTCACCTCTTCTAACGAAGGATCATTGGATTAGATGTTAATGTGATGTTGCTATGTGTGGGCTCATGCTCTAAACACATTTTCCCCTTCTTTTTTAAATCATTAAATCGATCTGTTTCTGTTGCTTACCTGTGATGTAACTCCACGGTGCGGTGTTGGTTGGTTCATCCCTATACCATATGGCTACGTTATCAAAATAAGCCACAGGGAAAGCTGCATTTCCTAGGCTGTAATCTCTCTGTGTGGGCAGTGGAGAGGTTATTGAACCGCAGGTAATGTAACCAGAAGGATCTACATTTCCCTCCACCGTCACGTTTAGCATTCCTTCATTATCAGCGCTGTTCTTCCACCGGAGATGGATGTACGTCCACGAGTTTACGACCAGTTTAAACCATCGGAAACAAAAATTTGTGCTGCCGAAAACAGTCGCATTGAAGAATCCACTATTCTCGTCGTAAAAGATCGACACCCCTTGCCGGAATTCCGTACCTACGCTGTTACCGAAAAACATTTGCGTACTGTTGATGCTACGCTCCCCGCCTCGTCTAAATTTCAAAAACATGGTAATTGACAAGCCGGCTGTGCAGGTTGAAGGATCGAAGAGACATGATGAGCTACTGACTCTTAGGAGGTCTATGGACGAATTCTTTCTTGTTCCTTGAAGATAGATGCCTTTCCCCGTTGGCGAGTCAAGAATTTCTGGAGATCCATGAAGCGTTATTGGTTTTTCAGTTCTTTTATCAATGATTTGTGACTCTGGTGTTTGTTCAAAGTCCCAGTAGTGGTCTGCATCGCTATAGAGGCTATTAATGTCTCCTGACAAAAAAAGAAAGAAAACATCACGAAACTCTAGGGCGGAAGCACGTTATCTTACAAAACCAAAATTCAAAACCAAATTAATCGCCGCGGCGATAGATCGGCTTTGTTGTTTAAAAACAGCGGATTGCTTTCATCAAACTTTGCTGGCGACGCAACCTGTTGATATTTATGCAGTTGGTAGGTTGTGAACCAAAATTTCATCTTTAAATCAGATACAAGACAGAAAAACAGAAATTTTTTGCACCTTTATGGCAAGGACGCAAAAGACGTGTCATTGTTAGCAGAAGTAACTGTCAATGGCTACACATTGGACGCGTAATTCTGTGAAAGGGAAAAACTCTTTTGTTGTTTCACCGTATGGTTATTTTAAATTGATTGTTAGGGAAACCTTATAGAAATCGTGATTTTCTGGAAATGTCGCTTATTGCCACGGCTTTTCAGCTAAATTTCTCTTCCACAGGCTCCGGTGGGACCATTTTCAAGCTCCCGCAGATATGTTAATTTTCTCCAGAGCAGCCTCCTCTAACAATGCGGTACACGAACAGTGATTAGTGCTGAAGTTTATCAAGAGGAAGGAACGGTTTACAACAACTTTTCAAAAAGGAATAAAGATAAAAACGACAGGTTTTAAGTGGAAGAACCACAAATAAAACAGTTAAGCATCAAAACTAACTAATGCCGCTGATCCAGCTTGTAACACACGCGCGTTATGTGTAATTTTTCTAATAATAGCATAAACAATAGCTTTCTAAGCTATAGTTTCTTCGTTCCGCCTTGAACAGTTAATGAGCTGAAGCAAGATTCCCTGAGGAGGAAAGCCCGCGTAATTTATGACCTATCAAAGCTCTCCATGTTACGCTTCGCTGCTAATATTCTAGATCTCTAATTTTTCGCTACTGCAAGAAAATGTCGTGAGAACAATAAGCATTCTGCGCGATGGCTTAAATCTTGCAGGATTCTTACTTAAATTTCTTTTCTTTGTGACGGAAAGGTGCGACAGTATATCAATACAAAATAATAATATCTACATTCTCATCGCCACATCGTCGTTTCACGTATCGCAAAATACTCGTGTAAACTCACAGAAAATGTATCATCCGTACTGGCTTATTCGCTACCTGCCACCCTAACGAAAACTTGAGTTGACTAGATTCCCTATACCCAAAGGATATCATCTTAACATTAACTTTTAATGAAAAACACAACAGGTTCGTCGTTCAAGTATCAGTTCCCAATGTTGTCACCAAAATGTTGACAAGAAAAAAATTTTAAAAATCGAGCCAGAGGATTACGTAGAGAAATCGTAATTAGTTTAACCTTTTTTGACAGAGCTGAGCGGAAATTTAAAAAGAACCTTATTCTTGCTTCTTTTCTTCACATTTACTCACAGTCTAATTTCAAACGACAATTTTCCGACTCCAGACAAAAGTAGATATGGTTTTTACACAAAAAAAAAGGATCAATAAAACATTTTGTCTGTAGATAAACACAGGTTAAATGAAGTGATTATGTAAGTGAAATTTTCACGTAGAGTCTTGGTCCATAATATTTTCAAAGAATGCTATAAACACTTCTTCGTAGTCAATGAAAAAGGCGAAATTAAATAATGTGAGAGTCCAGTCGGAATTAACATTGACTTGTAAGCGACCAAACACTTCCATAACCTTTTCTTACCTAGGGCGTTTGAAGAGAATATCACTAATATGCTCTGTTGAGAAAAAAAAAATGAAAAAAATCTTTACTTTATCTTTGCGGTGCTCCTAAAAAATTATAGTTTAACATATAAACTTCCTTTGGATATTAAATTTGTACACTCACCAAAACAACTGTCCGTGTGGTTAACATAAGTTCTGTCTCGTAGAACATGATTTGTCGGGCGACAATCTGGTAAAAAGGTATTTTGATGTCTTTTAGCCGTAAAGTAAAATCTTAACAGATTCGTGCGCTTTGAAATCATTTAGAATTTGCTTCTAACCTGTAGTTGCTATGTGCCGTATCTTGTTACGCCACCAATGTCACAAATAAAATTATAGTATGATGATACTCACTTTGCAAACCATTAAACTCGAATCTTATTTGCGCCACGTAAAATTGTTGGTGTGAATGTACGATAGAAAGTTCTGTTCCGGAAAATTAAGGCTAGTATTAGATCTCTTTACTAAAGACTTGATCAATTAAACTCAGGAGGATAATTTACAATGAGGGCAGGTGTTGCACGGCGGCCTTTGTGAGATCGGTGGTGAAATTCTTTTAACCTCTCATGCCAACTGCCAACGAGTTTAATCATGAGAATTTTGAACCTGATCCAAACAAAGGAAAAATCCAGACCTGCATACTCTCCTAAGGCTAATGTTTCGCACATTACACCTATGATAGTAGAGAGAGTCTTGATATTGATTTGGACATTTAAAAAGGGACTGATTCTAAGAATTTCGTGAAAAAATCCTTGAATAGACCCCAAAATGACGTGGTATTTTCTGCACTTGGAGGAAAAGTCTTGCTAGAGCCATGCAGAGACGATTCATGGTTACGGGCGGATCAACGCAAATTGATTTTTTCTGCTTTCTTTTGACTGTTTATAAACTAAAATGAAAATACTTGCATAGACTGATTCTGAGCGATACGTTCCTTCTGTCAAATAGAAAAAAGGGAAAAACTGGAAGATGAAAAATTTCGCAGTAGGATCTGGCTTCAGAACAAGTCAAAGATAGAATTTATTCCAAACATTTTACAACCAGCGGCAGAATTTAAAGTGCCGAATGCTCCCAACTGAGAAGACATTCTATCCGCCATGCAAGAGAATTTCCACATATATACCGATAGATGGCTTTCATGAAAGTTTGTCTAAATCGTTCACTTGTTTGGGTGAATGCTGATTTTACCGATAAAATGAAAATCTATCTCGGACACTTTTTACCTCAGTGAGCTTTCATAGCCCCTTGTTGTACAAGCTGCGATAAGAATAACACCCTATATCATATAGTACCACGAGACATGGTTGTTACAATTTTTGTCAACTTCTCTTCTTTGAATATTTGCAGCTCACAAAAAATTGTAAATAAGGCTTTTAAATGCATGATGTAAATTCGTGATAAATTTGACCCTCCACATGACTTGAGGCTATAGGTAATTGTACGCCCACACCACGTTAACACAGCACGGTCCTTAGCATGCATGTCTTAAAGTCCCGGATAGGATGAAGGAGTAAAAACTTGTCATTGAGAGGCTTGCTAAACCGTTCGTTTTCTAAAGCATGTTTCACACCACGCTTAGTGCGCTATCTTAAGCACACGTAGTGTGATATGGGAGCACGCTAAGCGTGTAATCTAATTTACATAAAGAAACGAGCTCAAATTTTCTAGAGTTAAAAATAATCCTCTAAGAAAGAGTTATCTCCACAATTAAGTGCTCGAACGTTCGCGCTTGATCGAAACAAGCACGAAATGACAAGTTGTTATTTAGCTAAGTTTTTGATTATGCGCTTCAGCCTACGATAAAAAAAAAATTTTTTGCAGTCATCCTAAGGCAAAAGTTAATACTTTTTCGCTCTTTTGCATTTTCTTCTCATTTTCTCTGTATCATATGATCAGTTTCAAAGGATCACAACTTTAAAGGCCACTAATTGGTATCACGAATTTCTTCGAATTACAGTGATACATCAGCTGTAGTCGCTGTTGCACCATAATAAAGTAATCTTGAACTTAATGCGTAAGAACTTTGAAGTGAATGGTTAAATCATAACAGACTGCCCGAATGGTTCAGTGCGCACAGTTGCCTTAACAACAAAGAAAAACATCCTTTGTACTCTACAAAGACACAGCTAATTTTCCGTCCCGGCATTGTTTAAGTCTTCATTTTGCCGCATCACAGCACAAAATCAAGGTATATTTACAAAGAACGGCCGTACATGTTTCACTAGCTATCAATTATTGACGGCTTCCATTCGGTAGAGAGTGAATCACCTTGGGGCAAAGTGGTTTAAATGAATTGGATTCCGCCTGTTTAAGGCCCTATGATAAATATTTAAGGTAAGAAACTTTGATAGCCAGGGAGACAGAGCATAATCCATTAAAGAACGTACTATTGTGTGTTTAACAAATAACGCTTAGTGATAAAGATGTCTCGAGGCGAGCTCACAGTTTCTTCTAAGACTTAATATGCTATAGGCCTCGAATTTTCTTTCACGGCTTTTTGAGATTTGTGAACACGACTTCATCGGACAAATCTCTGGTTCCGGCGAAAGTTATATTCAAACGCTAGTGATATTCGCCGGTCTGCTTTGTGTGGTTGTTGATGTAGGTTAAATCTGGCAAACTGGCATTTTATGTGTCAAGTTCGCTAAGAAATACCACTTTCTCAAGGGCTAGAGATGAAGAAAGTGTGAATTGTTGTTCAAGGTGAGTTGGATGTAGGAGATACGGTTTCGTTTTCTGTTTCATGCTGAGCAGAATCAGAACTCATTTTATTTGCATAATTGTTCTTCACTCGATTGTTTTGAAATTGTTCATGGCTCTGTGTCCCTGGTACCTCATTTTGAGTTCAAAATGATTGTTTGATGCAAAAGTCAATTTTATTTTTTCGTATTTTGTGTGGTTTTTCTTTCGTAATCTAAAACCAATACAATAAGGTGGGAATTTTTCAATTTTAAGTTACCCTCCTAGCGTACATAAGCCAGCCTTTCGGCAAGAAAAGTTAATTCACATAACCGAGTGTCACGCACCTGCAACTTAAGCTATTAAAATATTGAGAAAGCTTTGAAAGGGACCAATTTTAGCAGGCAGAGCTGTCTTCTTAAGTGTTAGGAAAACTTTGCCGCAGACACTTCAATGATCTGTACATATATCACTGCGAGGAAAGGAGGAGGAACAATGATTGCATAACAATTTGCGTGATATCGCTAAGTTAGAAAATTTAACCTTGGCATGGATAAACCAACGACAACTTAGACAGTTTCAGTTTCAGCTTTTACCAAGCTTTACTAAAATGGCTTATGTTTTAGTTCAAGAGATCACTAATGCAAGCCGTTAAATATATTAGGCATGCTTCAAGTGTTTTTGGAAGACAAATCATGATTAACTTGCCTTTCATGTGAGAATTGCTCAATATCGTCGAGTTTAAAAAAAACTAAATTTGCAAGGAGCGTATGACAAAGACAAAATTCGAGTACTACAGACCTTCGCATTTTGCGCTCTGATGCTCTGATTATATTATGATTAAGCATCAAACAAACAGATTTCGATTTAGGTAATTATTAAAGTTTACCTGTGACAAGCATTATGCTTATTGCTAAGATCGAAAAATTCAAAAGCGTCATTTGAGTAAAAGAATAAGAGAGATGGTAAAGAAATCTTTGCTTACTCGGCTTTTTCTGTCTTACTGACTTCATCGTAAAGTTTCCAATCATCAAAATATTGATAATTTCTTTCATTGCTTGGCTAACTAATGCATGATGTTAAAGTTGTGGTTGTGATCATCCCTAAGGCATTATGTGATCCTATCTAGGAAGGAGCTTCACTTCCTTATAGATCAAAGTGGTATAACATAACCCATCTTATCGAATAAGCCATGAATATCTTTCTCAACGACATGATAAGTAATCACAGTAGACCAAACTGTTGTTTATGCTTATAAAAGTTTACAGAATCATGGCGTCTCAAGCTGAAGCCTCCTTGAAGCGTATACAAACCCACAAGGGTGTGGCGGGAACCATTGTGGTAAACTCTGAGGGGATCCCCTTAAGGACAGACATGGACAACTCCAACACGCTTCAATACGCCTCTTTGTGCAGAACGCTTTCCACCATGGCCAGTAGTATGGTACGGGATATGGATCCAGAAAATGAGCTTGTCATTTTATCGAGTCCAATCCAGGAAAAATGAACTAATAATAGCACCTTATGAAGATTATCTTTTAGTTGTCATTCAAAACAACAATGAATAAGAATGACCGCATTTTCACCGAAGTTTTCACCAAGAGTGTCGTAACTGTGTATTTGTGTTTGCAAACCGTCTAAAAGTAGGAGGGAGATAGACTGTTTTCGTTCGATGCACTTATAGTAAATCGCTATGGTAATAGAACTGAAGAAGTATAGAGAAATAGATTTTATATCGTTCTTCTTTAATCTTTCAAAGTGCTCGCACATCCTTAGGCTCTTTAGAAATATTACAACTAGAAACTCAGTTATACTTAAGTAAATTTCATGCCTGAGTCGCTTAAAATGTTGGATATAATTTTAATGTCCCGTAGCTCATGCCTCAAAACAAAAAAATGTAATGAAGAGGAAATAGAAACTGATGGAAATCATTGATGACTTAAGCCAAAGCGTGTTAAGTCTGAAACTCGAGAAAGGAAAGCAAAAGCAAACTCTTTTGCATCGACTGCACTTGACATTTTATCTGTGCATTCCTCTCGACCGTCGACCGGAATTTGAGCTTTTTGGCAAATTAACAAAATTTAAACGCACAAGCCTTTGGAAAGATAAAATTTCTTAGATGAAACTCGTATCTCTACAGAATTTGCCGCCATAAAATGGGATGCGAATTTTCGTTGATGTTGCTGTAATTACTGTGTAGGTTTTAATGTTTTGAAGATGATTGTAAAGAGCTCCAACCCAAATCGAGTTATGGAGAGTCCGCTATGGGAAAACGAAACATAAGAGTTCGCTCGGCTCGTCAAGCCAATGAATGATAAATTTCTCCTGGCAAAGATTTAAAATCATAAAACAAACTACGATCTCACACAAACAAGGTACAAAAATACACTTTTGCGAACTAACCTTCTTTACGCAAAGACATGAGCGTACCAGAGTCACTGTTATTTCTTTCGCAGATAATTTTATGTTGAATGAACACAGCTTGAATTGATTCACCCACAATCTAAACTCTTCAGCGAGGTTTAAAACAGCCCTCTTTGGACGTGTTTTAACTCATATATTTTATATTTCCCATCGCTTTTCAACACTTTGAAGTGACGTTAACAAGCAACGCGGGTACCCCCTCGATTTTTCCCGCCATTCGTGACGTCATTACGCCCGGAAGTTTTTCCCAGTCTGAAAATCGATCATGATCGATGTTAGTAAGCTCGCTGCGATGGCAAAAGTCACGAAAGAAACACAAATTTAGAAAAATAATAATTTTATTAATTTACGACTCTTCTGCCTCCAAACATACGTAATTAAATAACAGATCTTGGCTTCTATTATCTCTCAAAGACGGAACCCAAAAGCGGAAATTATTTTTGTTTTGTACATCTGTATTGTTTTCTACATCATTTAATACAGAATGACAGAAACTGACGAAAGAGATGAAAAGATCAAAATTTAATTGAGATCATCTACATGCTGATCAAAAGTTCTACTTCCTGTGACCGCTCAAGTTTAACATCACTAAAATTGTGTTTAGCCAGGTTGCAAGAAAGGTGGTTAATGTCAATCTGGGATTAAAAGTTCATTTAAGCTTTAATTTCTCATTTGGAAGAGCGTGTATAACACCCAAGGTTTTATCTCAGTATGGCTGGGTCTTTTTTCCTATTCTTTTGTAATCATTTTTTCCTGAACTGGTCTAAGCCAGACTGAACAAAATACGAACGCTTGAACGTTCAAGTACCAAACTAACTTGCTCCCTGATCCCTTGGAAGAAAACATAATCCATGTTGTTTTGGTTTTCTTTTCTTTTTTTTTTTTCGTTGTAGGGAAAAACTGAACTCTACGAGTTAAAATATTAAAGGAGTGTATCAGAACGAGCTTCATCAATCTTAGTTTTGGTAGCTCGTACTCCGTTCATTGGCTATTTAACAGTGATGAAGACTAACACCAGTTTTCATTCACCACTGAATGAAATTCATGAAGGCAAATTACAATGACAAGTAAGCAACTAGTAATTGAAACAGAATTTTATTTGTACATTAAAGTAGGTTTATATTCAAAGAGAAATTCTGAACAAATTAGTGTTTTGTATTTCATAAAAATTCAAAATACGTGTACGCACAATCTTGAAAAACCAAGTGTCGCGTTAATAAGCACTGCAAGGTGCAACATTTGATTTGATTGATTATAACTTATGTTAAATTCCCCCGCAATAACACATTAGGAAAAGGGTTTTGCAAATTTCTGAACATCTAGTTCCTGTGAAGGCCGTGAGCTCAATTTCGAATAGATACAATGATCCTTTCTTTGTTTATTAATATTGCTTATAACATTGCGTTTATGTAGTCATCTAATTGGGTAAGTGGACTTTTCTTTTCTTAGAAAAAAGTGAGAATTTGATTACCGAGCAAGTCCTAGTTACGAAACAAAGGGGTTTTCTATTCTATTTTCATGTTTGTTGCTCCATTCATTGGAAGTGGTAGTTCAATCGCTAATGGCGACTTCGGGCTGATGCCTTTATTAATTTGCCTCGTTTAGCTCACTCATTCAATTTTCCTGGTCCTCCGAGGCCTGGAGTGGCTTACTAGGACAAACAAAATTAACTTTCCTTTTCCATCGGGCAAGTAATTTGGAACGAGAGCCACTTTGTATTGTGTTTTACACTTAAACACCACCCTTTATCGATCGTTCTACTCAATTTTTTAATTGTTAAGTTCGTTAAAACCTGATGAAGTCATTATCAGACGCTGTCGCCATCTGAGTCAAATGGGTCGTATGATAAGCATCCTGGCGAGTTACTGCCATGTGCACTGTCAAAAGAAATTTGAGATCTACTTCCGGGAGTTAGTTCAAGGCCGAACATGAAATCGCCCACTTCCTGATCGCTGGAAATCGAAGATAATGGACTGCAAGAACATCTCGGTACACTCTCACTGGAGAAACCATTTGTCATCGGAAACGTTACTGTCCCACGTGTACGGCGCTTGTCCAAGAAGCGCTTAATGGCGCTTTGAAACATCAAAGCTGTAGAAATTGGATCCCGGTATTTTGTACGAGGAGGAGTCGTGTTTTTAGGAGAAGAAGCACTTTTTTCCAAAACGCTGCTGTTCTCAGCTGCTGTGATAGCAGGAATCGAACCATCTTCCTTTAAAGTTTCATCAGTTAAGGACACAGTAGCAAATTCTTCACTAGATATTTCATTAGAAGTTGAGCGAGATTTGCTGATGCGTGATTTCTTTCTGACTCCCCGCCTTCTAAAATGTGTTTCTAACTTGGATGCTATTTGCTCAAAGGCAAGTGGTGATTCGCCTTTCTGCTCCAAAAGACGCTTGACTAAGCATCGAAGGAGATCGAAGCACTGAACCCGATACCCCATCCGAACGTTGATTCCCATTCTAACAAGCTCTTGTTCGTTTGGCTTTGGAATTTTGAAAGGCTCGTTAAGGTGAGCTACGAAGTCCGACACTTGATCAACGAGAAGATACTGTTTTCCATCGGTCACAAACGATGCCCACTTTTCATAATAGCTATCTAGATCTTCCTTTTTGATGACAAGCCCTCCTTCTTGAGCTCTGTTTACATTCTCTAGGATTATAGCAATGTACATGTTTACAATGATGAGGAAAACTATGAAAATGTATGATACAAGGTAAATGACTGCCCCCACGGGATATCCACAGTTACCATTCGGGAATCCCCCATAGTCTGGATCGCAATCGGGTTCACGAAACATTAGAGATTCCAGAATGTCGTTCCAGCCTGCTCCCGTAGACAAACGAAATAACAGCATCATAGACCGGCCAAAAGTCTCGAAGTTTACCGTATCGTCCAGGTTCTTTTGTTTCTTTACGTGGCCAAACGTTGACATCCCAATGATGGCGTATATAAAAATGACCAAGAAGAGCAGTGTGCCGACATTTAGGAGGGCTGGTAACGAAATTATCAACGCTACGAGAAGCTGACGGATTCCTTTTGCGAACTGCAAGATCCTTAGTAATCTAGCTACTCTTGCAACGCGAAGGACTCGGAGGAGACCTGGATTCATAAATCTGATGTTTCCTGTGGTTAGTTCTTCCATCGCCAATCGTGTGATAAGGTGAAAAAACAATTTACATAAGCACTTTGTATTTCAGAAAATAAATGTGTGAATGATAACTAAATAAAACAAAGCGAGAAGAATAAAAAGCTTTTAAATTTTTTACTTCACTCCAGAACGAAAATCCGAAAAGAAAGGGTACAAGTAGCTACCGCTGAAGTAGCACGAAATTCTAAATACACTTCTAAGGAACCACTGCAAATGAAGAAACTAATATCTATATGTACGGAATTGTAGTTAGATCCTTATCGTTGACTCGCCTCGTTTCAGTACTGTTTTATACTGGCAAAGATACAATGCTATTTCCTGCATCCCTAATGGAAGGTACTTTACCACTTTAGAACCTTTTACTCTGTTACTTACCAATAATTGAAGCAATTACAATGAAGAAATCAAAGATGTTCCAGGCCTTGGTAAAATAATACTGGCGTAATGCAACAAGTTTCATCGCAGCTTCCAAGATGAAGACCGCTGTAAATATCCAATTGAACACTTGTGTTTCCCGGACGCGATGTCACAGGCTTTATTAAGGAATATCATCATCTTAACTCGTTGTTAATTTTTAAATGTCGACAAACAGTTTTTGTAATGTTTGATGAAGGTTTCCCTTCCACCCATTTCTATTGATGTTTATTAATTTTTCTGGGATATTATAGTCTTGATATTCGGTTGTCATTAAAATGAGATAAAGAAAAAAAATTAAAATCTAAATGCAATTGTTCAGCCTTGATTGTGGTATTTTACCAATTTTCAGGGGCAGTAAAACACTTTATTTTCTCATTCAAAAAGGATATGAAGTGCACTTGTCATCGCTTCCGATTGGCCATAGTGTTGCCACATCATAACGGACATATTCAACATAATCATCCCCAGTATTCCCATCTCAAAGACTTTACTGGTAACCAGGTCATACAGAAGTTGTAGAACCTTGTTCTGTAATAAAAAGCACAGTGATGTGTTATCACATCGCACTTTAGAAGTTAGCTGATTACGTTCGTTGAAAATGCTTTACGCCGAGGGAAAATTGATAATGAGTTTAAGTTCTAAAAAATTAGATTTGGACATTGTTAATCTTGAAGTACCCATTAAATTAATGACTGTAAACAAAGAAAAGAAAAACTAATTTTTCAAACTTCTCCTAGATGTGGAATACAACCTAAAAAATTTTATACCACTAAAATAAGGTATGGTTTTTATACGTATTGAAAGCTCTTGGCTGTAACCTTTTTTAAAAGAAGATCCGGGTTTTCCACTCCTATAGCTCCATTAACCTGATGACAAATCTAATATTGCTTGCTACGGTATTACAAGTAACTCAGTCTTTCACTGAGCAAAGGGTTAACACCTGTGTGTCAACCAAGTCTCGGAAAAGGATCACTCTGGCGCGGTGTTATTATGATACAGAAATGAGTACAAACCTGTGGTTTGATTGAGTTGTCTGGTGGTTTTCTTTTTGCAGATTCCTTTAATATGTCCACCCACTTCCTTTGGGCGTCAGTCAGTAGCATCCCCATATAACTCAGCTCATCGTACTAAAACGCCAAAGTCAAGATTTAGTAAAATTGATGCGAATTGAAATGGGAGCCGGTCACCAAATATGTTTATTTGATCAAGAGGCCGGCGAATATTTAACTATCATGGCTACCGATACGGCGTTTATTCGAGGCTGGCGGCGCACATTCCAGGAAAAAAAGTACGGTAAATCATTTCTAAATATGATGCAAATAGAATCCCGCTGTGATTTTCGATAAAAGCAGTTTACAGAATTTTGCAAATGTGTTACAACTGAAATGGTAAACTGGTGGACAATAGAGAGACAACAGGAGTGTTTTATGATTCTGAAGCTGCTTTATTCACCAAGAAGTACTTACTCTTCTCTTCAAACTGTTGAAGTTGTCAATTATGACTCCAACAAACAAGTTGAGCACAAAGAAAGCACCCATAACGATGAAAATAACGAAGTAAATGTAAGCACCGAGGTAACTCTCGTCTGCAGGTTGTTCATCTACCTGAAAGGAACACAAAAAACAGGGAGAGCAGTTGAATTGTCTTGCAAACATTTTGCGCAAACTGTCCCCGAAAACTCAAAACAAATAAATTCTACTTTGAAAACCTACGTGGGAGAAGCCCTTGAAAACCGACGTGGGAGAAAGATGCTCAACTCGGCCATATTTTCTATAACCGAGTTCACCTCCAGCATGTGTAAGGTCCAGCAGAATTGAAATAGTACAACCCTTTCCCAATTATGTAGTGCTGATCAGAACAATCATGGAAGAGAACAAAGTTATCCTCTCAAAGGGCCACAATGTAACAGTTTTTTTTAAATAGTCTCCTGGTCTTGGGGAAAACTCCGTGGGCAAGAGTATCTGCACAAGAACTTCATTAAGTTCCTCTTTTAGGCTTGAAGTCTCTCCTTTAAAACTTTTAAAGGAGATCTCACTCGCAGACAAAATAAGATGAGCAGATTATTTCAAATCCTCAGCAGAAACATACAACTTAATGCTTTTTCTGACGTCATAATTTTTACATTTATGTGCATACTCTCTTTGTCATATTTAGTCTTTTCCTGTTGTAAATTCTGATATTTAAGAGTTTGTATATTAATGAGTAAATTTGAAAAAAAAACCTCTTTTGAATCCACTGCATCATCCATAAGTTCCATCCACCCTTCAAATGTTGCCTGTATTGAAAAAAGATGCTGTAGAATATATTCATCATCAAATGTACTCATGACTTAAGTTATTGAAATTTTATACGCGCTAAGCCTTTTCATTTGAAAACAGAGGGCTGACAATCATTTATTAAAAACTATCTTAGCATTTACGTTTTAGAACGTCTTAGAAACCTCTCTTGTTTTCATTTTGAGATCCCATTGGTCCTGTGTGATATCGACCTTTGTTCTGATTATAAGTCTTGGTTACGAAGGTTTTGGTTTTACTAAACCTTCAGCGAAATGTTCTCGAAGGCAGAGAAATAGTGTGATATTGTCATTGGTATTAAAGCGTGGAATAGCCTTCAAGCGGAATATTCACATCTTTTTGAGATCTTATTGGCCCTGTGTGATATCGACCTTGTTCTGTTTAAAAGTTTTGACTGCTGAGGTTTTGGTGTAACGAAACTTTCAGCGAAATGTTGTTGAAGGTACTGATTGGTATGGAATGGCGTGGCTTACGATATTTTCATTGATAATAAAGCGTAGAATAGCCTTCAAGCGAAATACTCACAACTTCTTTAGATCCCATTGGCCCTGTGTGATATCGACATTGTTCTGATTAGAAAGTTTTGATTACTGAGGTTTTGGTTTAACGAAACCTTCAGTGAAATGTTCTTGAAGGCACTGCAATGGTGTGACTTATGATATTGTCATTGACATTAAAGCGTCGAATAGCCTACGAGAGAAATACTCACAACTTGGAACAAGGCGAGAAAGCCGTTGATGACATTATCGAAGTTCACATTTGAGTTCATCCATCGATATTTCTCAGGATACTTCAGGCACGTGGATTTGTTAGGCACTAATTCTGCTGATACGCGCTCGCCATCCATATCTATGCATTTATAGAACTTCCCGGCGAAAAGCTGGACTCCTAAGATACTGAAGATCAGCCAGAATAACAGGGAAACCAACAGCACATTGGCTATTCCAGGTATGGCAGAAAAGAGAGCATTTACGACGACCTGGTTAGAAAAAATATTGAAAAAGGAGTCAGGGACATCTATACATTTTTTATGGGTGAAAAATGTAAACTGAACTACTTCTTTTGCTGTCCTGGGTTTGCTCGGATATTTTCTTTAGGCAAACAGAAGCAAACGCGAGGCGACAGGGAGTGCCGAGACATGCGCAAAGAGAGGAGATCGGGTACCCCTCGCGCACGTCTGGAAAACGCGAAAAAAAACAGCATCTTGTCAACCCATGTGTCATTCGTCCATTACTTTTAATCAAACTATTCCTCAATTTGATTTTGATCCTTCTCGTTGTGATGGAAAATTTGTAAGATTTTAGTTTGGGTTTTCTTTACCTTCATCCCTTCCAGACGTGAAACTGCTCTCAATGGCCTCAAAGCTCTCACTGTCCTCAGAGAGCGCAAAGATGCCAAAGTTTGATCTTCAAACACACACACCAGTGAAATCTTGACGAAGACAAAAAAATAGCAATAAAAAACAAAACGTGACAGCGAAAAGCACGAAGAGAGTGGAATTTAATTCAAAGTAAGACTAACATGAAAGAATTGAAAGCTTCACCATATCTCGCACCCAGATCTTAATTTGATTCCTATTATGTCGACTGAGAGGAATTTTAGGGGTCTAAATAGCAACTTGAGTATTATCTTAAAGCTGGTTTAATAGTCAACGTTGGCGTGGTGGCCTTATAAATTTACGGGTTATGACAAGTGAATGCCTTTATGCGAAGAGTCTTGCACATATAAGTTTGAAGTACAAGTGTATTATTAGGGAGAGCTTTACAGGCTTGTGATCCTTCACCGAAACGCCATGTTTGAAATAGAGAGAGGAGGGAGAATATGAAGACTAACTTCCTCTAAAAGACTTACCGCGACTATTAACGAATCAAGGCAATTCCAAAACGAGGAGAAATATCCAACCAAGCCCAATCCTATAAGTTTTAGGACAAACTCCAAGGCGAAGATGAACGCAAAGAAGTAATTCAAGTTTTCCAGAGCTTTTTGTAGCGTAGGCTTGCTTGGAAGGTACACATCCTCAAACACCTTGAGGAAACAATTTCCATGTAACACATAGGTAAAAAAAAGCCTAAGTCAAGCTGAGCTGTCGAGGCCAGTGGCTAGTTTCCGTTGTATAAAGTGACCGGTAAAATTGCTACTCTCCTTGGACGAGAGTAGTCAAACGTGCCAGGTATTTGTTATCTTGATCCTGCATCAAATTCTCGTAACTAATTTATAGAGAAGTGTGTAGCTGCTAAGGGAGAGAATTAAAAATCATATCTAGGGAGTTTGTAAAAGGATTTATAATAAAAGGAGCGGAGATAAACCCTCACCAGAACCAAACTGCTTATAAGCACTGTGAATAGAATAAACCATTCAAAGTATCTGTGTTCCACAAGTGTCCGTGTGCGCCAGCGAAACAACAGCCAGTTGTTGCACGTAATATTCTTGCAGCAGGCGCAACTAGTCAAAGGTGACATACAGAACTCTGGGAAACAGTCGTCAACTTCGGCTGGTTGTACTGGTGACTTTCCTTGGCGGTTTGGGCTTGAAGTTACACCAGGAATGATATTAGCTGAAAGAGGTGTTGAGGTAAAGTAATTTCATTTTGATTTCTAAAACAAGTCATTTTAGTGACCATTTGTAACGACAAAAGCAATGATTTTTCTAAGAGACAAGAAGCGAAATGATTCTCACAGTTGACCTGAATTTGAAAAAAAGTGAAGGAAAAGAAGCCCTGAAAAGATGTTGGCAACGACACAATTCGAACCTATACCTCCCTGATACTAGTTACGCGCTGTTAATAACTGAGCTACAACTCCAGAAGCGAGTAAAGAGCCAAAGTCTAGTGCTTTTTCTTCTCCCTAAGAAACCTGATTGCAATTAAGTGATAAAATTTAGCTTGCGGATGATAAAAATAACGGAATGATCCTTATAGGATAGCTGCATTCAATGAAATATCCCAACAGGCAGAAACTGACTTCATTTAGATCTTTCATAAAAAGATAATTTTTCTTCCGTAAGTCCAATTTTGATAAAAGTCATTCTGAGAAGCACTTCACTGACTTACCTACGGTCGAGTATTCCCTTCCCTGGCTAAACTTCCTTACATTTCTATTATCTTTCTCCCTGCCAAAGGCTTGTATTTCTTGAGAGGAATTGCAGCTTCCATCACCCGATCGATGATCAGAGACGGGGAACACCGGAATCTTCCTGGTTTTCGTTAGCTTCCTTAGGAACTTTTTGAATACGTCCTCTTCGTCATCATCATCGTTCGCACCTTCTTCCTCTTCTTCATCACCGCTGTCAAAAGCGTTAAGGAGCAGGGCTAGAAATAGATTGAGAACCTACATGGAAGCAAAATTAGTGATTAGGATTCCTCTTATAAACTTTAATATCTAGAAATTAAGACTGACTAAAAAGCATTAAAAGCTCGACTGGTTTGCTCTAATTAAAGATCAGGTCAGCATTCGACTTGTGGCTCATCCAACTAAAGCTTATCCATGTTTCCGTACCATGAAGTTACTTGAAGTGCGGCTTTCCCCCAGGATGGAATACAATTCCAGTTCAGACTTACATTTATTCCTATTTGCTTAAAAGATGAAGGTCTATGATGATATATCGCAACACAGTTTAAAGCATTACGTACAACATGCAGTTCTATGGAGTGATTCAACTCACAATAAAATTGCCGATGACAAAAGCTGGAATGAAGAAGGGAATGGCAGCAGCAGGGCTGGTTGCTCTCATGCAATCCCACAAGGGTTCGATCCATTCCCCACACAGGACTCTGAACACCATCATGAAAGCGTGCCAGAAGTCGTTGAAGTTCCATCGTGGCACACCGTCCTCTCCAAACTTGTCCGGTGTGTATGATTTACCAAACATCTTCATTCCCATCAGGGCAAAGATGTAAATCACAAGACCCAGGATGAGGGTGATGTTGCCGATTGGTCCAACGCTGTTGGATATTGTAGACAAAAGTCTTCGCATCGTCTCCCAGGACTGCGCCAGTTTTAAGATTCTAAACTGTATGTATTTGAGGAGGAGAAAGCGAGAAGGGAAAATGTTGAACCACCTTTTCTGAGAAAATAATTTAACCCTTTAACGTACTCCAATGAATGACCAAAACAGAAGTTCTCCTTACCATGTCAATATAATATCAACCAGATATGTGTTGAGAATAAAGAAAAATATCAATTTGGGGATAATTAATTGATCCAATACTGAAGCGAAGCGACTCCGCATGTTTTTACAGTCAAGTTTTATGGTTAGAGCAAGAAATTCGCCTGAATTTACTATAATTTGGTTAGAAAAGAGATTGCACTTGGAAACTTGGAGAGGACTGGCAGAAATAGGGGTGAACTTGTTGCCCCCGCAGGGTTTTTGGCCCCAGAGGGCCAAAAACCCGAGGAGGCACCTTAGGACTCCCCGTGTAATATAGAGGAAGACTGGAGAAGAGAGAATGTGGGTATTTTCGGTAGATCATAACCAGAAAAAATCTCGATTTGATCGCTTACACGGCCGCAAGGTATTAACGTTTTTCCCGCAAATGGTCATGGGCTGCCAGTAAAAAGACACGCGCGCGAGGACTTTTAGGATCGGCGTCTTTGACACGAGATTTGTCCTAGTATAGAGGAAGGCTGGAGAAGAGAGAATGTAGGCCCTTTTAAGGTATAATTTTGTGTCTAATAACTATATAATAATAAATTGTTCTTCAATGCTGTCTATAAATTGTTCTCCAATGCCACCTATAACATTCCAATGTTAAAACTCACCCAAGTCCCTACATTCTGCTTCTTCTTGATCGTGAAGAACAAACAAATCCTAAGTTAAACCACACAAAAAAAAAAAAAAAAAAACCCCAAGCACTTCCCAAAACTACATTTTGTACACTTGTAGTATTTTGAGATCCAAAATTACTAACACCAAAGTACTGAGCCGCAATTCCGTAACAGCATAACAGAAAAATTACACAACTGTAAACAACAAGCCCAACTCAAAAAAAAAAAAAAAGAAAATGGTACTGTAGGGCGGGGGCAGCTCTAGTGAGAACTATAACTAGTCATATCTAATAGGAAAAACAAGTCGAAATGGTAGCGAACCGGGCAGGGGCGAACTTTCAATGGGGCGAAACATCCATAGACATATTTTAAAAGAATGAGGTCTTACCAAGCGAAATGTTCGGAAGACACTGGTTCCAGAGGATTCTTTGAAGTCCGCTAGCTCAAGTCCTGTGTCCACTAAGCTGATGATGACAATGATACCATCAAATATGTTCCATTTGCCTTGAATGTAGTACAATGGACCCAGCGCAACAAGTTTCAGAATCATTTCCACGGTAAAGATGGTGGTAAACATCTGCAGAGAAAAAAATTGAATCCATGATTATACCCTGAGGACGCAAGACGAACTTTTTATTACCGCAATGCAGTTCTGCTCGACCAAAATCGAAAAACCTGTGCGATGAGACGAAGTGGTTACTTCATCATCGGGAGCAAGCTTCTTCTACTTTGGTCCGAGTAAAAAACGTCTGATTGTAGAACAATATTCGGGACTGTAATGGTTTTTCCTTGGTTTGCTCTATGTGTAATTGGTCTAAAATTAACTGACACCTCCCTCTCAACGCATCAGGTGCAAAACTAAAACCAATATATCGTGACTTAGTCAAAAACATTTTTTTTTTTGCCTTAGACAGTTTGCTTGTTTCACTTTGAGCTCTAATTGACTATCTCTAATATTTTTCATTTTGCTCTGATTTCCCGCTCTAATCAGTCTTGGCTTTACGACACTCAATCGAAAAGCGTTCTATATTTAAATATATGATTCCTCTCTGAAAGCACAAATTTCATTATCAGAAAAAGAAAGGATCAGGCAAACGCATTTTCTTCTCCTATAAGCTATGTCGCTTGCGTCGACATGTTACGGCCATGTGACACTCGACATAAATTACCGCGAAACGTGATTCCTTGACGCTGAGTATAAGAGGCTATACCTCTCTTTAAAATCCGGTCTTTTATCATTATCATTTTTTAATTACACCTTTCAACAAAAAAAGCTCGCAAAATTTGAATAACTATCATTATTTACTGTAGCTATGATTTGATTAATCAGATAATGGCACCTTACCAAATTAAGCACGTCAAGGACCTTTTTGAACTGCGAGTCAATCTGATGATGATCCACGGCAAGGACCACTGTATTGGCGAGAATGAATCCCATAATAGTCACTTCCACAATAGAGTGACCCATAACGTCACACATCATTCTCTGAAGGCGCCTTTTCCACGTCATATCTGTACGAAATGCCTCGTTCTTCATTTTTTCGTCAAGAATTTCTTTGAAAGAGTTTTTACTTCCGATAAGGCGAAGCAGTGACGGGGGAGGCGGCTCTTTCGGGACTCTAAAGGTAATCTCTTCAACCTTCTTTTGAGTTCTGATGGAGTGAATTGTCTTGATAAGAACCTGAACTTTAGTGGTCAGCGGATGAAGGTGTTCCAGTGTGTCGGAGTCTGCTGGGTACGACATGGCAGTTTTGTTTTCATGTTTCTGTCTCGCGGTCTTACCGTGAATTTAAAGAAAAATCGGCACAGTGAAATGAAGAATTTACAGTTTGCAAATAATGCTTATTAAGTACCGTAATTTATTCTTTTTATATTTAGAAAATGACGGATGGTTACGATGAAAAGAAGTTCATGCGGTTTAGAAAGGGAAATTGAACTCACCTCTTTGTGGATAGATTTGATCTCCAGTTCGTAAGATAAAGCAACCACGGCCAGCACGAGATTTAAAAGGTAAAAAGAGCAGAAAAATATGCCCCCAAGGAAGTAGAACACGCACCAGATTCCACTGGATGCCAGAATCTGAAAGGAATCGATTAAGCCTTTTATTCCCAAGAAATCATCAGTAATTCGCCTTACTGTATGCCATAAAATTCTTGTGATGTTAGTTTGTGTTTGATCAGCTATAACTACTATCTCAAGAAATTGATGCACCAGCGCCTCATACTCAATTTCCTACGAGATCCTTTGCACCAAAAGCAAGGAAATTAGCACTGATTATGAAAATTTTCATAAAATACTAAAGCAAAGTCGATCAAAATTTTTCTAAGGGCTGAACAAACCTTGTTGTAGATATTTTCCCAGAAGTCCATCGTCAGAAGCTGAAATGACATTACCAAAGACCATCCCATGTGATCAAAGTTCGTGTAACCAAAATCAGGATTCGGCCCGGCATCAGGCAAGCACGTATAGTTTGTGGGGCATGTCCTAAGGAGAGTTAATGCACGAAGACTCATAAAGACTCAACAACCACACTAACCTAACAAAGAGATCAAAAACATCAGCGCATGTGCAATCGAAGTTAAGGTTACTAGGTAACGTATTCTCAAGGTGTCAAGACCAAATTATCTTTAGAGCAACCACACGAGCGAGTAAGTTGCGATGCTTGAAAACTGTGTGACGTTTTTGGTGAAGATCAAAACAAAATCAGTTGTAAATCAGCGGAATACTCATAGTCAAATGAGTTTTGTTTACTTCAAGTCTCGAATTTTTTTTTTCCCTGACTTTTATTTTCCTTGAACGTATTTTTTTTAACAATTATATTTTTAGCGAATAGGCATATTTTGGGGAACGGTGGTTGTTTCTTATGAGTTCCTTTGAAATTTTGCACGGAAAATTGTTGCACGCCTGATCAAAATTGACCCCTTGTGCATGTCCTGCAATTGACAGCTGTGTTTACCAACCTTTACAACTTCGTGAACGCATGTGGTTCACACCGATTTAACATACCGACAACACTTCTACGGAGTTTTTGGTCACCGAGTAAACATAGCATAATGAAAACCCTCCATAAGGCTTTTATAATACACCATCGAGAGCTCCATAGCTCGAGTTAGAATATTGGTCAGCGGCACTAGTCACCTTTCCCAACCATGCCCGGGCTGAGCAAGTATCAAAATTCACTCGGTACAATATATACCGTGCACTATGGCGTACCCTTTGGATTCATTATTCAATAAATACCATACCTCGCGGCTGTCCCATTTCCACAGATGACTGGTTTACCCTCTTCGTAAATCCAAAAACCTGCGAAAAAAAAACAAAGCTATGTAAGATCTCAGCCAGGACACTTTTGGTTTTGATATCCGGAGTATCTGAGCAAAAATAGAGATCGCAGAAGATGAAGTAAGAAGAGCAAGGAGGAGATAAAAGGTGAAGAAAAGAAATGGTAAACGAAAAGAACAGCTGAACAAAAATTAAAGTAGAAGATTTAAAATTCTCCGACTTGTTCGTATTTTCTGCATCAAAGGGTATTAGAAATATTCTGCTTCAAGTCAGTCAGCTGTGATAGCTGTGAATGAAAGTCCAGTCGAGACGGAAGAGGTGTTGTGCCACAGTGGCTGTTTATCATTTGAATGTGGTTGGTTCTTAGAGAGTCTTTGGTTCTGAGAGAGTCTTACTCCCCCAACTTTCGCCTCTTTACTAATGAAATTCAGGAAGTGAAGAGTAAGGAAGTTTCATCATCAGCAAAAAAAAATGTCTCGCGATAAGTTTTACACTAAGAACATACTTTCGTTATTTGCTCTGTATGTGGTGCTGAGCGAATCGTCGTCGAGCACGCATTTGTATCTGAGGTGACCCACAAACAGCTGGAGGCCGATAAGCGCCATAACAGCGAGAAAGAAGACGAATAGAATAAGGACATCCTTCAGCATTTTCATTGACCGAAGTAACGTGTTAACCATCGCCTTCAAACCTAGAAAAAATAGGATAGTGTGCTTCCGAGAAACGATAAAACAGGTGGTGAACGCATTCGGCTGATCAGACGGAAGCAAACGTGTAGACAAAAGGGCAGACAGACACAAAAAACGCACACAAAGTACGTAAGCAGACGGAGACACACATGCACAGACACCCAGGACAGACACGCGGAAAACCAGACAGACAGACACGCAGGCAAACTGATGGACGGACAGTTAGACAGATAGGCAAACAGGCAGATGGACAGATAAACAGACAGACAGACAGACACACGGATAAACGGACAGACACACGGATAGACGGACGAAAAGAAGAGGTAGAACAAAATCCTCTCTCTGCACCACATCGCGAGAGTTCCATGGTAAATACTTTTATTTTACGTGTAAACTTACACGTGAATATTTAAAAATAAGTTGACTCACCTTTCAGAACAGATATCGTACGTAACGCTCTTAAAACACGCACAGTTCTTATTCCAGAAAAGTTTGCGACATTCGGTGAAAACGTTACATATCTAGAAAAAAAAATTAAAATTGTCAAACGGACGAGCAGACACTTTTCTGCTATTTCAGAAAAACTCAAAATTCAAACAGCTCTCCAAGAGTGTAAGCATTCTGCAGTTGCAAATTTTTATAACAGTTTACCCAAGTATAACCACTGTAAAATCCAAACAGTTCCAAGGGTTTCTCAGATACGCGTAAGAATGGAGGACAAACCCACGAGAAAAGATCTTAAGAAACATCTCCGATGTGTAGATGAAAGTAAATATGTATCTGGAATAAAAGAAATCACATGATTAGCTTTTATAGCATTTCACTGATTCCTTTCTCAACAGAAAGTTCTCAAGTTCTCTTCTTTCTCAAGAGAAAGTTCTGTCTGACGAGCGCTTAGGCGCGAAACTCAGAGTAACAGAGAATCGATGCGTCCTCTTTGATTCTTTCACTTATATATACTCAGCTCTGCTTTTATCAAAGATGGCCAGAATATAGCTGTTCTAGAAATCTTACAGACATTACTAGTCTTATTATTTATTAAAAATGACCTTTGTTCCTGTTTTTTTTCTTATTCTTGCGAAATAGACTAGAAACATTTATGTCTAAAGTCGTGACACAAAAGTTACCGGGCTTTTTCCAAACAACAATCACACAACGGTGCTTTTTTGAGGTAACATTGTTACATGACATGCCGGGCGGAAACGACTGAGAGGGAGACTACAAGCTAATTCATGATTCGTTTAATTTACAACTGAAATGAGACAGGTACTTACTCTGCTTCCTCTGGGGGGTTGTTTAAAGCCAGGCAGATGCAATTTATCAGAATAATGAAAATGACAAAAAATTCAAAATATCTGTAAGGTACAGTTTAGGAAAAAACAGGGCGAATGTCGTGTTCGGTTGTGTTTTCAGATCTTGACCGGGCATTTTAACAGCATCGGCTTTGATTTTAAGGCACTAAATTGAAATAGATCTGAGAAAACGTTTTTGATAAGTTAGAATTAATGACAGGATACTGATGAGTGATGATCTTGATGGCCAACAGTCTGAGTGGATGAAGTGGTTCAAAGAGGAAGAGCGATTTAGACATATTGAATCTGTAAGCTTGGTCGTTCGACATCTTCGACCGGCGACTAAGGACCAGGAACGTTTCCTTGGATGGTTTAGCCGGCGACTGTAGGTGAGATTGAAGAAAACTATTATTCATCAGTCACGAGGAATGCAATCAAAGGTTTTCAATAATATAGTTTTAACTGTTTGATAAAACCTCGAAAACAGCTACCACTATCTGAGATGAAAGCTATCTGCCCTCAACGATGTAGAAAAGCAAATTTTAATTTTTCATAACTTACTCGTGGAAAGATTTACAGTCTTCAAATTCAGCTTCTTCGGGAATTCGAAAGTTAAGGAGTTCAAATAGACACTTATTTCCTATCATCACACCTATTCCCGTCCCCTCTCCCCTTCACCCTCTCCCCCCCCCCCCAACCCCCTTGACATTTTAAAACAGACTCATTTAATAGTGACATTTATAGCAGATAAAATCTTTAACTCTCCAATTCGATTTCAAAAACTAAAACTTGATTTGTTAATGGTCTTAGTTTTTATTTCCTTCCTGCTCATAAAAAAAATCATTTAACACCTTCCTTTCAGATTGTTATGGTTTGTTTTGTTATTGTTTGGAACAATTCTGCCGAATATTATATTTTAGCTAGACGTCACAGTTGGCAGTCAAGGATGTGTACGTCATTATGGTAAGTGCGGTTTTAAGTCCATTCATTATAAGTTTAATTGAATCGGAATTAGAAGGCCTTCGCATTTTCTAGATTTCCTCTTGAAAGTGATTTACAGCTAATGTACGTGCTTCTGGTCCTGGTGATAATGCGTGCAAAGCTTAGGTTCAGTAAAACAACAAAAATAATATTCGTGGGCATGATGAAGTGAGTCCAATAAGTATGCGAATGTTTTTTGCAAGCTGGTAAACATACTTCGTAATTTATCGGCGACTTTGTTTTTAAGTTTGGCAAGAAACTGAGTTAATTTTCCTGTAACTTTAAAACAATGAATGAAACGCAGCATGAATACATCGTTAAATAGTCGAAACATAAGAAACCACTACAACGGTCGAAAATGGATTTCAAAGTTCATTAGTGTAATCACTTAAATTGACAAAAACCTGTCAAGTCGAGATGGCCAAAAATTGACCTCGTTCAATTTTTGGCGTTTGCGTGCTAAACCGAAAAGATAACGTTAAAGCAAAGGGAATGATATGTCCAAATCCAGGTTTCTTGATTATGATACCGTGATATAAATGTATCATGCCCTCAAGGCAATGGTTTAAGAGCTGTTATAGAGAAAATGGGCCATAAATCATTTGACAAGTCGGCCCGGAAGTGGGATATATTTTTTTATTTACAGCTGTTTAATTCAATTTAAAATGTTCAGCTCTTCTGAAATTTCCACTCAACAAAGCCGCTTATAGCTATAGTTGCCTGAAATAGCACTAATAGAATAACCGCAGAGGTCTCGGAAAAGTTATCGCACCTCTGGCCAAGCTATTAATGAGGGAGTGTGTTCGATTGTTATGCTGTTTCGAATCCGGTCTTCGTGGTTTTCGAAGCCTTACAGGGATTTTTTTCCAATAAATGGGCCGCATAATCCCACCGAAATTTCGGCTTTTGCCCTCTCCCGCCTTCCCCTCCCCCATACCCCTTCGGAATTAATCGTCAAAGCCAGTTTAAACGAGCCGTGGGCGTTTAATAAGTTTATGTGTTAGGCGGGCGTCGATAAAAGTGGAAAAATCAGAGATAAGACCGCGTGGTAAACAAATATGTGGAACACAATAATTACATCTACAAATTAGGAATGTTCCTTCAGTCTACAGATCACATCCTTTAACAGACCACATCCTTTAGCAGTCAATGCTTAAAAGATTCACAGCCAGAAACTGGTTAATCAAGTCAAATTTGAGGATCATTTTCCGGTAAATGCCGCCTTGAAGTTCGATCCTTGAAATGAAACTTTGATCAAAAATTGCTCTTGTTGCTCTTAGACCTCCTGTTTGCTTCTTCTCGAGTGTTCATGAGCATTTTATATACAATTTGAAATATTATAACAACTATCAGACCATTTATTGTTTCTTGAATGATTTAAAAACCAAAGGTATTCTTTAATAACCAAGTAATTAACCTGGATCATTGCCAACAGTTTATAACTTTAGTTTTGTTTTTCTTGATTATTACTTCATAGATTATGAAAGAGCAAAAAAGCTCTATGTCATATTACTGAATTGAATCAGTAATCGTTTTTTTTTTCAAGTCCATTTTCAAAACCTATCTTTTCAATAACCGTATCATTTTTTTGATTATCAGTTTATAACATACGATTGCGCAAACGTTCACTTAAAGAAACTTTCTTAACAAAAATTTTTAACAATATTTTCTGAATTCTTCCGTCTGTTAAATAAGGGGAAAAAATGTGAAACCATTGTGTTGTGGTGTGTAGAATCGCGAATGTTTTCGCGGTGGATCCTCTACTGTTTGAAAACAAACATTTCCGGCAACGATCAATAGACTATGTTTATGTTTAATTTTCTAGAATACTCAAAGAAAAAAAACCTCTAAAAAACAAGCAACTTGCCAAAGTAAAAATATTGTTCCACAATTTAGTAAAATAGGCTTATATTTGCAGTATCGAAAAACGCTTTTCAAATACTGAAAATTAAACAACTTTGCTGAGAAGTTTTCTTTTTGGATCAATTAAGACCTGATCAAGTCTTACGCAACAAATTAACGGATTCCATTTTTACCACAATGGTAATTAAAACCAAGATACAATCAAATGGGTTTGAAATATGGGGCAAATTTGAATCCTTTTTATGTTTGCACGGGCTTTAACGTAATTTGATCGCGTAAGTCCAGGTTTTAGGGGCACAACTGTAGTGCAAAAATTTAAAACAGTAACCTACTTACCAGTGAGCTTAACCACACCGATTAGTTATAAAAACAAAAAGTGGATGATCTTCGGTTGAGCTTCACAGACAATCCGCACTTACCCCATTACCCGTCGCGTCGAAATCGTGTAATGGTTTTCCTAAGAGATAAGAAGGCGCTTGTCTAAGCTGTCCTTTCTTAAATGTAGAGCCGTTGGGCAGAGCTGGAAGACCATTCGCGTTGTTTGGTAACATTTCTCGTGGACCTTGGGCCGTCATTACAACCCTCGAGATTTCCGCAGCTTTTACCAGTGATTTATCCGCATAGGAACCATTCCCAAAATGGGAATAGTCCGCCATTATCGCTTTTACAACTAAAAAGACTGTCTCTTATCGCTGGCTAGTCTGGTCAGAGCGAAAGCACTCTGAAAAATTGAAGGGATCGAACGTAACAATTTTGGGACAATGTTGGTTGCGTAGCTCTTTATCACCTGAATGTAGGTCTCACCGCGGCATAAAACAAAACACAACGTCTTGTCCATTGTAAAGTGATCTTAAAATTGTTTGTGGTTTTGGAAGAATTTTTCGCTTAAATTTTTAATGGCATGTCGAGAAAAAAGCCTATAACGAGGAAATGCGGTTGCAGAGAGCGAAACAAAATTCGGAGACATGGAATAGTTTTTTTTGCTTTTTTTTAACCTACAGCTATCCGGTTTTTCTGAAGATAGGTTTGAAAGTTGAATGTCTTGCGATTCAGGAGAGAATGGTTTAAAAATTTAATCAAACTTTTTAGAAAACCAATAAAGGTGTTGATGTTCAACTACTCTGCTAAGCAATAATTACATCTTATGTCGCAAAAAAGGTTTAGAACCGAAAATTATGTTACGTAATACATTCCCATTTTTTTCAATCATTTTTAGTGTTTCAGCAGGAGCTAATATTGTTATTACTTCACCAAATTTTTTTAGGGCTACTACAGGATTCCCCTGAGCTTTTTTTTTTCCTTTTTCATTTTTTTGAATAAGCCAATTGCATTAAGAATTTGTTCATATAAGTACTCAAAACAAAGGAAGAACAAAATGTTTCATTTTATTTTTCGTTTAAAATGAATTTTTTCATTCACCATGATTTTAAAAAAATGAGATTTTTAATTACGTACTCTTCGCAGAATAAAGGAAAACAAACTCGTTTCTAACCATTATCTGTAAGCTATTGTTGTACTGCACGGAAGTACTTGGATTCTCTGTGAAGTTAAGCTGGAATTGTAGTTTTTGTCGAATAATCTTATATCTTTGTCTATGCAACATGTTCTATTGACTGGATTTAACTACGCTCGAAGTTTTCTGAGAAGAATGTTTTGTTTGAAGGTTTAACCAAACTGTGGTTAAAGTACCTAAAGGTTCATAAAAATTGAAATAAATATGATGTATATGTTCTCTTTTTATTTTGGCACTAAATCCTTTAGTATTAGTCATTGACTAATGACATGAGCGTCTGATGGTGGTGGCATCATTGATAAAAGCTAGCTTCTCGTTTGACTTTATTGTGCAACTTCTTTCTTTCTATTTTGCAGCTTATAACTTCCCTAAAAAAAATATCTGCTTATTATTTTGATAAACCGTGCTGAGTTTAATTGCTTTTCGACAGCAAAAAAAACCACATATTTCTAAACCCTACAGATACTTAATTCCATGGCAATTACACTTTTTCCTCTTTTAAACCTTTGATCTCTAAGAGTGACTAACATCTAATTTCTCCGAACAATATCATCCCTAAATCAAAGATTAAGGTCACAAGAAAAAAAGGAAATGATCACCAATTCAAGAAGCTCTTGATTGTTAAACAAATTCTCCTTGTCAGCACCTTAAGAAATGTGTAAAAAACAGAGGGGAGAATATGCATACTGATGTTATGGTGTAGGGAGTTTTTTAATCTTATTTTTTTTAGATGATATTTGCCTTGTTGTTTTTAAGATCATATGATGCAAAAATTTGCTACAATTCCTCCAAACGCTAAAAATTGCTTAAAAAATTGCCGAGTAAAATCTGGACGTCCGACTCAGATCCGCATCTGAGAACGACTTATCAAGAAACGCCCGTGCCCATGATGACGAACAGTTGTGCCTAAATCCTATCGGCTAGGGGTACGCCCGAGGAGCACCAGCACTATCGAAGATTGTCGGCTATTGTAATATGGCGGACTATTCCGATAATACCATTTGCGATTCACCAACAGTCAAAAAACGTGATTGAACCAGACATGAACATTATAACATGCTTTACATGTGAAGAGTACATTGTTGAGTTTAAATCAAGGAAATTTCGCTAAATTTTGTATGGCTGTTTCCTTCACCCTCGTCGATCTTAAGTTTCTTATTCAGCTGAGTTTTAGCTGAACACTGTAGCTGCTAAGACCTAAGCTTGCAAAGGTAAACGAAACTTATGAATAGTATCGCCACTATAATGCCTTTGTCATAGTGCTACTGGTCAGAAAGATCCCCAAGATGAAATTTCTATTCTATTGTACTTCTAGCCGGTAGGCGGTTGCCTCTCAGGAGGTTTAGAAAATACTACCGACTAGAGGTACAGCTTGCATATTTAATCAACTTTGCTCAACTGTTATTACGGTTTGCTTTGCACTTAACTTTTTCTGCACTCCAAATTAGTCTTACACTCGTTTGAATCACTTTTATAAAGAGTACGTATTTAGGCACAACCGACGAACTGGGCACAAAAGTGTACTGTTGAACTTATGTCCGCTTATTGCAGATATGTCCTCTGACGTAATGCGATTTAGTGGTCAATCATCTTGTGATCTATCGAGCAACACACGGCTTGGGACTTGTTAAGAGACTCCGTTGTAGTTCTGCCTTTATGCAAAAGTACTTATTGAAGGGGGTCGGGATAAGTGGAAAATTTGACCAGTATTTTTCGGTAACAACGGATGAACAACCTCCTGCTGATTTCAGGAAAACCTGCTATCCGCAGATCATTGGCTCTCTCACACACATTACTTCCCTTGAATTTTTGTTCTTTTCTTCGTTAACTCCGTGTGATCGCATTGTTGTTATAACCTAGGCGTGGAAGAACAACTTGCCGCGTAGATAACAAAGCGATCTTCGACTGAAGGACGCGTTGTTGTTCACGCTTTATAAGCAGTCTTGCGCTATTTACGGTTTTCATTGCTCGACTCGCGACTCAAATTACAAAATTTTACCCACAAGCTAAGAAAAAAGCACGATATAGCGTCATATCACAATTGTTATATTTTCTTTAAAAGTTGAAGATCATAGATCATGGTTCGTCAACATAAAATTATATACTTTTGACGCTTCATCCTGATCTGCCGGAGGTGAGATCGACTGAGAGGTCACAGTTGTGATTATTTGTCTGCGTCACGAAGTCTTTCTTCATTCACAGAAGTTTGGCCTTCAGTTTATGTTCTGTATCTCACTGAGCCCTCCGTTAACAAAAGTTGAAGTAGTAGATTGTGATTTTATTCGGTGGTTCCACTGATTTTAGCTGTTACAGTTAGCCGCATATTTCACACTGTCCAAGAGTGCTCTGTTGTTATCCCGGAGCGCTTCAAGCTGATCGAAAAGATAATGATCTTTGAAAACCGAATTCTTCAAGTGAAACTTATGAGCACGTACATTACATGAAAGCCAGTACGGTAGCCGTTCACGAATATACACTATCCCCTGAGCCATACTTGCTTTCCATCCTATCTTTCAATTACCTAAACAAGGCCACCGACCGCCGGACACCGGGGTAAATAATCAGCAACGACGCTTCGTCGGTCCATCTTATCTTGGGACCTTCTCAAAGTCTCTTGTGTTTAAATAAAACCAGTTCTCTTGTAATCGCAGACGAATGGACTTTCATGTTGACGATTGGATGTCGCTGATAAAGAATGATATAACACATGAGTTCCTGAACTATGTATTTTCAATATATACAGTGTATTTGTTGTTGTTGTTGTTTTGTGTTCTTTTTTTAGCAATGTTTCTAAATAATTGTAGGATATATTGCTCTTGTGGGTGGATTTGTCATAATTTACTCCGTTTATGACGAATTCACATAGTGATCAAATAGAAAATCGGGGTGAAGATGGCTATGGCAAGTCAGTAGGATATATTCCACTAAAGGATGAATTTCACAGAATTTACCCCTTTTTAAATTCTCAAACTTCGAGAGAGGAAATCTTTACGATCTTCTTACCAAACTCCTCTAAGAAGATTTCTTTTAGAATATTTGCAGATGATACTTATATTTTCTTTACCGGTAATGATCCAAACGAGGTTGAATTTACAATGAATGAAGAGATTAGGTAAGTTTTAAAATACTGTGCTATTAATAAGTTATCTGTAAATTTTAAGAAAACTAATTATATTCTAACAGCATCATCAAAGAAAAAAGTACATATAAATATCCACAATATTGATTGTAAAAGCTATATTAAGTATCTAGGTATTTACCTTGATGAGCATCTACAGTGGGAATCCCAAATTCCAGACGAGTAAATAATAAATTAGCAAAGAATGTAGGTATAATTAATAAGCTAGGACACTATCCTGATTTTCATATGCTCAAACAGTTATATTATACCCTTATTTATCCATACTTTAACTATGGTCTTGCCAGCTGGGGTGCTGCTTACAGAACTAAATCAAATAAAATCTGCACTGAGCAGAATAGATGTATACGAAGCATGGTCTTTACTCATGGCAGAGAACATGTCAACCCCTATTATAATCTTCTTGGAATCTTGAAACTTGTAATATTTACAGACTAAAAGTGTCACTTTTTACATATAAACTTAAGAATGACAAAAGTAACACCCCAACTGTACTACTGAGTATTCTCACACTTGCATCAAAGATTCACTCGTATAATACCAGGTATGTTGCGAGTCAAAACTTCTTTAAGCCATCAGTACGCACTAATTATGGTAGGTCTACATTTAAATTCTCTGCAATAAAAATCTGGGAATCTGTACCACCTGAATTTAAACGTTTTCCATACATGCTATTCAAAAAGCGGTATAAAAGATTCTTATTGAGTACTCAAAACTGACCATAGTTTAACTTTTAGCTATATAAGATAATGCTTCACAATATGGAGTTTTCCTTTTATCCTAACTTGCATGTATGTATGTCTTTCCTCTCTTACGATAACAATATCGTCTTTAATGTAACTATTAATTTAAATTATACTTAACATGCGGCCAACCCCAACTCATATCAACACATGGCAGTGGCCAACTCGAAAGCTCATTGGCTACTTTGGCCATTGTACACGATTAAATATTCTTTCTTCTAGTTAATTTCTGTTTGTATTTTTTCTATATCGTTGTAAATCATGTTATGTTACCGGTAAGGTATTTTTTCCGTAAAGAGTGTGAAATGATAAAGTGTGTGTGTGTGAAAGTGTTTTGCATTGCTTCTCTCCTCTAGTTGGGAAGTGACACACGGAAGACACGATCACAACGCACTTTGATTTGGAAGAAATAAAACTGCATTTTATTGGTTATTAGGCGTGAGGACATAACTACAACGGGAGAACACAACTACAAACGCCACACTTTGGGTGGTTGTTCGTTCCCAAACCTCTCCCGAGTTACTCTTATCGAAAGGCACAGATCCCTCCTCTGTCACGCCCACTTCTTTTCGCGCCTAGAAACGTCTAGACAGAGGATTAGTACAGAGAAAGGCGTGTTTTTCAAAATTCACCTCAACAATTATGTAGTATTGAAGCACATTCGAGAGCTAGGTTTGCGTGCCCAGTGTCAAATACTTGGAATAATCTGAGTAGGCTGTGGCAACCGCCTACGCAATCCTTTCAAGAGATCTTGTCACGCACTACTGCAAGGCCCCTTGGAAAGGAATGCGTGACAGCTCTGGCGAACGCACCCCGAATATATTAAATGTCTATATTTGAAACAGTTTGCACGCGTCGCTGATCAGGAAAAATAACCTACTTCTGCAGCTAAATTTGTCCGATGTAAATCACTCGTGCGAGATTATTTATTTTTATACCAATCGCATGGTGATTGTATAAGTTTGTGGTTTGTCTATTTTGAAAGGGACCTCTATAAAAAAAAAATATATGACCGTGACCTCTTGATAGTTTTTGTCAACGTCTACCCAGTATCTTTGTTGTGTCTAAATTTTCTTCTTAGTTTGTGGGCGCACACAAATACCGCGTGATGGCCCAAGAAACCGCGTAGTTTCAAAGATTGAAGGTCGTAATTTTTCGCTGTAAAGCGATGAAGAGGCAAAACGCCAAGCGGTTTTCTCTTCTACTACGTGAGCGAACATCTGATCGGAGCCTCGACACATAATTGAGGAGACAATTATACTGAAAACAAATACTAATAGCGAGACTGATAACTAGCGTTTGCCGCAGTGATAAAAACGCAATTTTTTTACGGGTGGCTATTGCAATCGAAAAACGACACAAATTACCGTAAATTGGCATGCTCTAGCACTTTCTATGACTGTTAATTGGGAGAGCATTTATCCTGTTTTAAAAATTACCATATTGTAATTGAAGGATACGCGCCACCAAGGAGGGGCCACAAAAAAAAAATTCCTTTGTGCTTCAGTGCATGCGCAAGATACTTTTCCTGCGGCTGGAAAAGGGCGGACTTGTGTTTGGGTTACTGCATAGTTTAAAGCATATGAGCTAAGTTTTGATCTGTAACAACTCCATCAAACAGGTATAGTGATCTTTTTTCTACTTTGTACTCGAGCTAAAACTACGCCATGGCTGTCATGTTGCGAAAAGCACAAACGGATATACGTGAATACGTGACTGGATGAGTCGCTTCATGAAGGCGTTGTTCATTAGATACGGAACATACGAGCGATCGTTCGTTCGAGAACATTTACATTTGCGCACTTAAGTTCAGGTATTACCTCGATTGTGCACTTTTCGTTACAGGATGCCTTACAAACAGTGGTACGAAGATCTTGAGCAGATCAAGCGTCGGTGCAGGCAGAGCGGCACTCTTTTTGAAGATCCAGAGTTTCCTGCGATCGACAGCAAAGTCTTCAAGAAGCGAGTGTTACCTGGTGGTCAGTCGTTCGAATGGCTTCGACCTCAGGTACGATGACAAACATTGTTTTGCTTCTTATCACAGTATCTATGGTTTTATTTGGTTCTGGAGAGTGTTAAAACTCTTGTTTGTCACAACAAGTTTATTTTGATCGGGGAAGCTTTACTATATTGTAGTGAAGGGCTCGTATGACTTCTTCAATACCAATGATATTTTGCAGCGTGACTCGCGGTGCTTTTGCTCTTAACGTTCTTTTAAAATCTCGTCTTCAAATTCTGCTGGGTATTCAGCTAGCTCAAGGTTTCCCATAGCTTTTCTCTCTGTAACTCAGGAAACATTTACATTAAATATATTCGCACGCCATTCATTTCATAAAAGTTAAATGTATGTAAAGAATAATAATTTTCTGTGGTCGGCGGAGCTCTTTTGAATTTTGGTGACAATTATTTCGCATACTTAAAATAGCGTCATTTGGATCCCAAGAGAGAAAAGTCGGCATCGACCTGCAACGAAAAAAAAATATTTCAGACGAAACAAAACATTCCGGTTGAATTGATCAGCTATTTAAGCAAAGCATGTTAAGTGAACTTCTGTGGAGAATGCTCTGGAACACTTAGCTCGTGATAGCAATATTCACAGTTAATTTTTCATCAGAGAATTTACATGAAGAAGGCAATTCTCGTACTCCATCTACTGAGGGATTCTTTTGGCAACCTCACTTTTTGTGAGGCTCATTAACACTCGTGGAGCAACATGTGTTGTTAAATGCCAATCTCTCGGAGTTTGAATCATTGCCACCTATTGTTCCCATTACGATTCTCTTCCCTAGAGCAAAGAAAAATGCTAATTACCACGAGTAAAATTCCATCAACGTGCGATTTGCATGTTTTGTTTGTAACTTGAATTGACAATTTATCATCATAAAAATCCTTTGTGTTTCTGAGAAAAAAAAACTTCTTTGTGCATTCTTTGTTGTTCAGTTGTTAGATAGTGCATCATCCGATTACTTACTCGAAGAGGACTTCGTATCGATTTCATTTGGCGCCTTTAGTTTTTAGATCCAAATAGTATAATCTGTCACGCAACAAGAGAAGGGAAATCTTCTAGATACTTAGGTTTTGGAACATCTGAAATGTGATTTTTTGAATAATAGAAGGAATTAAAAGATCAGTCTTGAAAATTTAACCATCAAAAGCCTTGTCAACCTCATTTGTTTTCAATCAAAAGTAAGTCACAATGGTTAACCCTTACACCCTAACATCAGTATGCACATTCTCTACACTGTTCTCTATACATTTTCTGAAGTGCTAAGAAGGAGAGTTTGTTTAACAATTAAGAGCTGTTTTAGTTGGTGATCATTTTCATTATTCATGTGACCTTTTTGTATGATTCAGTGGGGGACTTTGTAACGAGAAATTAGATATTGGTCACTCCTTGGAGTTGAAAGGTTTATTGGACTTTCACCTGAACCATATGGCTCTCAATTAAGCATATTAGTACTAATATGAGCCACTGAAACCTTTCTATGCAGACACTGGGCAGCAATAATAGCCTATTCTCATGAATAGGCACTTGATTAAAGTATGCTAAAATTGGCTCTGCCCAACTCAATTTGTTAAATATTCAACAAATGCCAGCGTGGTACTGAAATATCACAACCCTGACATATATGGAATAAGCTTAATGGAATTTATATTTGGTAGTGGTTGTATTATGGCTTCAGTGAGTGCATTTTCTTCAAATTTATGAACATTTAATTTTCTTTTCAAAGGAACTGTTGGACGCCCAGGAATCAAGGGAAAAGGCAGAATTTGTGGTGGGTGGAGCATCCCGTCTTGATATCAATCAGGGCATGCTGGGAGATTGTTGGTTGCTAGCAGCCATTGCATCCCTAACACGAGAGGATGGATTGATGAACAAGGTCATTCGATTGGACAAATATGACAAGTTTGGCAGCCCTGGTTACTGTGGTGCTTTTCAGTTCAATATTTGGCAAGATGGGCATTGGGAGGAAGTTATCATCGATGACCGCCTGCCAACATACAGGAAGAAACTGGTGTTCATGCACTCCAAGGAGAAAAATGAGTTTTGGTGTGCCTTGTTGGAGAAAGCATATGCCAAGTAGGTGTTCTTCTCTGCATAAGTAAAAAAAAGATTCTGGTCAACTCATTTCACATTTTGACCCTAAGAGTGACTAGCATTCATTTTCTCCTTACAGTATCCCTCCTCAATCACACATTGAGGTCATGAGAATGAAAAAAATGATCACTAACTAAAGAAGCTTTTGATTGTTAAACAAATTCTCCTTATCAGTATCTTAGGAAATGTACAGATTACAGTAAGGAGAAAATTCACTCAGATGTGACTTTGTATAGGATAAGGTATTCCTGGAGGCTTAATGGACCTTTTCATGATGCATATTTAAAATTTGTTGTTAAATAAGCCAGCTTAGAGAGTTTGGAAAATGTCCCATTCCCGAAGTAAAGTAATTTTGTAAGCTTCACCAGTCTATCTAACAAATTTGACAGATTTCCTCTTACTGAGGAAGTACTTAGTTATCAATATATATGTTGAGTATGTTGAGTCTCTGACAGACTTTTCAGTAATGTCTTTTGACATATTTCCTTAGGTTACAAGGTTCGTATGAAGCCCTCAAGGGAGGTCAAACAATTGAAGCTATGGAAGACTTCACTGGTGGACTGGGAGAAGACTTTGATTTTAAGAAGATAAAGACTGAAAGTGAGAGGGAGGACTTGTGGAGAGTCATTGAAAAGGGCTTAAAACGAGGTGATCTCATGGGCTGCTCCATCACTGTAAGTATAATCATTTAAGTAATTGTTAAAAAAAACTAATTTTTTTTTTATTAAAAAAAAACTTAGATTTGATAAGTGTTGTTCTTTTCAGAGAACATCATTGCATGTTTGGAGGAAGAGTGTGTCATCACTGACTTAAAACTAGAATCCTTTCTTTTGTCTTTCTTGAATATTTCAGTTATGGATTGTGCTTTAGCAATCTCATCACCATCAAGTCTGTCTCTTTTTGAGAGGATATCAAGCCTTTAGTTCGAAAAGATGTTCTCTTTAAGAGGCTTAACACTTTATTATTGCTCAAGCCCCTAAAAGCCTGTGTGAAGAAACACACTTGTTGAGATCAAACAAGTGATTGCGCCCAACAGGGGAGGGATGGGAAAGATTACAAACAAAGAGAAAAATTCTTGTGTGTGAACAGAGTAAAAGAGAAATAGAAGCAAATTTTCACAAGCAAAGGACAATGAACAAATTCTGAGTACCCATGTCCCCAAAGGTCTGTGGTTGGGTTTTTCACGGCCACTCTGGAATTTTTCCTGTCCTGTGCCAATGACAGGTGAAAAAAGTCCCTCTCAAAGAAAAACCTTGTGACACTATTCCCCATGTGATGTCCTTCCAGCAGTATATAATCCCTCTTACTATGTGCTTTACTATGAAAGTACCTAAATTAAAATCATGCATGCCAGTGAGACCCATTTCTCATTTTATTGCTATCATTTCGATGTATAAATTACTGATTCAATTGCAAGGTGGCTTGTTGGTGTAAACATTGAGCATTCTTTAATGTGTCAGACCAACAGTATGTTAAAAGTAATTTTTTAAATTTTTTTTTTTATTTAATAGGCTGCACCCAATCAGATAGAAGCTAAAGGTGACTTGGGATTGGTTAAAGGTCATGCATATTCTGTGACTGGAGCGACCACTGTAAGTCATCTTCAACAACAATCTTGTGACATGTTATTCTTGTACAACTGTATACTTAAATGTATCACCAATGCTAGCTTGTTTCCAAGGGAATTAAATTACTTTGTGACCATTAAATTATTTATTATTTATTTATTATGATGATAGAATTGGAAACACTCAAAGCTGCCTGGTTTTACTTCTTATAATGTCATTAATGAAAATGATTCCTTTTCTGTTCTGTACAGGTTAATTATCGTGGTCGAGGAACAAAGTTGGTCCGTGTGAGGAATCCCTGGGGTAATGAGAGAGAATGGGAAGGAGCTTGGGGTGATAAGTAAGTGCTCCTGTTTTGCAAATTTCTGTGCGTGTCTCGTAGTGCTGCCAAAATCTCAGAGATAGAATAACAAAGTAGTAACATAGACCAGTGAGATGTGACTTAAGAGCCTCAAGCAGTAATAGGTTGGGATTTAGAAGGGAGATTCTAGAGGAAAGAAGCCGTGTTTTTTTTTTTCCATGTGGTGGGATTGGCTTTCAGGGGTAAATTGATTGAGGGTGAAGTGAGTGAAGAGCTTCACAGAAAGGACGCTGATTTACTCTGGAAAGTTAGACTTTTTAATTATTTAGCCTAAGAGTCTGTTGCTTTTGTCAGTCTTTTAACAAAACAGTGTAACCTGGTGATGTTCCTAAAGAATTTCTGGTGGGTATTGGGATAGTGGAAATAGGTTAAGCTTCAATTGGGAAGTAACTTATTAAATCAGTTGGTTGGGATGTAACCTGTGATCAGGAGCTAATTTTTCAGGTTAGGGGAGTAGTGTTGTCATGCAAGAGTCAGCAGGCTTGCACTGTTACACTGTCATGCTCCTCTACATAAAGGATGTGTATAGTGTAGAAATAGGGAATAAGGAATTTTTGAGGAAACAAGGTAGAGGGATCGTATTTGTGTCAGAGAACTCTAATAGAAACGTGATCATACAGGTACATTTACATGTGAATCAGGTTTGAGTGAACAGAGGAGTTTGTTTTTTATGGGAATTTCGCATTATCTTGCATTTTTTAATGCAGAATCTTTGATTGGGAGTGGAGAAAGGTAAATGGATAATTTACTTCTTGTGGATGCCAATACCTTATTTTAAGGTTAGAGTGATTGGCATATAATTGTTTATTTCTGTCCTATAGATCCAGTGAGTGGAAAGGGCTGTCTGAATCAGAAAAAAGGGATATGAAGCTGAGTTTTGCAGACGATGGTGAATTTTGGTATGTTATTGATGCTTGAAACTCCTTTTTATCTCCTCATGTAGAATTTTCAGTTGATTGCTTAATTATGAATCCAAGAGCTTTAATCCTTGAATTCTCAGAGGTGATCAACATGTAACCTCTCCCATCAATATCTGAACATTATACAGCAAACAGATAATGAGAATACTCAAAATCATCAGGTAGAGGCTACCTGTATCTTGATCTAACACCAAATTCTCATAACTGATTTACAAGGAAAGCTGTAGGATCTGGATGGATGGCTGGCTGGATGTGGGAGGGATATGGTTGAGCTGGTATTGGGTGCATTGCTCACCGAAAAAAAGTTTTCCAAGATTGGTGAGCTGAAAAAGCAAAGAGACCATTTGAAGGAACAATTCTTTCACCAGAAAAAAATGAATAAAAACCACTCTCCATGAAGCTCTCTAGGACCATTAAAAAGTAATTAATGATAATAAAAGAAAAACAAGCAAATTTAATTTTATTAATGCTTGAGTCAGAAGTGTCTAGAAAAATTAGGAATGAATGGAGGTGGATAAGTTGGTCATTCTCAGCTTTTAACGCTGAGAACATGTGAAACAACAATCTCACAACTCCAGCACTCAAATTACTTGTTCGTGTTACACGTATATTTTTGCACCATGGGTGAAATAACCTGTGATGGACAAGCATCTATCACTTCATGCTACAGAAACAGGGATAAGATCTGCTGGATGGGGCTCTTGTTTCAAACCTAACCTCATATATTTTTTGTCACTTTCTCTCTTCTATACAGGATGTCTTTTGATGATTTCACCACATATTTTCACAAACTGGAAATTTGCCACTTGGGCCCAGACAGTGCTAAAGGGGGTGGGGACCATGGTTGGGAAGGAAGGGTAGAAAAAGGTGCTTGGATTCGCGGTTCCTCTGCCGGTGGTTGTCGCAACTTTCTGAATACATTTGCCCAGAATCCCCAGTTCAGGTAAAGATTTTTTTTTTCTACAACATACATGTTCAGAATATTCTTAATTCACTCATTTTTTTGTGGTATTTTCAGATGTACCGGTAGTTTTACATTTGATGTGAAAACATTTTAAGGATCCTGGTCAACCAAACTCTTATTTTTGGTTATCAATTAAAAAAAAAAAATCAATAATGATAAATGATGAATAAAGCACTCATTATGTAGAGGGGTTTGTTACTTTACTGGCAAGAGTGATGAGCATCTAATTTCCCCCAACAGTATAACCATGAATCAAATATTAACATCAGGAAAATAGAAGAAATGATACATTACTCCTGAAGCTCTTGATTTTTAGACAAATTCCCCTTGTAAGTACTCTGGGAATTGTGTTGAGAAAAACATGGAGAACTTGAATACTGATGTAAAGGGTTAAATCCCCATATTAAAATCTCAAGAGGTGATATCCTCAAGGTAGTTTTCAGTCATTCTTTATAATCCTATATATGTTCTGGATCAATTTCAGTATCTGACCAACTGCACACCTACCCCTACCCCTACCCCTACCCCTACCCCTCCCCTAACCTCACAACAGTCAACTGATGACAGGTCAGGCTCAATTTTGGTTTAGGGGAGGGGTAGGTAAGCAGTTGCTCATATACTGATATTGATCCTCCTTTCCACTCTAATCAAGGGTTGATCTGGAAGATACTGATGATGATGCAGATGATAAATGCTCCTTGACTGTGGCACTTATGCAGACCAAGCGTCGCAAATTGAAGGCAGAGGAAGGAAAGCCCATGTTGACTATTGGCTTCTCCATTTACAAGGTGAGTGTGTTGAAATTAGTCAACTAAATAAATGAAATATAGACTCTATCAATTAACTTTTGACCATGTAGTGATGGACGAGCCACTGTGAATACATACTTGTAAATATCATATTTTGTTGTTTTCATTGTATCAGGTCACAGATGAGGATTTGAAAGGTGGAAGAGCTGATCGAAACTTCTTTGCTTACCATGCCTCCACAGCCCGGTCTCCAGTATTTATCAACAGCCGTGAAGTGACTGGACGGTATACACTTGATCCTGGCTCTTATCTTATTATTCCAACCACGTTTGAGCCGAACCACACTGGTGAATTTATTGTACGAATCTACTCTGAAAAACCTGTCAAGACAGAGTATGTCGCTCTTTGCTTTGTGCTCATTAATGCGCTCTTTGCTTTCTTATTGTAACGTGTGGAATTCTTAGGTTAATTGTTTAGAGAAATTTTCAATAGAACTGTAGATTACATTGGGGGTTTTTTTTATTTCTGTGCTTTGTGATCAGTTATGCCATCTCTATGCAACCAATCAAATTCAAAACCAAAAAAACCAATCACAACTTCATCACCCTTGTTTTCCAAGCTTTGGTCAGTCTGTGTACTTTCACGTTTTAACCCTTTAACTCCCAAGATCTTAATAGTAATTCTCCTTACTGTCTGCCAAATAATTCTCATCATGTTAGTTTGGAGAATTTGGTATTGCATCAATTAGAAATCCCATAATTGATATTTTTCTTAATCACCATCACTTGTGTGCATGATATTGTATACATATAGTAAGGAGAAATTCTGTCTTGGTCGCTCATGGGAGTTAAAGGGTTAATCCTCATTGGCTAGTTGTGATATTTTCCTTTCTTCCGACTAGCCATTACTTTGATTTTAGTTTTACTCAGTTAAAATGAGCTCTTGTGACACAGAGTTACAGCAGTGTAATGAAAATTGGTAGTGGTGATGGAAAATGCCTCTTCTTTAGTGCTCTCCCTTTTGAAGTCATAGTTTTTTTTTAGCTTAAGTACAATCTTCTTCTTTTGATAAAGCTGTGTGCAAATTTTTATTCACTTTGAATAAACCCTCTGAGTGACTAGCATCCAATTTCTCCTCACAAAATCACCACTGAATCCCACATCATGTCATGGGAATAAAGCAAATGATCGCCAACCGAAGAAACTCCTGATTGTTAAACAAATTCTCCGCATCAGTACCCTCGGAAATGACTTAAGAACAGTGTGGAGAATATGCACACCGATTTTAGGGTATAAAGGGTTAAGATTAGAAACACCAAGCGTTAAAATGTAAAAGCTTATCACATAACTTTTAAGCGCATGTCGCCAAATTAACGATCAGGTCTTCCCAGGAAATGAAGTCGTCACTTTTTCATCTTCTTCCGTTTAACCCTTTAAGTCCCAGAGCTGATTCACCTGAAACTTCTTCCTATATTATCCATACATTATCTAGCAAACAGGCAATGAGAATACTCAAACTTATCAGGTAGAAGTTGTTATCTTGATCTAGCACCAAGTTCTTGTAACTGCTTTATAACGAAATGTGTAGCAACTAGAGGGGATAATTAACTATCAGATCTTGAGAGTTTAAGGATTAAAACAGTTAGGGTACAAAACACCTTGTTAGACTTGACCATAGTGGGTTCATTTTTTGTCTTATTTCAGGAAAGTTGATGTGAGGACATCCATTCAGTCCAGGGATGAACGCAAAGCTAAAGTAAGTGCCTTATGTTTGCTTACGTTTTCAATGCTTTCATCATCAAAGCATCCTTTCACGATATAAAATACTTTGAGTGATTTTTATGTGCTTGATACAAACCTTGATGTAATGTATAGAGGCCAGGTTAGTGTTAGTTTTCAGTTAAGTGTGTCCCAGTACCAAGAAACGGTTAACATCGACATTCGCCAACGAGAAAACGAAGTCAAAACACAGAAACTGCCAAAAGCGCGGGAAAACTCAAAATAAACACCAATAAAATACTTAATCATTTCACTGAAATATATATATATATATATATATATATATATATATTTATATTTTTAAAAGTAGAACAACGTATCACTAAAGTAGATCGTGTCACCACCAAAACCTGGAAGAAGTGCACGGCCTGCAAAGTGTAAACGAAATACGTTCCTCTTACGGTTCTCGTACCATATCGTAAAGGGTTTTAATATTAAAATAATGGCCTTTAGAATTTTTGACTTCGGTAAAAAGGAGTCACATCAAAAGGTGCGATTTTTATTTGAAATCAAAGCAACAAAGATCTTTCACGAATGAAGATAACATGTGAAGATCACATGTTATCTTCACGTGTGAAGATATCATGTTTTCGTGGGAAAGCTCGCTTGATATTTTATTGATATTAGTTTAACAATTTGTTTTTTGCTGTAGCTGCACTTGTTAAGTTCACTGATTGTACTTTGATTTTTTCTTTCACACGGCAAATATTCCTGAAAAAGGTGTAAAATACGTATCAGAAAATACTGTGAGTACTAGGGTACAGTTTGATCTTTTCAGCAAAAAGTTATTCAACTTCAATCATTGTAGATAATGAGGTGTACATTAACACACCCGAGGAAACAAGAAATGAATTAATTACATTGCGAAAATTTACCTATCAGAGATAAGTTCACTGCATTGATGAAATTATCAAGGAAAATCAGTTTTTTTTACCTTAATTTAGGAATATACTAAAAGTTATTTCTACACTAGTCGCTTTTTGTCAGAATCTCGCAGTTTTTCTTATCATCATTATTATTATTGTTGTTTTCCTTACAGTATAGATCAAGCCAATCTAGTGAGGACAGCGACGCAGCGGATGCTTCATTTAAGCAGCTGTTCAAGAAGCTTGCTGGAGCTGTATGTTGATCAATTTTAAATTCTCTTTAAAATTCCAATTTACTGTAAAACACAGAGGTGGTGAGAATTAAGAAAATTGTCAACTAATGATTTTTTTCTCAGATTTAACACCAAATTCTTATGCCAAGCCTATAGAAGAATGTATTTTGATCATCTGAGAGAATTCACTCTCTAATCTTGGGAGTGAACTCGGATGTTCCAGCTAGAGTAAAAAAGTAATCACCTGAAAAACGTTTATCTTGTGTGTTTTTGTGTATTACTTTAGGACTTAGAGATTGACGCGTTTGAGCTGCAACAGATTCTTTCAACAGCAACAAGGAAGGGTAAGTAAAGTAGCTCTTGATTTTTAAACAAATTCTCATTGCCATTACTATAGAAGATGTATAGAGACAGTATGGAGAAGATGCTTTTTTATTTAAGTCTGAGAAGGGTTGAGGCTCAACAAAGATATTTGTTTTACTCTTTTTATCCAGTTCTGGGTGGCAAGGAATTTAGCGTAGAAGCATGCAGGTATGATCAAAAGTGTTTAATAATAAATGTTTTTTTTTTGAGGGAGCTTGGATGGTGCAGTGGTGAGGGTGATCGTTTCCCACCACTGTGACCCAGGTTCGATTCCTGGACCTGACATAACATGTGGGTTGAGTTTGTTGCTTTGTTCGTCGTCCTTGGTCCGAGGAAGGGTTTTTTCTCTATGGGTCCCTCGGTTTTCCTCCCTTCGCAAAAACTGACATCTCAAATTGCAATTCGACCCGGAAACAGTGAACAAGAGGAGCCGCCTGGAATGTCCAATGCTAAATTCCCATTAAAATCGATATTTATTTGTTTATTTTATTCCCATTTTGAATAGGCGCTGCCGGCCTGTATCTCTATCTCTTGCTCGAATTTCGAAAGCAAAATACTGAGCTGGAAGTGTATGTAGCCATTAGAATGAATGGAAAAATTCGTAATGGTGTTCAATGATGCCATGATCCCACTCAATTACGTTATTTGTGACCTTGCAATCCCACTCATGTCCATCGGTATGGATTTTTCAACAGTGTAAATTGTGTTTTATCAAAACTGACTCAATTAATTGATGAATTGAATTTTTTTTCCACCCCAGGAGTATTATTGATTTGAAGGACGTATCCTATTGTTATATGTTAGTTTATATTTTTATCAGTTGATAGCTTTTAAGTGATCCTGGTCTGAATTTTCTCTTGTCGTTTTAAAAGATCTGAATTGACAAATAGGTTGAGTCTTCACGTTAATTAAGTTTTCCGTGCCGTCTGGAACTTAAATCCTTTAAACCCTAAGAGTGTCTGGCTTCTAAATTCTCCTCACTGTATTACCCTTGAATCAATCATTCAGGATCGCGAGAATAAAGGATGCTCTTGATTGTTAAACGAATTCTCCTTGCCAGCGTCCCAGGAAATGTATAGAGAACAGTATGGAGACTTTGAAGGGTAGTGTTAGCTGCAAAGGGTTAATCTGGTTTCTAATGTGTGAAGAAACAAGGAGTATTACCAGTCTCCTCAGTTTGGCTGCTTATGATAAACCAATCGTTTCTTCCCCCTCCCTCTCCCTTCCCCCTTTTCCCCCCTCCCCCGCGTTTTATCAGTGAGTTAGGATGATGGGATGGTGATCGTGATAATGATGACAATGATTGGTGCGTTGGAGGAATTGTGGCATTATATAGTATATGAAGGGAGAATAAAATTGACCAAACCATGCGGAATGTTAATCACAACAGTGATAGTAATCAGTGTAAATTGATCGGATTGGGCAGAATAGTAATCCTTAACAATGACTAGGATGACAAGACTGGAAAGCTGGACTTTGACGAATTCAAGGAAGTATGGATTCTGATTAAAGATCTGTTGGTGAGTAAATTTACAGTTGATCACAACTTGCGTTTGTCGAAATATCCCCCATTTTTTGTATCGATCAATCGCAATCAGCATATCAGAATTACTCTTTCAGGAAAGATAACAGAAAAATCCGTACGATGGGTGCCGAGCCGCCTTAAATTATCGAGGTGGACTGGGGAGGGGGATGAAGGAAAATAAATTGCGATCAGTTCTTTTCGCGCCCAAATCGAACAAGTAAATCCAAGTGAAGTTCTCTACCTTGTCATTACCTTTACAAGTTGCTCCTCCTTCGTTTTTGATCAAGACGTTGCTTGTATTTTGCAGAAAATCTTCTCTGAGCATGACGCAGACAACAGTGGTACCATGGACATGTACGAGCTGCAATCAGCTCTTAAAAAGCAAGGTGAAGGCTTCTCTTTATATTTTTCGTTTCCAAACTAATATGTCAGTATCGCAGGCAAAAAGCGTATTGAATTGTCTCCAATTGTGGCTGAATTACCTTGTTCTTATGTTGAGCACATTTTGGTAAATTAATATTAGACCAAATTCAAATTACGCGCACTGGCCAATCGGGACAAAGGTAAATTACCCGGTTCGATTTCTGCCCTTTTCTCTGGTTCAGTCTTTGATCCTTCCGAGTTCGGAGAAAGAGCGCGGGCTCATTCCTAAACAGCGGATGGCAATCAAGCTTATGAACACTTTTGAAATTGAAATAAGAAAGTATCAGGAACGAAGCCAGAACGGACAATTTTTGAGCTGAGACCCACTTTACTATTCCCTTCATTTACATTTTAATTAATGGCGTCAGGCTTACAAAGTTATCGGGGCTTTTTAGAAACGGGCCCCTGCTAGCTTGTTTAGACAGAACGATTCATTCTGTAGAAGGTATTGCATACGGCCCGTTCAATTGACCTATCATAGCGCACGTACTAACTGAGAGATACGTTCACCCTTCAACTCCTAAGAGTGACTAGCAACTAATTTCTCCTTAAAATGTAACTCCTGAATCAAACATTAAGTTTAAGAGATTAAAAAAAAATGATCGCCAACTATTGGAGCTCTTGACTGTGAGACAGATTCTCCTTCTCAGTATCATAGGAAATGAAGAGAGAACTTTTTTAATATTCCTTAACGATGAATTTGATTTCCCATTTCTCGTCAGGTATCTATCTCAGCCAAGAAACTTTGAATGCCATCTCTGCCCGCTTTAACAACAAGAAGGGAACCCTGTGTTTTGACGACTTCCTGCAGATTGTCTGCCGTATTTACTCAATTAAAGGTGCGCCGATATTCAGTTTTATTTTGACGTAGGCAAACGTGGGAAACAACCAGAGAATGTTTTAAGTATTTGTTTGCTATCATTGCTTCGGAATCACATTAAATCGTTATTTGACAGTTGATCACCGAAGTGGAGGTGAATAGTGGTAGATATTTACTAACACGGGGGTTAAAAATTGTTTTAGTAAACACCACATAAGAACCAATTTTCCTTCAATATACCAAAAAAATGATCGGAGCCCCAGACTTCTGGACCCCCGGACCTCTGAACCCCAGACCCTGTCACTAAGTCTGACGCTGAATGAGTATAGGTTAGTACTAGTGAACTGTCAGGGGAGGGGGCCACTTTCCACGGGATTAACAATGTTGCCAATCGCTTTATGCTAAAACAAGCGTGACAAGCTCTGCCGGCATGGGCCTGGCACGTGTGCCTGTGCTAATAGCGGTTTTCATTTCTTAGATGACTTTGACGGACATGCTGACCGTACGGGTAAAGCTACGTTTAGCCTTGATCAGGTAAGGAAGCGATTATTATCCGTGCTGACTACTGTGCAATTTTCTTTTTTTTTTATTTTTTATTTATTTATTTTTTTTGTATCGTGGTAATAATTTACAGCTACATCGAAAATATTTAAGTTGCGGTGATCAACCTTGGAACTAAAATGGTTTTAAGATTTCCGTATACCCCTTGATTAGTCAGACGGTAGTTCGTCTTAAGTTGGAGTCGTTTCATTTCGAGTGCTTTTCGATTGAGTGTCGCGAAAACAAACGTAAAACTTGACGTAAAACCCAAACCAAAGTAATCACAGCGGAAAATCAGAAGATTTTAAAATACTTTTAAGAGCCAATGAGAAGTCAAAGTTAATCCAACTAAATTGTCTGAAGCGCGGGAAAACGCACGTGACCAAGTCGTGATTGGTTTTGGTTTTGCATCTGATTGGTTGAGAAAGGGGTGCGAGTTTCGTGGACCAATCACAGAGGGAAGTAAGGCACAACCAACCCAATCTTGAAGTACTTTCGACACTCAATTGAAATTTGCTTAGCAGGAAAATTTGTTTGGCATCCAGGAGCTTCTTAAATGAATGATTATTTCCTTCATTCTCTTGATCTTTACATTTGACTCAAGGGTAGTACTGTGAGGAGAAAGTCAGGGGGGTCAACGGGTTAACGATGGAGAAGATTGTACTTACTTTGCAAATGATCAACTTGAGAAATTTGTCCTAAATTTTTAGTTACCCAACATTGGTTTATCTCTTCAATAGCATTTTCATGAGTTTTGGTATTAATAGTTATAATTACTTCATAATTGCATACGTTTTATTCAATAGCATTTACATAAGTTTTGGTATTAACGGTTATAATTACTTCATAATTGCATACGTTTTATCGTTCATCATACGTGATATTTATTTTCACTTTCAGTTCCTACGTACCTGTCTTACCATGTAATCTGACGGAGATAAAAAAAAAACTGCTTGGTAACGAAAACTTTAGAGAGCTTTTCTAATGTTAATATGAAACTAATAACGGCATGAATTAATGTTCTCACTTTCAAACTGAAGAATTTAACTTTGCTGATGCTGTCAAGCAATAATAATTAGCGTTAATTTGGATCGGTATTAAGCATTCGGGACGCATTCCGTAGCATGAATTACATGTTATCAGCTGGTAATTGCTTTTATTAGTTGTGCAACTAAATGAAAGGAATGCTTAGAGGAAGTTGGTGAAAGAGAAGCGTTGATCACATTCGGACAATAAAACAGCCATTTTACGTACGACTCAATTGAGTAATTTTGGCGAGCGAGTTTCAGTGTTTTCTTAGCAAAAATAATGGCCTCCATCTTTGATTTTAATGACAGCGGAAGGCTGAGGAGAGAAAGAAATTTGTACCAAGGGGGTGTGCTACAATAAAAATGAGGAAAGGGGGTGGGGGAGTGTCTTTTCGCCTTTCCCAGCCCCCTTACTCAATTCCTTAGTCAATTCTAACTCCAAATCAAACACGGTTGAATAAACGATCGCGCGCTTAATTGCTTAACGGTTACTTACCCTAATAAGACGCCTGTACTGCAGGCAAAAAATTTTTAGAAACATCAGAACAAGGCATTCAATTGATAAACCTTCGATGAATAACTATAGCCAACTCGCCTCATTTCCCCATCATTCGCTCGGTGCGTTTTTGTGTCTGATTCGAGATACCTCAAGTACTGGATTTCAACACGGGAAATAATTAGCTGGCACTAAGAGTGCATTTTACTCCTTCGACCAACTAATACCAACTTTCTTTTCTTTTCAGTTTATCACCACAGTTATTACTTTCTAGTTTTGCTGATACGGTTGTGCACAGGAGGCATTTGAAAGCGTGGATTACATTAAACTAAAAACAGTTCGCGTAGTTGTCTTTGTCATTGGTATATCACATATATTTAGTATGCTTTGTCAGCACTCTACAGATTTGTCACGCAATGGTGTGACAAATTCCGAGAGTCACTATTAAGCAAACTTATTTCTAGGGGTGTGTTTCTAGTATTTGGACTATCCGAATTTTCAATTTCGGAATAAAATCAAGAGTAAGCTTAATTAATAAGATAACTTAAACTGTTAAAATAAAACTCGTCGAGGAGATTAAGAAAGAAGTAGGGATAAGTCGTTAAGGTGTGTCTGCGAATTAACTGTTTCCACTTAGTATGAGAGAAAGATCCATCGCCTTTTTTTAATTAGTGTTTTTATTAAAGTAATCGTGTTTGTAACCACTAAATAAGACTTAAAAAAGTAAGGGCAATAAAGGTCTGAAACCACAAGTTTGGTGTGTTTACTATTACTGTACAGATAAAAGAGAAGCAATGTCTTTGGAAAGACGTATTCTCAGAACTTAAATTCTTTGTATTTCTTCGCGGATTTCCCGCTGTCTGTGGCCTTCTTACGTTTCTGCGAATGAAGAAAAAGAATTATTTCCACTTACAACGTAAACTTACCTTGGGTAGCAAGTAACGACATAAAAAAGTCACAAGGGGCCATTGAGAGATCGCAGAAGTGAAAGAGCGCGGGAAAAGCGAGCGAGCACGTCGCAATTAGCTTTGGTTTTATATCTCATTGGTTTGGAGGATAGATGGAGTTTTCTATACCAATCGCAACGCAGAAAAAAGCAAAAAACATACATCTGATTACTTTTGACACTTCATTTCCGTTAGTGAGCGAAAGATCAATTAATCAACTTCTTGAGTCGGCGCTTGTTTGCTATGTCCAACATCGGTATGCATATACTCCATACCGTCCTCCATGAATTTCCTAAAAAGCGTACATGAAGAAATTTATTTAACGATGTAGAGCTTTTTTGGATGGTGATCATTTCCTTATTCCTGTGACCTTAGTGAGTGATTCAGCGGAGATTTCGTGAGGGTGAAGTGATTATCGAATATAGATCCCGTGAGACACAAGATGATCACACATGTACTCTCATCCTCTCCACCAAAGGAAGTTATGGAGCAGCAGAGTGTTTCAGTGTCATTTTACTTGCTATGCGACCAAAGAGCATCGCATTAGAGTCAGTGAGTGTGATAGTAAGAATTCGTTTCTATTTTCTAGGCACGGTACCTTCTGTTTGGCGGCGTGCTCTGCAACCATGTCACTCAGATCCTCTTTCTGCAGTTGACTCTCTCTTTCTTTGAGTTGTTCTTCGTATCTAAAATACACCAACAAAGAGAAAATTTAAGCACAACTTAAGAGACAACAAGAAGAAGACTTGGTGCGTTCAATACAAACTGGCTCTGAAAGGAAAACAAAAGGGTACGTTTTTGTTCCACTGGAAAACACGCATCTTGTTGTGTGCGTTTCTATGACAGTTACTCCCAAAGCGAGAAATGATACGGCCAATTGATGTGTTGAGATATGGCGTTAATATATAACCAAATTCTTTGCACAGGCCAACAAAGAAGTATGCCGACACCAATAGGGAGAAACAGCTCTTAGATCTAGGGAATGAAAGTATCAAATTATGCTTCTTCAACAACAATAGAAACTTACCTGGCCTGCATGGCAGCTGGATCTAACTCCAACTCACTCGGGTCCAGTGCTACCTCGACGCCTTCGGTGAGAGGTGCACCAGCCTGGAAAAGTTAAGACATAAATTAGTTCCTAGGCAAATTTCAAGACCAAAATACGCGCAAATAAAATACAGCAACGAAAACTGATTGAAGGTTTTGGAAGCATAAATTTGCCATTGAAGGCTAATCCAACTTACTTTTCTGGGACCTCCTGCGGCAGCCTGCAAAAGAAGAGGAAGAAAAAAAACATTTGAGTCTTCCAGCAGAAATATATCAATTTTTGTCGCTAGAGGTGAGTATTCGGAAGTCTCTGCGATACTACAGTGTCTGCGAGTGACCAAGTCGCGGTTGATTTTAGTTTTGAATCTGATTGGTTGGGAAGGCGCAAGTTTTGTGGACCAATCACAATGACATGGCGAAGTAAAGCAACACCGGAAAAACACTCTGATTACTTTCGACCCTCAGTTGAAAATTCCTTTAATAAAATTAATATCAGTTTGGAAACTATCTGGAAGGGATCCGAAACGCCAAAGGTCAGATTTTTTTTCGTCCCATTCTAGTGGCGTTTCATATCTTTTATCTTTAGTTACTAAATCCTTTGGTGAGACTTACCGATGCCACGTCGTACACATGCGCGGATCCCATCATGGCGGCGCCCACGTTGACTCTCTTTTCAGGCAGTACTGTATACAGTGGCTGTTGTTCAGCACCACTCTCCATCGCCTCCTCGATGTTCTTCCTCTTTCGCAGTTCAATCATGTCCGGTGTCTCCATGCCAGCTGGTATAGAGGTCAGACCGCTAGGTGTGATCAAACCACTGCACGAGAAACCAGACAAGACAGTTAGAGCAGCTTAATTCTTCCTTTCTCCCCCCCTTATATATTGTCTGTGGGACCCAAGCGTCTCAACGCCTTTCACTCTAACATCAGTATGCATATTCTCCCTACTTTTTTCCATACATTTCCTAAGGTGTTGACAAGGAGAATTTGTTTGTGATCACTTCCTCTATTCTCGTGACCTTCATGTTTGACTCAGAGGTGATTTGTAAAGAGAAATTAACCACTTTAGGCAACTTACGTGTCCGCCGGTGTTATGAGACCCGTTTGATCTTCTTCTTCCTCCGATTCCTCCTAAAACACAGATTCACATTCTTAGTTTTTTAAAGCATGTACCTTTGGGACTTACTTATTTGTAAAACAGATATCATATCAAATCAAATTCCCTATTGCTGAATCCCTTTGGCTAAGAAGATCGCCCATTGTAATAGGAACTTGTTTGACAAAACACACCATGTTACTTTAGTCAATACGTTCCATCGCCCCTCTACGGCTTTCGTGTATTAAATTCCTGCCCACGAACAAAAACACAAACCGGCGAATGAACGTACCTCGGATTCGGACTCCTCCTCGGACTCAGATTCTAATTCACCCCAGGGTTGACTTTCAATCTGCTCGTCTTCTTCCATCATCGGAGCCTCGTGCGACTGTATACCAAACACGTCACCATACAAAGGCTTCCCTTGTTCATCCACTGGAGGCTTACCCCAGCCTCCTGCGTGATAACCAAACGAGGCACCCTGGGACCAAAAACGTTTCATTCAAGGTCTTTCAATAGTATTTTCTCTTTTAGTCAGTTCTTCCCGTCGAATTTTCATCAGAAGAAAGGTTACCTCTCCCTGTAATCACTTTACCTTAACCCCTTAACATCAGTATGCATATTTTCCATAATGTTCTTTATACATTTCCTGAGGTGTTGACAAGGAGAATTCGGTTTACCAATCAACAGCTTCTTTCCTTGGTGATCATTTCCTTTATTCTCATGACCTTAACGTGTGATTCAGGGATGATATTGTAGCGAGAAATGTGGATCTTGTCACTGTTATGGTTTATAGGGCTAAACTTCAAATTCAAGGTATGGAAAACATTGCTGATCTTCAGTTCCTTAAAAAACTGGTGCGAATTTTTCTTTTCGCAATGAGCACACTAACCATAAAAATACGTGAATTGGAATGTGGCTTCAATAGAAACAACCAGTCTCGTTCATAAACTTGGAACGGAAAAATTCAAGTTTTATCTTACCTCAGGAATGGGTGCATTCAATCCAGGGATCTTGAGGTTGGGGTATGAAGGAGGAGGGCCGTACCTCTGCATGGCGATTAACCAGGGCGGTGGAACTAAATTACTGTTGGGGCCAATTGGCATACCCAGGGCTGTTCTTAAGTCATCTGATAAGTCTCCTGGCTTCTTTTCTTTCAATCTTGTTTCAAACTCTTTACCCTGGAAGACATAATGTTCAGCTCAACACCGTCTTAACATGACACTTAAAAGGATGCTAAATCGCCTTTAATAGAAGTTAACACTTTTGAGTAATTTCAATAGTGTTCATCCTTTGTGGGGATACAAGAAATCTCAGGTTAAAAGCGGGAAGGCCCATCCCACCAAAACTTATCCTCACTTTGGGGGCATGAGGTAACTAGCAGTATTGCTTCTTCCCCCAGATGGGATACCAGTCCCTCGCAGGGTAACCACTTAGAATCTCGTCAAGTTTTCACAACATATTCCTGTACCATCATACATACCCCTGTAAAGTAACTTGCCCAAGGTGAAGAACACAACAAATTGACCCACCCAAGACTCAACCCCAGACCTTTCAATCCATTGTCCGATGTCACAATGGATTTGGACAACAGGATCCAGCCCCCACTCCGAATGCGCTGGCAAAAATGGACCGAGGGTTGGAATCTAGGAGGGCCCAAAGACAATAGGAAACTAGCGCACATAAGGCGACAAGGTCTCCCAGTTCTTGCGAGAGAGTGAGTGAAGAAACTAGGTTGGAAAGAGTACATTTCTTTAAATTACTGCACAAATAATTATGTCAATATGAACATACATAACAACCAAGACTTACTTCATAGTAAAGTTCACCGTGGATAAACATCTTTGGTTTTGTTTGCCACCTGAAACAATTCAAAATAGAAAACATTATCTATTGCATATCTTTGTTTAACCCTTTTAACTCCCAAGATCTGATTGGTAATTCTCCCCTCCAGCTGCTACACTTTTTCTTGTAAATTGGTTATGAGAATTTGGTGTTCAATCAAGGTAATATCTCCTACCTGATGAGTTTGAGTATTCTCACTACCCGTTTGCTGGATATTGCATGAGTATTATAGGGAGAAGTGACATGTTAATCAACTCTGGGAGTTAAAGGGTTAAAATGTGTTTTACGATTTTGTTAACAAAGAAAGAACAAAAGAATACTTTAATTGTCCCTCACTCCTTAATCTAATTATTTTTTCATTCCAAAAGGAGGAACTGCTCATAGTCTATAGCACCCAGAGAGTAACATGTTTAACTCACTTGAAGAATGCATCATGAAGCTTTTGATAATCAATATCAATCTTGCCCATTTTTGGTCTGACCTACAAAACATTATGAAACAAAACATCAAGATTATAAACACAATAGTCCTTAGTGTCTGCAAAATCAACATAATGAAATAAAATACAACACAAATGAGACATACTTTCTCTCTCATCTTTGCTTTCATAGTCTTCTGATCTTCCTGTAATGAAAAGACGAATCAAGACAACAGGACTCATAAAAATCATTTGTAAATACTAACCAAAATTGTTGAAAGACAGCTAGTCAGGAGAGAAGTACTCTACCAAAAGAGGCATAAGGCTTTTAATAGCAAAAACAAAGTAAACAGTTTACCTTTTCCTGCATAGCTTCTCTCATCTCCATAATACCAGTTCTCTGCAAAAGCAAGTCATGCATATCATCAAAAACAAATGATATGTTTGTTTACTGGCCTTTCGTTTACAAACAGGCACATAATTGGTGGTAAAAATTGTAGGGTTGCCCAGCACAAACCTTTATAAACTCTGGCAACTCAAATGGTGGCTTCACGATACCTCTTTTACCCTTGGAAAAAATGAATGAAGTGTTAAGTAAAAACAAGAATATCAGATAAAATCTGAAATGGAAATTCCCTGTTTTGACAGTTTCTATCAGCAATAAATGTATTGCAAAATCAAGATTTTATTTAGCACTAGCCAAAGGCAAAAAGATCGAGAGCACCAGTGTTAAAAGTCACATGTAAGAACAGTTTTGAACAGCCCCTATTACATTTACCTAGTAAATTTGTTGTGATACATTTGAATGGCACTTTTTCACCAATTTTTTCAAGTTACATGAACAAGTTCTTAAGGGTTCCAGCTTTGAATAAAAAAAATTACACAATTTCAAAAATGACATCACATGATCACTAACCTCGAGGCTTCAAAAAGTTGTTATAGCATTTAAGATTTTTCCTTGTTAATAGCTGTAATGTTGTTCAAAAATTACATCCTATATCCATATCTCAAATAGTTTGCATATAAAGGCATTGTAAGTTGCAGGAATAATTGAGAATTCTTTTCTCTTGTCCTGCAAGTAGAGATACCTTCTAATCATTCTCCCAGTAACACAAACACTGAACATAGGAGTAGCAATGTTCAGAAAATTAGAAGTGTCTCTGGACAAACTTTTTTTTGCAATTTACTAACAACATGAATATCAATTTCTCACCTGAAGATATTTTCTTTTGAAACACCAATGTCTGGGAACAGGCACAGTGTTACGGCAAGACTGAAAACCAAAATAGTTCAGAAATATTGAACCAATGCTAAAAGGAACAAGTTGAGTACATGTAGGTAAGGTCTGCAATCATACAAGTGATTAACAACACTGAACAACCAAGGAATAAGAATCTGCCTGTTAGATAAAGAGTATGACTTCAGTGACATATGGATGAGTAATAATCAAATGAGCTACCTTGGACAAAATTTGCAAAACAAACAACCCATGCATTAGCCATTTTCATATATAAAAACTTACCTGTGAAGTGAAATTTTTTGCCTAATAACGTCTATATATGGAGTGTGCACAAATTATGCATAGAATACTATAACAGCTTTAGGTTTGTGGATAACCTAACTATGCACTGGCACAATGCAAAGGTAATGTGCCGACAATGTAATCTACAAGCTCAATTGAAAGATCTGTTCTTGTAGGAATGAGAAATGCCAGCTTAATATACTTTTCCCATAAATGAAAACTTTCACTGAGCAACAATGAATGCACAGCAAACAGCAAAATGTGGGAAGGTACTTAACTCAAAGAAACAGTTCCAGTAATGTTATGTCAAGTCACAGAGGCAAATTCAAACAAATTTTGTTTTAATGCTACCTGTACCTGTTCTGGTCCAAATGTACACACAGCAGAAAAAAACTGTTAATTACTAGTTAGATTTGTATCAAAAGCAACAATATCTACATGTAGTTACCTTCAGGAAGACAAGAAATTTAGGATCCTGTGCAGTAACATCATGCATTTCAACCACATCAGGTCTGGGGACCAGCTGAAAAGGAAACAAACCATAAAACAATTCTTAAGCAGAGTGGAAGTTTGGAGAATGGACTCTTGCATACACAGACAAATTTTTTTGTCACCACCTTAACAAACCCAGTTTTAACTTCCACAAAAAATTGTATTTTAACAAAACAAACCTGTTTTAATTCAGCCACACTTAATCTGTTCATCTTTCGAAGTTTTTTCTTAGACAGCTTTGGCTGTTCGTCTTCAGGTTTTTTCTGCAAAGTAACAAAAATACACAAAACCTCACTATAGAACAAATGTATTTAAAGTATATGTATGTATTTTGAACACTTATAAAAAAACACATCAAACAAATACTACTGAAATCCCATACAGTGAAAACCACAGACCAAACAAAAACATGTTTAATATACATGTAGTGGCAATGTGTTAGAATTTCGCAGTATGCATATTACTTCAACTATGGTAAAGAGAGATTCTGATTAGAATATAGTCAGGGTGCTCTCCCACACCTCCCCCTGTCAACTACCAAAATGGATGAAGATCAGGCCCTCTAATCACAGAAACTGATGATGGAGAGGTTACTCCCCTGCTACAAACATCAATCAAAGCTTTTTAGTAATATTTTCAGGATGGACATCTCATCAATTGATGACTAGATTTATAATTTAAATCTAAATTCCATAAAGTTGACAAGGGCTTGAAAGTATAAAAATCAAGAGCAAATCCAGAGGCTTTCATATAAATCTACTGGCAGTTCAAAACTTAACAACAAAAGAGCACCTTAATTTCATTTTTTTGTTTTTTGGCTTAAAACTGCTCAGAATCACAGAGTAAATGGTGTGTAATGCAGCCGATCAGATGGCAGCATTTGCAGTAAAATTCCTGGTAGATTAACACTTCTAGTTGTTAGTATTCATAACTTATCCTCACCACCACATCTTCATCATCGTCGTCATCATCATCATCGTCATCTTTAGTGAGATCTTTCACTTCACTCTTCTTTGCCTCCACCTGCAATAGACAAAGAAAACCATTCCATAGACATAAGTATACAACCTTTTTTCAGATATTTTGAGACCAAAAATTTTACTTACTGCTTCTTCCTTTTCATCAGTCTTTTTCTCTGCTGCATCACTTTTAGCAGGATCTGATAACTTAAAAAAAGGTAAAAACAAATTAGATTGTGTGACTTAACTGAGCAAAAAAAAAATTGAAGATAAACCAGGGTCAGTAGAATTTCCTTGCATGCTTCCTGTGCATGCTTCATGCTTTTTAGAGCCTTGTGAAACTATTTTCATGGAAAAAAAAAAAGCATATTTTTACCTACTTCACTCCAAAGATCTTAATATCACTTCTTTGTATACTTTGGTCCAAAAAATGCAGAGATAAATCAGACAATACCCTCTTTCATTCATTTATTTCCTTCCTCTCCTTTCTAGCTTGAAAATTGATATTACAGGTAAAATAACTTATTGTATTAAATCTCCTGATCAATTTTCATATACTGTATTTAACAGATTAACACAAAGAGATACCTTGAAAGCCTCAAAAATCTTGGCAAATGCTCTGTAGTTTGGGTCCAGTGGACTGATGGATTCAGTGACATACTCAATCTCAACATTTTCCTTTTCTTCCTCTGTGCCACGTTGCACCTCCTGGACAAACTATACACAGTAAAATGTGTGGAATCAGCTCAACAAACAGAAAATTTGAGACTCATACTGAAAACTTTTAAGACAAAGCTTTTTAGCTCAGAATGAGCTGGAAGTGATGCTGTGGTGATGATGTCCATATCTTTCTTTTATCTTTTGTCATCTTTTAAACAAGACACTATGGTATGCCTCACGTATAAACTCTAAATGCAACTTCATTCTGGGCTTGTTGATTTTGAGGTTGTTTTTAATAAACCCTTTCACTCCTGCAATGTCATTAGTAATTCTCCTTACTGTCTACCACACAGTTCTTTTGATATTAGTTTGGAGAATTTAGTACTGGATCAACTAATAATCACCTAATTGATATTTTTCTTTTTTCTTGTCACTTGTCTGCTTGATATTGTACTAATATTGTAAGGAGAAATTCTGACTTGGTCACTCATGGGAGTTAAAGGGTTTAGGCAGCACAAACAAGAAAGAACCGACAGAGATAAGTCTAGTGGTATCTTTTTCAAGTTTACATGACACACAGTGCCATTTATAGCTTAAACACTTTGTAGCTTTACAGTCAATAAAATTTTTGTACACACCTCAACCTTCTTCTTTTTCTTCTTCTTCTTTTTCCTCTTTTTCTTATCTTTGCTCTAAGAAATGGAATAAGAAAACAGTGCTTAGGTACATGAAAAAGAATGCTTCTTAAGTGTCAGCACCCACCTTAATATCCGGCTGTGAAATTAATTTTTTTTCTAATAGCCACTTGGCTCCTAAATTTTTCAAAGTGGTAGCCAATTCAAAAAAAGTTGGTCGCCATTTTTAAAGACAAACAAAACCTTTTTTTTAAGCTGTAAGTGATCTAGAGAGACCCTCCAAAATTAAGTTCTACAGAGTTCTACAAAGAAGATACTAGGATGGATGATATACAACATTCAAGCTCACCTAAATCCAAGATGGTGTCTAGTTATCGATCAAGATACATTTGCCACGTTTTGGAAAAACTTAACGAGGAAGTTTGCCATAGATTTATCTTTGCAAATCTTGTTAATTCACTATATTTCTAGGTATGGTTATGACGAAGCATTCCTGTCACCAATTTGGCAACTGCTTTTAAGGATTTGGTTGCTAAAGTGAAAAATTTAGTCGCATTGGCATCTGTATAAGGCACAATTTCACACCCTGAATATACCTTAACTTTAGACATATAGTACGTAACTTACCAGGTACTTGAAGTTTTATGTTTTATCATTGTTTTTTCTTGTGTTTGTGTGTGTATGTGTTTTACAGCTGTACATGCTCTAGTATAGGTGCTTGCCAACTTAAAATATTATGGATTTTCAACTCAATTTAACTATGCTTTCTTCGGTGCAAAAAAGCAATACATACCTCTGTGCGTTGTTCTGGTTGTTCATCTTCAATGTCCTCAGTATCAATCCTCTGATCATCAACATAATCCTGATAGTCATTTTCTTCTTCGGCAGTTTCTGGTTCAAAGCTATTATGCTCCATGTCTTGCTGAGTCTGTGGAGGTTCATTATCATCATGATTAACAATACTGTCATGTTCCTCTGCAAGGGGATAATCTACCATCACCCATGGTTCACGAGAATCTGAAGTCATGAGAGTATTATCTTCGTAAGATTCTTGCTGGAGCCCATCAGTATTGGGATGTGATTGTGGAATATTTTGCTCCTCTGGTGTATATAACTCAGCATGTTGCTCTTGGGCATTGCCTTGAGCAGATTCTTGCACAAATCCTCTTGAAAGTGCAGCGTTTTCTGATGCAATTTGATTCTGGTCAGGTACAGGAATGTCTGCAGTTTCTTCTTGAATTTGCTCAATTGGCATTTCCTCTTCTTCTCGCATTTGGTCACCTTGAATTTGTTCATGAATAATCTCTGGTTCAAGCAAGCTTTTATTTGTGATTTCCTCAAGGGAATGTGAATTTTCCTGATCCTGATTGTTCCCTTCAAGATCCCTTTCTGGGATACTCTGTTGTTCTAATGCTTCTTCTTCCGTTTCAAGCATGTTTTGACTTTGATGTCCTTGTTGGGCTGGTAGATGATCATCTTCGACAGCCTTGGGTTCAAAGGAAATTTTCTCCTCTAAAGGAACATCTGATCCTGGTATGCGATCATCCTCTGTCTTTATGATTACAGGATAATGTTCAGAATCAGACGGATACATCCCCTGGTCACTATCTGTAATTGGTATTATCACATGTTTGATATCTTTTTCTTCACTGTGAGTAACTGTATGTTCAGGGGGAATCACTTCTTGGGTGGAAATTTCAGGCTCAGCTATAAATACAACAAAAGCATGAGTTTAGACTGAACAAATTTTCAACACTGATGATACTTTTCAAAAGTTACCAATCCAAAACAGACCTTCATGATCACTGCTTTCTTCAGCTGGAGGTGCTTGGGGAGGTGGCAGCTGAAAACAAAGAAAATACAATCAAAACTATTTGATGGGTAACAACATTATTTCATGTGAAATATGGTGTTAACAAGCATGAGTAAATTTTTCAAAGACAACAAAATTGGACAAGTCTGTAGGGGGAGTACAATTTGTAGTCTTCAAAAAATTTTCAAGTGCTTATTACACCAAATTGCTTGCCATTACAACTGCACTGAACAAATGCTCAGACCATCAGATCAACTGGGAACAAACAGATTTTGGTACAAAATGACCAGATTGTGTGACATCTAAAATCTCACAAGAACATTTCTTGCAATATTTTAGGGGTAATGTACTTCGTGAATTTAGGTCCTTCACAGCAAACTTTTTATTATCAGATATTCTAGAACACGACAAATAAAATCTACGTCTTCAAGCTCGGTTTTACGTGAAGATGAAGAGGAAAATTTTATCCGAGTATTGTATATAATTTATATCTTTGCATAATAATAGTTGGTGAGATGTCTGTACAGATTTTACCAACTTAATAAATGTGGATGTAAATGTAGATGAAGATGACACTTTCTACTAACATGAGCTCAAGCTAAAAACTAATTGCATACATTTAGTACGTGGATAAGTAAACTATTATGAATAGCTAGTTGCATGTTCAAGCTTACCGACTCAAAATAACTCTGGAGCCTTGCAACTAGTTCAGCTTTCAAGCCTAAAATTCAAATCATAGGAAGAAGAAACCATCAAATCGTATTTTAGCTCTAGAAATGCACGTGGATAGCGATCAAACATTCCATCTGGCTGGGAAAGATGCAGACCGATTACGCTCACTAAAAGCCTCAAAAGTCACATAAGATTAAAAAATAACAAATTTAAATGGATTATCTTCCACTTTACCTGAAGTATGTAGTCCAAGCGATGACAAACGAGCCTTAAGCTCGACAACTTTAAACTTTTTTATTTCCTCGAATGTAGGTATGTCGTCCATTTTGGATTGAATGCGACCTGGCGACGTTTGCGGAAAGGATTATGGGTATTTCACCGTGAGAGATTGGATACCACATCATCTTGCCGCCTGGCGGAAAATGTCATCCTTACTCTGACCTTCGAAATTATACTCTTTATAAACAACTTATTAGAAAAATATTGTTGGATTATGGAACTTCACTTTCTTGGCACAGGGTCATGTTATCCATCTCCTAACAGAGGAGCCTCGTGCATTGTTTTACGGCACGAGACAGGCTGTTGGATGTTTGATTGTGGGGAAGGGACCCAGATTCAACTTATGAAAAGTACTCTAAAACCGGGAAGAGTCAATAAGATTTTTATCACTCATCTTCATGGAGATCACCTCTTTGGTTTACCTGGCCTTCTTTGCACATTAGGATTGAACTGTGCTGAAAATAAGCAGCCCATTGAAATCTATGGACCCGTTGGCCTGAGGAAGTTTGTTAGATTGTCTCTGGAATTGTCACAATCATTGCTTGGTTATTGCTACTCTGTCACCGAGCTGCAGTCTTTTGCATCAGGTGGATGTGTAAATGTTTTCTACATTCTCTCTTGTATGATGCAATTAGTTTTGCCAGAAAAGGCTCTGGTGCACATTTTAATTTGAGTATCACAAAACAAGACCTAAGTTTTCTCATCAAAGCCAATCAGGGCAAGAATTAAATGTCACCAGGGGTCAATAAAAATTCAAAACATAGAAAAACAAAACTGAGTAATTTAAGTGTAATTTTTTATTCGCTGAACTGAACAACGTACACTATATTTTGTGATGGTCCTTCTCTTCCAGGAACTAATGAGGAACAGGCACACTCATCATCTGCATCAGACAGTTTACACCCAAATGAGACTCATGGGGGAATGATTCTTGCCAATGATAAAGGTGTATGGGAAGTTTGCCAAGAAGGAAATTTAACTGTGTTTGCAGCGCCACTTAAACACCGTGTTACATGTTTTGGTTATGTGATTCAAGAGAAACAGCTTCCTGGAAAACTGGACCCTAATATTTTAAAAAGTAAAGGTATTCCCCCAGGTCCTCTTTATGCAAAAATCAAGAATGGTCAAACTATAACAGCTCCTGATGGTAGTCTAATCAAGCCTACAGATGTACTGGGGTCACCACGCCCTGGTCGTAAAGCTGTTATCCTTGGAGATACATGTGACTCTTCAAGGATTGTAGACATTGCTTCTGAAGCAGATGTTGTTGTTCATGAAGCTACTCTTGAGAATGAATTGATGGCTCAATGCATAGATCATGGTCACTCAACTCCAGGTAGCTAATTCTGACAGCAACTATATGTATGCTCTAAAAGCACCTCTCCTAGAAAAGGTTTCCCCTGAAATAAGATTTGCTTGTGCAGGAAGCAAAAAAGTCTGTTATGTTCTCCAATCCCACACACTGTTAACTAGAGTGGAGTGAAGGGAAATGGAAAAAGTTAAAAATGTTAAAAACAAATTTGAAAAAGGGAATTAGCATCGTATTTCATGGAGTAATTTATCCAAGACCTGTAATTTATACAGATGAGCTCACATGTAACAAACTCATCTATTTTCATATCCTGGTGAAAGAAAGGCTATGTTGACTAAATGAAAAAGCAAATTAGTATCACATTGCATGGTATTTGTCCAACAGCTTTAGCAGTAGTAAAAGGGGTTGGTTTCTAAAGAAACTGTGGTGCCATGTCAGTGGGAGAGTATAATAGGGTAATTTGGCATTATCAACTGCATTGATAATGTAATTTGGCCACTGTAGAGAGTTTTAAAGCTGGTAGTTCAAGCATTAGCCCATTGTCGGATCATAAGACGAAGGGCTAAAGCTTGAAATGTCAGCTTTGAAACTCTTTATGGTGGCCAATTTATGTTATCAACTCAGTTGATAATACCATATTACACAGCTTTAGCAGTAATTTGATACTAATGAGCTCACTGATGACAAACTCTCCACAAAAAGAATGGAATAGTTAAGGTTCTCTTTCTGTGTTTTTTTCCCAACAGAAATGGCTGGACAGTTTGCAAGGAAAATCAAAGCCAAAAAACTGGTTCTCACACATTTTAGCCAAAGATACAAGAGAGTTAGTGACATTGAAGGAAGTGGCACTGATGACACTGCAACTGTAAAAAAACTTCTTATGCAAGCTGAGGAGGCATTTCTGCCAGGAAATGTTGTTGATGCTGATGATTTCATGGTTATACAAATTCCTCAAAAGCAATAACAAAGCACTTTTAATTCTGTTCATACCTACATCTAATGTAGTGTTCACAAACAATACAGTTCTCTCAATTTTTTTTACACGCACCTGTATGATACTGACATGTAATGCTATAATTTAGCCAACAGGAAAAAAAAAATAAGTTAAACAATTATCTTATGAAACCAATGAATTTATCTAACTATATTTTTGAGGTAACTATTACAAGGGGGCAAGTCCTAACCTACATAATCCACTATACACTTAATTTCAGCTACTGCTGATACACAGTGAAAATTGCCTTCCTCTGAAACTCCCAACTTTTAGAAAAATTCAGCAGCAGACTACAACAACTATATTTAGCTTTTTCAAGCAGTCAGCCTTGGCCAATAACAATCACTAACTTCATTAGGTCACCAACTGCTTATATACATTAATACAGCATTAATATTAAAGGTTCTTGAAACCTTTAAAGTAACTATTCTTGTAACATTATGTAATGATTGCATCACTCAGTAGAATGTTCTAGATTAATCCACATAGCATGACTAAGCTTTCTAGAAATTTCCAGAAACTCTCCATTCACAGCTACTCTTTATAACAATTAACACTTCCTAAAATGGACCATACAGTTGATTCTTGCTATTTGAATTCTTCGGTTATTTTTTTTAACTTAATTCACACTAAAACAGGCACCACCTTGCTATTAGTGATGTTTGTGCATACTTGCAATAACTCTTTGATGATGAATTTGAAACTTCTCCCCACAATGTGAATACATTATTAAGCAAATATGTGATAAGAATTGACACAATTATCAACTTGAAGAGGCTATTTTGATTTAGCACTAAATCCTCTTTAAAATTAATTTACAAGAAAATCTATTACATGCAAAAGGGAAAATTTCAAGACAGGACTCGGGGTTCAATGGGTTTAATGAACTATTTTTTGTGGTTCAAAGCTCTGCTAGAAGCAGATCTAGTCCACCTGCTACATCTCCTTCAAAATAGTATACTGGATACTGGTTGTTTGGCTGACCATTCCGTTGTATGTTACCTCCAGCTTCTCTCCTTCTCTCTCTGAATCGCTGTAGCTCTTGGTGTTGTTGTCCACCAGAAATCAAGCTGTGAATGCCATTGCCAATGAAACCCCCGGCGGTCCCTCCTATGGTCACACCAGCAGCCCCACTCCAAGGTCCCAGGAGGAAAGCACCTGCCCCCAAGATCATACCCACTCCAAACCCAATCTGAGCACCAGGATTGCTAAGGGCAAGGGTCACCCAACAATAGATCACACCAAAAGAGAAAAGAATCATCTCTATGACCTCACGGAGCATGTAGATGAGGTGAACTCCCAACTGATTGGTTGCATTAGGATTTTGGAGGATGAGGCGCAATATTTGGAATACAGGTGGCAGACCAATTTCCAGGTTGTCACCATTGGGGTTTAACAAGCAGTTGGTTATGATCAAGAAGTTTCTGACATTAAGAATTGCTTCTTGGATCAACGGAGATTTTCCTTTAAGCGTCTGAAATTTCTTGGCATCATGATAGGCACCCTCCAGCAGACTGATAAGTGACGTGTATCCGGCAAAGCGACCGTGTTCGGGCTTTTCGGTACTGATGGAGAGTTTAATTTTCTCCTGTGCAAAGAGGTCAGAAATGCTGTTCCTCAACTCTTGCTGATGAATTGGACAGAGGAAAAGATCCCTTTTGTTGCCACCTTTTGCTGCTTTTGAATTCTTAGTTGAGCAGGACGGATGACGGCAGATAACCTCAGAGGAAGTAAAGTTCGGATCGAACTGAAGGAGAGATATTTCTTCGTAAGCCCCGAGATGGCCAGACTTCCGCAGCGTCACTTTTGTTTTGAAGTTGTCCCCAAAAAGCTTTCTAGCATCAAGAAGGCTAGATTTGCTCACTTTTGGCGCGGGTGACACAGGTTTGAGGTGAGCGAGAAGTTCTTGTTGCCATTCTTGTACTATCTTTGAGACAGTTTCGCCAGCTACCGGTAATACAAGGGAATTATTCCTCAATTGTGAACCGTCAGCTTGGTTTCCAATAATCCCGAGTTTAGCGCCTAAAGCAGATATTTTTTCCTTTGCAATTTCATCATACTGAAACGACATTTCTGGTCGCTGGAGTTTGCTCTTGTTTCAGTCTGGACGAGGTCACGAATCGAACGGAACTAACGTTTGTCTCGGTTGGAAATATCTACAGGATTTGAGGGGAAACCCCGATGGGGATTACATCAGGAGAATTTCTCGCTCTTTTTTGAAAAAAGGCGTTGATGAAAAATTAATTTCTCCCGTAGAGAAGAACATGACTTGGCAGATTTCGAGGAAATGTTTCCTCATGAAACCGAAAGATTAAGCTTTCGAACCGTGAAGGAAGTGAAAATTCTGGTAAACGACTCCAGCATTAATATAATCTTCCGGGAGATAAGTTTAGAACCCCTAAGATCGCTTAACCCGCTTCCATTATTTGATGTTTGTTCAAGAATATTTAGAAACATGACGCTCCATTACAGCGAAACTGAAAAGGGAAAAAACCCCTCGTTAGAAGTCAAGAGTTGTTTTTCTATATAAACGCAATCAATTGTATCTCTTTTAAGACAACAATTGGGACCAAAAAAAAAGAAATTGTTCTACTCGTATCTAGTTTAAAACTACCCTTCCAACTTGACTCAAGCTAAGCAAGCGAACGCACATAGACTTCATGTTTTTAGGAAGGCTTCAAAAACTATTATCAAAAAATCAAAAACAAATATTAAAAAAGGGAAGTATGAATTAAAGATATCACAGAGGTTACAACGCGCAAGGTAACTTGGGACTGTCTCCATCCACATTCAAGATGGCGACCAAGCAGTTAAGCGGGGTTCTGCGAACATATATTGCCGCAGGTAAAGCATCTCCTTCTCCCCCGCTAGGCCCTTCACTTGGACAGGTAAAATAGCCTTGTGATATTTTGATTGATTTTTGCTGGATTCCTGTTAAGCTGAGTTTCGTTTCTGTTTTGGATGAACAGCGAGGAGTGAACATAGCGCAGTTTTGCAAAGAGTTTAACGAAAGAACTAAGCACATTATCACTGGAATTCCAATTCCTACGATCATCTCTTACAAGGTAAATATTGAGTATAGTCAACTTGTGTCAGTTCTTCTCGCTGGGAGCAATTGCTGGCTTTTATAACAAGACGTGTTGCTAAAATCTGTAACAGACTGTCTAATTGAATGGACAAAAATCCTTCATTAAGGATTTTCCCTTTGAACTTCACTCAGCCTTCTTGATTTGAGAAAAGAATTTGCAATTCTATTATTTTGACGTTTCTTTTGTGTTGCTTGTTAGTTTTTTCTTTATCAACACAAGGCCTAGGCACACTGCAAGGGCACATTTCTTTATACACCTTTTAACTCTTTACACCCTAAGATCAGTATGCACATTCTCCATTCTGTTCTAAATATATTTTCCTAGGTGCTGACAAGGAGAATTTGTTTAACAATCGAGAGCTTCTTTAATTTGTTATCATTTCCTTTATTCTCATGACCTTAATGTTTGATTCAGGGTGATATTGAAAGGAAAAATCAGATGCTTGGCCCCTCATAGTGGTCAAAGGATTAAGAAACTTTATTTAAGTGTCAAACACTTCAAGCACTCTTTTCACATACTAGGTGCGCTATAAATATATCAATTTTAAGTTGAAAATAAACGCATATTTTGCATGTTCTGATATGGCAAAATGGCTGTGCTGTAGTGGAGGTTTTTATGTTAAACTACAATGCTGCAGATATGATGTATTGATTTTTTATTTGACTTATTTATTGAAAATTCAGAACTAAGCTGACTTATTGATTGATTGGTTGCTGTTATGATTAGTTGGTCGATGGAATGATTGATCAGTGGACCATTGGTTTGTGAACCAGAGGACACAATACATTGATATTCTCACATAAGTAACCAATATTGAAAAGCTATCAACCTCAAGAAAAAGTTTACGATCATGTGTTTTGTATTGTAGGGTGATCGCTCATTTAGCTTTGAAATGACTTCACCTCCAGTCTCACATTTTCTAAAAGCAGCTGCTGGAGTTGAGAAAGGGGCTCAAAAACCAGGTAAGACTCAAATTTAATTACTTTCCTCATCTGTTCATGTAGCCTGTGGAGCAGTGTAATGCAGAAATATTTTTGGTTTTTGCATGGGTTTGAATCATGTCAAAGCCCAATTTTTTTCAGGCCCTTCCTTCTTTTTGCAATATATTCAATTTACAGTTAACCCATGGAGATCATTCTCTTAACTGTTAGCTTAGTGCTAAAAAAATTGGTCTGGAAGGGAAGAGAAAGAAATTTTGATGGAGAAAGAAAACCCAACAATTGTGATCTAACCTTTACCCTTGAACTCCCATGAGTGACCAAATATCAACCAAATAAGTGATGAGAATAAAGAGAAATGTCAATTTGGGAATAATTAGTTGATTCAATACCAAATTCTCTGAACTTACATGATGAGAATTGTATGGTTTATAGTAAGGAGAGTTACAAATTTTATCTGGGAGTTAAAGGGTTAATTCAAACATGACAGCTCAGTAAACAATCACAAGCTTGCAACTCTTGAGACACTTGCACTGCAAGCAGCTTTGAATATTTAAAACATCTGTAGGTTGGGTTATAATACTTGTTGCAATCTGTTAGTGCAATGAATGTGTTACTAGTAATCAGATCCTTGTGTTTGTGCAAAGATTGCTGGAATCGCTACTGGGCAGACATGGCAACTCACTATGTAGAAATGTATTATGAAAAGTTGTTTTGACATCCAAAAAAACGATTTTGGAGAGAGATCAATGCTATTTCACCTCAGTGTTATCATAAATGGATAAAGATAATGTTGATTTGAGGGATGTGTAACCCATTCATTCAAGTTGTATATAAAGTTGTACCTCCTTTAAATAAACCTCCTAACCCAAGTCTTACTCATTTCTGATCAAAGGAGAATACTGCCTTTAACCCTTTAACCCCTGAGGGTGACTGGCTTCTGACTTCTTGCAATATCACCCCCTGGATCAAATGTAAAGGTTATGAGATTATAGGAAATGATCACCAAATTTACAAAGCTCCCAAACAAATTCTTCTTGTCGGTGCCATAGTTTTTGTAAAGAGAAAGGTGTGTGGAGAATTTGACACACCAAAGAGGTACAAAAAATAATTTAAAGGACCTTTTGAATGTATTACATTAAATATCTCCTTGTAGGCCATGAAGTTGTGGGCACAGTAACCCTCAAGCACATTTACGAAATTGCCAAAATCAAGAAAGAGGACTCATCGATGAAGAATGTGCCATTGAGAAGTGTATGTAGATCTGTCATTGCTTCAGCCAGGGGCATGGGCATTGAGGTTGTTCCTGGTAGAGATGCAGATACATAACACACACCCATCACTAAAACCTTAGTGACTAGTCATGCAGTCATTTGGGAAATATCTTGTGCGAAATGGGAGATATATCTTTGGATCATCTGAAGTACATTGCAGAAGAAACTACCAAAAGAGGAAATCTTGGTTTTTATCAGAATTATGCTTTTGCAGGTGTTCAGTTAGTGTAAAATACAATAATAGCACTCATGCAAAGTGAAAAGGAAGGCAAAAGTAGAAAAGAATAATCTCAACTTTTGTCAATCCCCTTCCTTTTTTTGTCTCATTGTTTTGCATCAACCTGCATTTACCACTCATCCTTTTTACTGACTAATTGCCAGGAATGGGCTATCGAGGAAGTTGCAAAGGAGAGGAAACAAATTTGATGTACATAGAAGAATTTATCTACCATAAGTACAGTATCCCAGTTTTAGCTTGAAATTGTTGGATTATAATGTTAGTATCTGAGCAACTGCACCCCACCCCTCCCCTCACCCAAAATTAACCCTAAATTGTTATCAGTTGACTTTTGTTGGGTTAGGGGAGGGGTAGGTGTGTTGTTGCTCAGATACTGAAATTAATCCAGATTGATCATCAAACATGTTTGTGAACAGGCCACAGGTTATTACCCATATAAGGAATTCAACTATTCCCCATGTAGGAGAGAGAGCTTGGGTTTGAGGTTGTCGAGAAATGCACACCTCTGTTCCAAAATGATAAGTTGATGAAGTTTGATGCATAGTAATTCTCATAAAGAGGATGTCAGAATGAGACGAGTCGTCTCACTGATTTGAAGTTCACAACTCCAGATGGAACTTGGTTATTTAATAAAATTAATGTGGTATTTTTGTTTCTTTGCTTTTCACCACGATCGCCTTTGCCAGTGTAAAGTAGGAAAACTATGTTATAAAACTGTATGAAAGGATATCAGCCCGAAGTCCGGTCTTTTCAGATATTTTCGCAGTACAGTTCAGAGCACCCTTGGTTAATAAGAGTTTAACCTCCTGACTGGAATCTGTCTTTTGACGCAGTAAATCTTTGCGTTTGTGACATCAGAAATATCAAATTTTTATTCGAGACGCAAAACAAATTAGCCCAAAGCCAGAAAACCGGCCAAAATATTCATCAATACCATATTAATCAAAACTCTAGAGTATTCTCTACTCCGGACTACTCAACACATTCTAACAACTACTGCCTACTCGTCTTAAGAATACAAAGGCCTTTCTTTCAGCAGCACTTTTGATAATTTTTGGCGTAATAAGCTACAGTCAGGGTTTTCTCGCGTTGCTGTGTTATCATTATGTTAAGATTTTTCTCTCCGCGCACCTCTTTTCTTGTTTTCCCCCGGCTTTCCACCAAACTTCCTTTCTAGTTCCGCCCTTAAAATTATAAGGGATATGACACGATCGCTCCTGCGCGAGGAAAAGAGAACTACTAAATGGTCTTGAATATGAATTTCAGGTCATTCAATGAGCAAATTTGCAACAACAAAAAAAAGAGAGCAATGTACAATGGAATTTTAGAAAAGAACCAAGTGTGTGAAGACCAAGCCACTTAGTTCTGAAAAACGTTAATGTGGTCGACAGTGAATTTTCAAGTTGTTTATCGTGCGCTTGTATTTCCTTTAGAAACAGGTTGTTAAAATTAATGACGCGATTTTGTTTAAAATAAATATACATGACAAAGTTGAGCATCCAGACTACGAAACATGCAAACATAACGAATTGGATTCTTGTTTACACAGCAGGAAAACTCGAATGGTTGATTCACTCCGTGTGACGAGAGTTTTAAAGTTGCTATTATCTTACAAACAGAAAACGTGTGAACAATTTTGGTGACCATTGATACAGCTTCCATGGAATCTTCAACAATTTGTGATTTACCTCTTCCACTGAATGTGTGTTTTGTCCATTTTCGTCATTTCCAGCATGCGCCTCATTTCGTGGAAGAGAATGCGTTGAAAACGTCTTGTTTGAAGAGGATTTTCTCAATAATTTAAGCTTTTGACGGAGACAACATCGCCAGCACTTGAGAAAAACATTCTTAAAATTTCTCTTAAATTCGTTGTGCCTCCACGCGTATAAAGGAGGATTCACTACAGAGTTACTGTACAATAAAATTCAAATCCAAAAAAGAGCTTCTTTGCTCTTAGTCGTCTCAGGAGTGGCAAAGTGGTAGAGAATCAGAAATATGTGAGGGTACACCAAACTTATGAACGCTCCGATCACAAAAGCGATCGTACCTGCAGCTTTGCGCTCTTCTTTCTGAACTCGGGTATCCCTGTCTGTCTGTCGTTTATCGAGGTAGTGACAGAGTCTAGGTTCAAGGGCCGCAACGAACGAAAGACGTACCACTTTACCCGCAAAATCACTGTTAGTGCGATGTTCCCTGATCGACTTGCTGGTAATCTTGAAAATCTTATAGTAGGTTACCGCGATGATTAAGGTAACTAGAAGCACAAACCCATCGAAGAACGCGAGGAAGGGTTTGTCACTAACGCCTGGAAATTTAGGAAGAAACGTTACAATCAATGCCACCATCCAGATCAATGCAATCGTTAAAGAAACTTGTCCCCTTGCAACTTCACCGATGACAGATGAAATATCGGGTGCGACAAGGCGGTGTATCGCAGCCAGCCTAGATAATGATGCAATGATATTCACACGACCAATAAACTCAGCGATTTCGATCACCATCGTTGGCACTGTTTTTCAGCGATACATGGTCATATGTTGTGATGCACGCATGAGTACGAGAACAGCGCCCAACAAGCAGATCGGCCAAGGCGAGGGATGTTAGGAGGAAGTTCGAAACAACCTGGAGTGATTTGCTCTTGCAGATCACAGTGATAGTGAGGGAGTTCCCGACAGTCCCGAACGGAAACAAGATTTTTCACTCATGAAACGAGGAGAACACTGTTGGAACTTATTAACAAAGTGTCAGCATGTTCTTTACTTGACACGTTCGTAGAAATTGAAGCTCACGTGCATGAAATATTATTCGAAATGAATCTGCTAATTTTGATTGCAATTGTGTCGTATTATTCTCTTTGAGGTGAAATATGAGGCACATTTGCAGCACCAGGTGGCTTGCAAAATGTTATTATTTCAGCTGTAGACTTACTTTTGCAAAAATTATCATTGAATGCAACAAATTAAGTCGAGAATCACTCCTGTCAAGGAAAAAAAACAAAACAAAAAAAAAAACAGTATCTGTCAGTATTCTTATTATTCCAAAAAACTTGTTTTTTAACTTTTCAATCTAAGTACCAGCTGTTATAATTGGTCATGCGTATGACTCTTGAAGAATTATAGACATTGCTTCTGATGCAGATGTTGTTGTTCATTAAGCTCCTCTTGAGAATTAATTGATGGTTCAGTGCATAGATCATGGTCATTCAACTTTAGGTAGCTACCTCTGACAGCAACTATATTCACACTGTAAGAGCACATCTCCTTGAAAAGGTTCCCCTGAAATAAGAATTGCTTGTGCAGGAAGCAAAAAAAATCTGTCCTGCTCCAACCCAACACTTGTCAATTAGAGTGGAGTGAAGGGAAAAAGAAGAATGTAAAAAATAAAACAAATTTTGAAAAGCAAATTAGCATCACATTACATAGAGTAATTTATCTAAGACCTGTAATTTATACAGATGAGCCCACACATAATGACCTCATTTGTTCTCATATCCTGGTGAAGGGAGGTCCATGACTAATTGAAAAAGCAAATTAACATCACATTGCATGGAATTAGCTTAAGTAGTAATAAAGGGGGTTAGTTTTCAAAGAAACTGTGGTGCTAAATCAGTGGGAGAGTATAACAGGGTAATTTGGTATTATCAACTGAGTTGATGATGTAAACTTGCCACTGTTAAGAGTTTCAAAGCTGACGTTTTGAGTGTTAGCCCTTTGTCAGAGTGAATGAGGACAAAAGATTAAAGCTCCAAATGTCAGCTGTGAAACTCTTTACGGTGGCCAGTTTACGTTATCAACTCAGTTGACAACACCATATTCCCCAGCTTTAGTAGTAGTTTGATATAAAAGAGCTAACACATAACAAACTCTCCACATAAAGAATGGAGTAGTTGAGGTTCTTTTCCTGTTGGACTTGAAGTGCGGAGTCTTTCCTAAAAAAAATGGTTGGATGATTTGCAGGGAAATTCAAAGCCAAAAAACTGGTTCTCACACACTTTAACCAAAGATACAAGAGGAGTTAGTAACATTGAAGAAAATGGCACTGATGATACTGCAACTGTAAAAAAAACTCCCTATGCAAACTGAGAAGGCATTTCCACCAGGAAATGTTTTTTGTTGCTTATGAATTTATGGTTATACAAATTCCTCAGAAGCATCAATAACAAAGAACTTTTAATTCTGTTCATTTCTACATCTAATGTAGTACTCACAAGCGATACATTTCTCCCTAATTGACACTTGTGTGACTGACACTGTTGTGATACAATTTAGCCAACAAGAAAAACACCCTAAGTTATACAATTATCTCATGAAACCAATGAATATATCTAACTATACCTCTGAGGTAATTATTACAAGAGAGCAACTACCAACCTACATAATCCACTACACACTTAATTTCAGCTACCACTGATACACAGTAGAAATTGCCTTCCTCTAGCAAAGCACTTTTAATTCTGTTCATACCTACATCTAATGTAGTGTTAATTCAAAAACAATACAGTTCTCTCAATTTTTTTTTCATACACCCAAGTGAGACTGACACATAATGCTATAATTTAACCAACAGGAAAAATACCTTAAGTTAAACAATTATCTTATGAAACCAATGAATTTACCTAACTATACTTTTGAGGTAATTATTACAAGGGAGCAATTCCTAACCTACATAATCCACTATACACTTAATTTCAGCTACTGCTGATACACAGTGGAAATTGCCTTCCTCTAAAACTCCTGACTGTCAGAAAAACTCAGCAGTATACCTTAACAACTCTATTTTTCAAGCAGTCAGCCTTTGCCAATAACATCCACTAACTTAGTTAGGTCACTAACTGCTTATACACATTAATAAGCAACAATATTTAGGTTTCTTGAAGTCTTCAAATTCACTATTCTAACTTGTAACTTTACATAATTATTGCATCACTCAGTAAAATGTTCTAGATAAATTCACATAGCATGACCAAGCTTTCTAGAAATTTCCAGAAACTCTATTTTCATAGCTACTCTCTATCACAATGAACACTTCCTAAAATGTTCAACAAGGTTGGTTCTTGCAATTTGAATTCTTCAGTTATTTTTTGTAACATAATTCACACTAAAGCAGATACCACCTTGCTACTAGTAATGTTTGTGCATATTTGCAATAACTCTTTGATGATGAATTTGTAACTTCTCCCCACAATGAGGATACATTACTAAGCAAATATGTGATAAGAATTAACACAATTCCCAACTTGAAGGAACACTAAATCCTCTAAATCCTATTTTCTGTAAAAGAAAATCTATTACATGCAAAAGGGAGAATTTCAAGACAGGTCTCGGGGGTCAATGGGTTTAATAAACTATTTTTGTGCTTCAAAGTTCAGCTGGAAACAGATCTAATCCACCTACTGCATCTCCTACAAAATAGTATACTGGATACTGGTTGTTTGGCTGACCATTCCGTGGTATATCACCTCCAGCTTCCCTCCATCGCTCTCTGAATCATTGTAGCTCTTGGTTTCGCTGTCCCCCAGTAATCAAGCTGAGAATACCATTGCCAATGAAACCTCCAGTAGTCCCTCCTATGGCCACACCAATGACTCCACCCCAAGGTCCCAGGAAGAAGGCACCTGCCCCCAAAATCGCACCAACTCCAAACCCAATCTGAGCGCCAGGATTGCTAAGGGCAAGGTACACCCAAGGATATATCACACCAAAAGAGAAAAGAACTATCCCTATGACCTCGCGGAGCATGTAGAGGAGGTGATTTATAAACTGATCGGTTGCGTCAGGATTCTGGAGGATGAGGCGCAATATTTGGACAACAGCTGGCACAGCAATTCCCACGTTGTCATCATCAGGATTTAACAAGCAGTTGGTTATGATCAAGAAGTTTCTAACATTAAGAATTGCTTCTTGGATCAATGGAGATTTTCCTTTAAGTGTCATTGTCTGAGAAAGTGTTCCAGGGGCCAAAACTTGTGGTCAACCGATTTGGCTGAAACTTGGCACAGAAGTTGGTTGCCATGAGATATTTCAAAAGCCAATCTGGCTCACTTCTCTGACTTTAAGTTCTAGAGTTTCAGGGGGGGTCTCATTTTTTGCCCCTTGAGTACAAAAAATCCAGCCTTTCAGGAGTCATTTTGAAAGTGCCATAAAACCCAACTGGTAAATTGTGCTGCCAAATGAATTTGACTATGAATATTTCTATAATAGAGCTTTTATTTCATGCATGTAACTTTGCCCTCAAGGTATTGGACAGAGAGGAGCCTGGGGCTAGAGTTTGGCCAAAATTAATGTCAAAATTACAACCCAAAATTGCCATTTTTCAAAAAATCAGTGTATCTACCTGCCTTCTTGCATAACATCCGTACCTATACCATTATTTACTTTATTGACCCAATTATCAAAATCACTTGAGAAAAATTTGGCTTATCACGGTTTGTTGAATTTTTGCCACAAACACTCCATGCCCCTCTAAGGCCCTGCAAAATGGAACTTTGAGCATAGTTAATGCCATAAATAAACCAAACTGTTGACATGAAGCCCTGATTCTGTATTTGGTAAGCGAAAATGAATTGTTAAAGCCAAACCAGTTTGATTGTTCAGAATTACCCCGACTCTTACCGTACAATTGCTCTTAAAAGGCCTTTCATTGGGCAAAAAAAGGGTGACTTTTTTCTTTGAAAACCTAGTACAGCCAACTTTGTCACAGCGAACTGGCTTTTCGTAAGCGATCACCCGGCATGATCACGTACGACTGTAAGAAAACCATTGCTCAAATATCACAAAAGTTCAGTTTCAAAAAGCGCTGACCAAGTGTGCTCGCAGATTATAACAGTTGACTAGCAAAAAAGGCTGTAATACGATCCATAGGTAAAATTGGATTGAATCATTGATGAAAGATGTTATGTACAAATTTTCAACAGTTCTAAGCGCCATTCGGTTTGAGACATTGTTGGCAGTTGTCTGTTTGCCTGAGTTTTTGCTTGTTAGGTAATAATTTTATGTAATCACGTTCAAATCACTTCGGTTTGAGCTTAATTTCTTATTTTTTTCCCGTAGATGACCACCTTTCAGCATAAGCGACCACTTTGTCCTGCATCAAGGGTGGTCGCTTACGAGAGTGTTGACTGTACCAGTCATAGGGCACAAATGACAATGTTCTTACCTTCATATAAAAATACTTGAGTTTTTCTCTTACTTATATTTTTCAGGTCATATTTCCATGTATTGCCGCAAGCATGGAAAGTCCCCATAATTTTCCAAGCCATATTTTAAAAGATAAAGTAAGCTTACAAAACGATCGTTAACCGATAATCTTTGTCTGACGTTTTTTATAGCCTAAATAGCTCTTGCAACAGTAATGAATCGTGACCAAACGTAGATACAGTGTACATATATACGAGCCACAATGATCAGCATCTAGGTGACCCACGATCTATCAGATTTCCCAAATACTTTAGCGCTCAGTAAGTGAAACCACAGAAGGGATCCACAGTTAGGAGAGCGGGATGATAAACTTTTTTCGTGTTGATGTTGATATGAAGCACCCCCATACAAAGTCATGAAACGCCTCGCGATGTGATTGTTATTGTATCATCTTGGACGTGAGAGTGCGATGAATGGACCAAGTCGACGAGTCGCGCAACCTTAACTGACTCATTGATTTTTAAGTAAGGCGGGTTTTAAGTCGAAGAATCTAAAATTATACCGCCTCTATTTACATACTAAAATAACTAATTATAAGTAATTAAAAAATGTATCCGAATAATTTTTGTTACCAAGAAAGTTATCCGTGAAACAAGACATTTTCTCGCTCAAAATGTCAATTTCATCGAAAAGCTTCGATGCAGCATGTTTGCAAAGATTTTTCAAGTTCACTTATCTTAGACGAAACTGGCAAATATAGGAAACTGGTAGAGTTTCACGCTCGAATTGTGATTGCGTGATAAGCGTCTGCACAGGTAAAGCTGAATGTAAACAAACAGAGCGAGCAGACGAAAAACAGCCTTCAACTTCAAGTTATTCTTATCGTTGTTTTTGGTTATAGAGATTGCTGCAATAAAATAACTGCGCTCTTACCTTTCAAAGTTAGAATTTTAGTCAACCCCTTTGCCCTTCCTGTGAACAATTTGTTGAATGTTTGTTTCTCTTCGCAAGAATCAAGTAAATTACCTCGTGAAATCTTCAATCAGTCATAAGAAAACAATTTGAGACGACAATATCGTAAAATATCGTGGTCTCTCTTCAATAGAAAAGAGTCCACTGGATCGCGATAAAAGCCATTTGTGCGCGTGTATGATCCCAAACAGATATTTTGAATCACCTGTACGTTTGGTATGACCAGGTCTTCCTCTTGTCCCGGACGCACCTGACCCCTTGTACTTTTGCTTCAACCATTCAGTCATATCATTCTCGCAGGATAATAAAGGAACCATTCCTGTTTCGTGCGGAGCCCATGCGGTGGCACCGCACTGATCACTTACCCCTCCAAAGGAACAAAGTGCCATCGCGAAATTACCCTTGAATTTCTTACACCGGATAAAACATACCCGCGAAACGGAAGAAGAACGTGACCTCGGTCCAGTCCCACTCTCTCCTATGTCCAAAATGGCGGGCCAGTTGATTTTGCATCATCTCAATGCCCTGGCCTCGTTTGGTTATTGTATTTAGCAACACAAGTTTTTTGTTTCACTATCCAGCTCTCCTAACTGTGCGTTCCTTCTTGACAGATGGTTTCATTTACTCCGCTCTAGAGGACTCTGAAATAACGGGTCACATCGACACTGCTATAAACTGCAGCTCGCATATCTCTACGTATATGTATGCATGGTCATGCTCCTTTACTGGTGGGTATTTACAAGAAATGTTCAGGCTATTAACAGACTTAGATTATCTGCTAACGAATGCTTTCGTTAAGCTAACTTTATCTTGTAATCATAATAAAAATCAGGCCTGACAAAATATAGAGACTTTCCATACTTGGAGCAACGGAGAAGAATTATGACTTGAAACTGAATATTAATCAATGAAAAATTCAAGCATCGTTTAGAAAGGTCGTTATATCGAGGTAAGGCCTTCATCATTTGTGGTATTTAATGGGTACTAGGTTTTCAAAGTACAAATTAACTCTTGTTTTGCTAAATCAGGGTATTTTTTGTGCTAATCAAAGGCCTTTAAGAGCAATTGTAAGGTAAGAATCGGAGTATTTCTAAACAATTAAACTGATTTGGCTTTAACAATTCATTTTCACTGACCAAATACAGAATCAGGGCTTCATGTCAACAATTTGGTTTGTTTATGGCATGAATTATGCTCAAAGTTCCATTTTGCATGACCTTATAGAGGCATGGAGTGTTTGTGACAAAAATTCAACAAACCGTGATAAGCCAAATTTTTCTCAAGTGATTTTGATAATTGGGTCAATAAAGTAAATAATGTTATAGGTACGGATGTTATGCAAGAAGGCAGGTAGATACACTGATTTTTTGAAAAATGGCAATTTTGGGTTGTAATTTTGACATTAATTTTGGCCAAACTCTAGCCCCAGGCTCCTCTCTGTCCAATACCTTGAGGGCAAAGTTACATGCATGAAATGAAAGCTCTATTATATTAATGTTCATAGTCAAATTCATTTGGCAGCACAATTTACCAGTTGGGTTTTATGGCACTTTCAAAATGACCCCTGAAAGGCTGGATTTTTTGTACTCAAGGGGCAAAAAATGAGACCCCCCCTGAAACTCTAGAACTTAAAGTCAGAGAAGTGAGCCAGATTGGCTTTTGAAATATCTCATGGCAACCAACTTCTGTGCCAAGTTTCAGCCAAATCGGTTGACCACAAGTTTTGGCCCCTGGAACACTTTCTCAGACAATGACACTTAAGCGTCTGAAATTTCTTGGCATCATGATAGACACCCTCCAGCAGACTGATAAGTGACGTGTATCCGGAAAAGTGACCGTGTTTGGGTTTTTCGGTACTGGTGGACAGTTTAATTTCCTCCTTTGCTAAGACGTCAGAAATGCTGTCCCTCAGAACTTGCTGATGAATGGGACAGAGGAAAAGATCCCTTTTGGTGCCACTTTTTGCTGCCTCTGAATTCTTGGTCGAGCAAGACGGATGACGGCAGATAACCTCAGAAGAAGTAAAGTTCGGATCGAACTGAAGGAGAGATATTTCTTCGCAAGCCTCGAGATCGTCAGACTTCCGCAGCGTCACTTTTGTTTTGAAGTTGTCCCCAAAAAGCTTTCTAGCATCACGAAGGCTAGATTTGCTCACTTTTGGCGCGGGTGACACAGGTCTGAGGTGATTTAGAAGTTCTTGTTGCCATTCTTTTACTATATTCGATAAGGTTTCGCCTGCTGCCGGTGATACAAGGGAATACTTTTTCAAGTTTAGATCATTAGTTTTGCTTCCAGCGGTCCCGAGTGACTTGCCATATCTTTTCTCTGCAATTTCATCAGACGGAGACGGCATATCTGGTCGCTGGAGTTTGCCCTTGTTTTCAGTCTGGACGTGGTGACTAATCGAATATGACTTATTTTTGTCTCGGTCAGAATATATATACAGGAATTTAGGGGAATCCCCGATAGGGATTGCCTTAGGAGAATTTCTCGCTCTTTTTTAAATAAGATATCAGATGAGAAATGAATTTCTCCTTTAGAGAAGAGCATGAGTTGGCAGATTTCAATTATTGTTCCCTTATGAAACCGAAAGATTACGCTTTCGAATCGAGAAGGAAGTAAAAAAATTCCGGTAAACGATTCCGGCATTGAGATAATATTCTGGGAGATATGTTTCAAACCCTTGACAACACTTAGCTCGCTTCCATTATCTGATGTTTGTTCACAAATATTCAGAAACATGACGCTCCATCACATTGAAACTGAAAAGGGGAAAACCCCTTGTTAGAAGTCGCGAGTTGTGTTTCCATGAAAACGCAATCAATTGTATCTCTTCGAGACGCCAACTGGAACAAAGAGAAAATTGTTTCTACTCGTATCTAGTTGCTCTTCCTGAAGTGTGGACGTCTTGTATTCTGCAGCATACACCTTTATTGATATCTGACGGGCTATACCAGCAACTAAACTAATCTCTACATCTGGTAACATGCTCGGCTTGTATAGGTACGGTTGAGGATCTAGAACGTTCCGCAACATTACAATAGATTCTATTCATATATTGATTCATGGATGACTCAGCATGACACAGCTATTTCTAGAACATTCTTGAAGGTCACACTACATCCTCTCTTCTTTACAAAGACTGGAGAACAATTAATTGAGGAAATCACGAGAAATCACATTGCCTATTGCAGTCTATTAAATGTCTCTAAGGTTATTTAAACAGAGCAAAGTCTTTAGACTTTGAGTTTGGCTTGACTTGTCTCTGTGATCTTCTTACGCCCTGAAATCGTGAGATGGTTGATTATACATGGGACCAGGGAGAGTAAGATTTCAGGGGGAGGTGGAGGTTTCGTTCGATTCTCGTATTTCATGTACGTGACATATTGTCGTCTCGCCTTATTTTAGACATTTATGCCTTGTTTTAGATGGTTTTAGACAGTTTGCGAGTAACTGTAGATGTTTTTGAGGTGGTTGTAGGTGGTTGTTGAAGTTTTCGAGATGGTTGTAGGTGGTTTTAGATCGTTCCATGTTTTAGTAATTGCCAGGCAAACACGTAGTTGTCCATTGCGCTTCTTCACATATACTGCACTGCTCACCCAGTCTGTTGGTTCATCAACATTCGCTATGTGGCCTTTCTGCTCCATTTCATGAAGTTTCTTCTTGAGATCGTCTCTCAGTGCGACAGGTACGGTTCTAGGCGCATCTTGTTTCGGTACTGCTCCTTCTGTCAGTTCAATCTTGTAATTTCCAATGTACCCTAGCCCAGTGAATACATGGTTGTGTTCTTGTAAAATATCATCCTTGGTCAACCCTTTCACGTCGGAAACTGAGTTGACGAGTAATTCTCTTTTAATAGACAGGAGTTCCAACTCTTCACATGTTTTTCTTGATAACAGTGAACTTGGAGCATCAACAATCACTAAGAACTTTGCTCTGGTTATTTTTCCTCCTATCTGGATGTCAAGGTAGACTTCACCCTTGGGAAACACACGTTTTCCATTGTACGCTTTCAAAATGCCACGACTTTTCTTCAAGTCTGGTCGGTTTAAAATCTTTACAAAATCTTCCATTCTCAAACAATTTGCCTCTGATCCACTATCAATCTGCATGGTCACCTCAATCCAACTACTTGTCTGTCCACTTCTTAGCTGAGGTTGAATCATGTATTTAGAACGGCTACTGTCAATGACTGAATACATGCAGTAAACTTCACCATCAGTGATTGCCGGTTCGGCTTCTTCAATTCGATGAATGCTCCTCGTAGGTTTCTTGGAAACGCTCTTCACAGGTTTCTGTGGTCTCCTTTGAGATTCTTGATCTCGACTTCTGCACATCTTAGCAAAATGGTTCTTCACGTTACACTTGCTGCATTTTTTTCCGTGAGCCAGACACTCGCGCAAATTGTGGTTCTTTCCACAATATTTACACTGTTTCACCGTTTCTACTCGTTGTGTAAAATCTGGTTTCTTTCCTCTATGCTTGACAGCGTGTACTAAAGTTTCTATTTCTCCATCAATCTTTTTCAGTTGATCGCTGGCTGTTTTTGCAGCTCTAATTATGTCTAAGGCTGTATTGAGAGTGAGAGCCTTCTCACGGAGTAGTCGTTTTCTGACTTCATGGCTTTTGATTACAATGACCAGTCTGTCTCGAATCAGTTCGTCACACAGAGCGCCATAAGCACAGGTTGACGCTAGCTTTCGCAGTCTGATCAGGTATTGATCGATGTTTTCATTTTCTTGGTTGGCACTGTTGAACAGGTAACGCTCAAAAATAATATTCCTCTGTGGTTCAAAATGCTGCATCAGGGCCTGCAAGAAACTAGATTAACCCTTTAATGCCCAAGATCTAAATGGTATTTCTCCTTACTGTCCACCATACAATTCTTATGATGCTAGTTCTGAGAATTTGGTACTGGATCAACTAGAAAAATCATCAAACTTATATATTTCTTTATTCTCATCATCTGTCTGATTGATATTGTATTAATTAAAGTTAAAGGGTTAAGGATTTTCCCTTTGAACTTCACCCAGCCTTCTTGATTTGAGAAAAGGATTTGCAATACCATTATTTTGACGTTTCTTTTGGGTTACTTTTTAGTTTTTTTTCTTTATCTGAGAGTCTACACATGGCCTAGGCACACTGCAAGGGTACATTTCTTTATACACCTTTTAAGCCTTTACACCCTAACATCAACACGTACATTCTCCATTCTGTTCTAAATATATTTCCCAAGGTGCTGACAAGGAGAATTTGTTTAACAATCAAGAGCTTCTGTAATTTGTAATCGTTTCCTTTATTTTTGTAGCGGCCGCCTTTCTGTGTGAAAGGGGACGCGAGAATGCAAAACTACGACTCATCAGTCCGACAAAGCAAACAGCATTTATTTAATCGAACATCCACGGTTTGCGAGGAATTACAGTCTGTATAACACGGTAACAAATCCAGAAATGGCTGTAAGAACGGTTCCAAAGACGGCTGTCAAAGACTGTGATGAACCGTAGTGAAAACCAAAGGGCTTCGGGTGAAGCTACAAAACACTGGCGATGTTGTCACGTTCTTCTTTTTAGCACGAGGAGCTAACCAAGGTCCCGTATATGAGCTAAGGTACGACGGGATATGTCACGCAATACGACTGAACGACTGAGAAGAGAAGACGTTACAATTTTCATTACCTTCATGTGTGATTCAGGGGTAATATTGTAAGGAGAAATAAGATACTAGTCACTCTTAAGGGTCAAAGGGTTCAAGAGCTTCTTCATTTGGTGATCATTTCCTTTATTCTTATTACCTTAATGTTTGATTCAGGGGTGATGTTGTAAGGAGAAATTAGATGCTTGGCCCCTCATAGTGGTCAAAGAATTAAGAAACTTTATTTAGGCGTCAAACACTTCAAGCACTCTTTTCACATACTAGGTGCGCTATAAATATATCAATTTTAAGTTGTAACTAAACACATATTTTGCATGTTCTGATATGGCAAAATGGTTGTACTGTAGTGGAGGTTTTTAAGTTAAACTGCAATGCTCCAGATATGATGTATTGATTTCTTATTGACTTATTTATTGACAATTCAGAACTAAGCTGACTTATCGATTGATTGGTTGCTGTAATGATTAGTTGGTGTATGGAGTGATTGATCAGTGGACCATTGGTTTGTGAACCAGAGGACACAATACATTGATATTCTCACATAAGTAACCAATATTGAAAAGCCATCAACCTCAAGAAAAAGTTTATGATCATATGTTTAGCTTTGAAATGACTTCACCTCCAGTCTCACATTTTCTAAAAGCAGCTGCAGGAGTTGAGAAAGGGGCTCAAAAACCAGGTAAGATTCAGATTTGATTACTTTCCTCATCTGTTCATGTAGCCTGTGGAGCAGTGTAATGCAGAAATATATTTTGGTTGCTGGGTGCATTTCAATCATGTTAATGCCCAAATATTTTCAGGCCCCTCCTTCTTTTTGCAATCTCTTTAATTACAGTTAACCCATGGAGATAACTCTCTTAATTGTTAGCTTAGTGCTAGTGTATGTCTGTTAGTGCAATGAAGGTGTTGCTAGTAATCAGATCCTTGTGATCTTGTGCAAAGATTGCTGGAGTCGCAACTGGGCAGACATGGCAACTCACTATGTAGAAATGTATGAACAAAAGTTGTTTTGACATCCAAAAAAAACGATTTTGGAGAGAGATCAATGCTATTTCACGTCAGTGTTATCATAAATGGATAAAGATAATGTTGATTTGAGGGAAGTGTAACCCATCCATTCAAGTTGTGTATAAAGTTGCACCTCCTTCAAATAAACTTCCTAACCCTAGTCTGACTCATTTCTATCAAAGGAGAATAGTGCCTTTAACCCTTTAACCCCTGAGAGTGACTGGCTTCTGACTTCTCCTCGCAATATCACCCCTGGATCAAATGTAAAGGTCATGAGATTATAAGAAATGATCACCAACTTACATAGCTCCCAAATGTCAAACAAATTCTTCTTGTCGGTGCCATAGTTTTTAAAAAGGGAAAAGTGTGGAGAGTTTGACACACCAAAGAGGTACAAAAATTAATTTAAAGGACCATTTTAATGTATTACATTAAATATCTCCTTGTAGGCCATGAAGTTGAGGGCACAGTAACCCTCAAGCACATTTACGAAATTGCCAAAATCAAGAAAGAGGACTCGTCGATGAAGAATGTGCCATTGAGAAGTGTATGTAGATCTGTCATTGCTTCAGCCAGGGGCATGGGCATTGAGGTTGTTCCTGGTAGAGATGCAGATACATAACACACACCCATCACTGAAACCTTATCGACTAGTCATGCAGTTGTTTGGGAAATATCTTGTGCAAAATGGGAAATATATCTTTGGATCATCTGAAGTACATTGCAAAAGAAACTACCAAAAGAGGAAATCTTGGTTTTTATCAGAATCATGCTTTTGCAGGTGTTCAGTTAGTGTAAGATGCAATAATAGTACTCATGCAAAGTGAAAAGGAAGGCAAAAGTAGGAATAAATAATCTCAGCTTTTGTCAATCCCCTTTTTTTGTCTCATTGTTTTGCATCAACCTGCATTTACCACTCATCCTTTTTACTGACTAATTGCCAGGAATGGGCTATTGAGGAAGTTGCAAAGGATAGGAAACAAATTTCATGTACATAGAAGAATTTATCTACCATAAGTACAGTATCCCAGTTTTAGCTTGAAATTGTTGGATTATAATGTTAGTATCTGAGCAACTGCACCCCACCCCTCCCCTAACCCAAAATTAACCCTAAATTGTTATCAGTTTTGTTGGGTTAGGGGAGGGGTGGGTGTGTTGTTGCTCATATACTGAAATTAATCCAGATTGATCATCAAACATGTATGTGAACAGGCCACAGGTTATTACCCATATAAGGAATTCAACTATTCCCCATGTAGGAGAGAGAGCTTGGGTTTGAGGTTGTCGAGAAATGCACACTTCTGTTCCAAAATGATAAGTTGCTGAAGTTTGATGCAAAGTGATCCTCCTAAAGAGAATGTCAGAATGAGACGAGTCGTCTCACCGATTTGAAGTTCACAACTCCAGATGGAACTTGGTTATTTAATAAAATTAATGTGGTATTTTTGTTTCTTTGCTTTTTACCACGATCGCCTTTGCCAGTGTAAAGTAGGAAAACTATGTTATAAAACTGTATGAAAGGACCGCACTGCGAGGATATCAGCCCAAAGTCCAGTCTTTCAGATATTTTTGCAGTACGGTTCAGAGCACCCTTGGTTAATAAGAGTTTAACCTCCTGACTCGAATCTGTCTTTCGACGCAGTAAATCTTTGCGTTTGTGACATCAAAAATATCAAATTTTTATTCGAGACGCAAAACAAATTAACCCAAAGCCAGAAAACCGGTCAAAATATTCATCAATACCATATTAATCAAAACTCTAGAGTATTCTCTACTTCGGACTACTCAACACATTCTAACAACTACAGCCTACTCGTCTTAAGAATACAAAGGCCTTTCTTTTAGCAGCACTTTTGATAATTTTTGGCGTAATAAGCTACAGTCCGGGTTTTCTTGTGTTGCTGTGTTATCGTTATGTTAAGATTTTTCTCTCCGCGCACCTCTTTTCTTTTTTTTCCCCCGGCTTTCCACCAAACTTCCTTTCTAGTTCCGCCCTTAAAATTATAAGGGATATGACACGATCGCTCCTGCGCGAGAAAAAGAGAACTACTAAATGGTCTTGAATGTGAATTTCAGGTCATTCAATGAGCAAATTTGCAAAAAAAAGAGCAATGTACCGTGGAATTGTAGAAAAGAACCAAGTGTGTGTGAAGACCAAGCCACTTAGTTCTGAAAAACGTTAATGTGGTCGACAGTGAATTTCCAAGTTGTTTATCGTGCGCTTGTATTTCCTTTAGAAACAGGTTGTTAAAATTAATGACGCAGTTTTGTTTAAAATAAATATACATGACAAAGTTGAGCATCCAGACTACGAAACATGCAAACATAACGAATTGGATTCTTGTTTACACAGCAGGAAAACTCGAATGGTTGATTCACTCCGTGTGACGAGAGTTTTAAAGTTGCTATTATCTTACAAACAGAAAAACGTGTGAACAATTTTGGGGCATAGGGTAAAATATGGACTGGACCATTTTTTGGACCATTTTATAGGGGGGAAGCACACCATTAGTATTCAGGGAGGGGTGGGATGCAGTCTACTAGTACTGAGGGAGGGGTGGAAGGCAGAGTGTTATTACTCAGGGAGGGGTGAGAGAAGGACTATTGCTAGGCAGGAAGAGGTGGGAGGTGGATGTAATAGTGAACACTACTTGTTAATAGAGCTTTTACTCGATCGTACAAATTATCTCCATCGGTTTTTCGACTGACTTTTTGGATGTTCTTCATTTTTGTCGTCATGCGAAAGCGAAACTGCCACGTAAACACTGGGACATAAAATAATCAGCAAACGATTTCGAAGAGGAATCCATATTCTCGTATCGTGGAAAAGCACTGCTTTACGGATGATATGGGAAAGATGGGAAAGCGCAAATATCGATTTTATCTGTTTCGCAAACAAAGGAGTTAATCACCCACACCGGAAATAGCGACTAGGCATTCCTCGCGACTCCCGTACGTTTGTTTTCCAATTTGCCTGGGCCGCTGCCAATCACTTCTTGTGTAAAAACCTACGTAACCTGCTAAGTGGAAGTACAGTGGCTACTGTTGCTTACCGATATTTTCCGTCGGCAAAACGTAGAAGTCAGTAAATGTGACCGATTCTGCCCGGAAAATTTTATTATCTGGAGCTTGGATATGCCAGGAGAGTTTCATTGACAGCTGGATTGACTGCACCCCGTGTTGTGAAACCATTATAAAGACATCGCGCTTTCATTCGCTTTTTTTGTCACATACTAAAGGGAAACGTGAGGCAACTGAAAGATGATTCATGCTAACCCGTCGGTATCACTTTGCACTGGCACAAGTCGACCTAACAGGCGCAACGCATATCTTAATAGTGGAGGATCGAAAACAGGAATGGAATTGGTGATATTTTCAATGACAATTATAGTCCAGGGTTTAAGTGCCAGTTTAGCATTCGCATTTCAAAAGATTAAAGAAACTATAGCGACGCTTGATCGCCGCTAGCTGGACCGTACGAATCTCACTGATCGACACAACAAATATCGCCCCAATTTCTTTCTATTGAACGCCTCCTTTATTAAATGTCGTATTTGACCGTGAAGCTAAAAATAATTGATTCACAAAATTAGGGACAAGAAATTAGCGATAGAAACACTCGAGGTAAATTAAACTTACATTGTTGCCGGATCTGGCGAGAGTTGACACAAAAAAGACCTGTCCTTCCTTCGATAAAAACGACAGACAATTTCATTCTATTAAACCACGAGTGCTTGCGAAATCGATCGAATTATTGAATTGCACAATAGATCCGTTCTGTTTGGAAATGCGATACCACTTACGGAACGCGTGACGAGGCACCTAGTGTGACTTTTACAGATTATTAATTAAACGATTACTAAATCAAAACAAGGGATAAACCCGTGCCTTAGGGGCACTTACAGAAACGCTACGGCCCAGCGCAAAATTTGGACATACAAATAATCAGTCGAAAAGCCGCTCAAAATAATTCGTATGATTCAATGAACACTCCATAAATCAGTAGTAGTTACCAGTATATCAACTTCCCACCCCTCCTTGCATACTAGTACTTCTTTCTCCACCAGTAACAGTCTGCCTACCATCCCTCCCTGAGAACTGAGAGACTGCATCCCACCCATCCCTAAGAAGTAATGTTCTGCCTCCCCCCCCTATAAAAAAATAGTCCATATTTTACCCTACGACCCTAGGCAGAGGGTAAAATATGGACTGGACTGTTTTTTGGACCATTTTTTTTGGGGGGGGGAGGCTGACCATTAGCACTTATGGGTCGGTGGGATGCAGTCTATCAGCATTCAGGGATGGTAGGCAGACTATTGTTACTAAGGGAGGGGTGGAGGACGAACTATCAGTACGCAGGGAGGGGTGGGAGGTTTATATATGAGTAACTACTACTAATTATGGAGTGTTCATTGAATCATACAAATTGTTTTGAGCGGTTTTTCGACCGACTATTAGTATGTCAAAATTTTTGTGCCGGGTCGTAGCGTTTATTTCATTTATGTCATGCGAATGCGAAACTGGCACTTAAACACTGGACTATAATTGTTATTGAAAATATCGCCATCTTCCACTGTTAAGTCATGCGTGTGCCTGTTTGGTCGACTTGTGCCAATGCTAAGTGATACCGACGGGTTAGCATGAATCATCTTCCAGTTGCCTCACGTTTCCCTTTTTGAATGTGACAAAAAAAGCGAAGTTAAGTGCGATGTCTTCATAATGGTTTCACAACATGGGTTGTAATTAATCCAGCTGTCAATGAAACTCTCCTGACATATCCAAGTTCCAGACAATAAAATTTTCCGGGCAGAATCGGTCACATTTACTGACTTCTACGTTTTGCGGACGGAAAATATCGGCAAGCAACAGTAGCCACCGTACTTCCACTTGGCAGGTTACGTAGATTTTTACACAAGAAGCGATTGGCAGCGGCCCGAGCAAATTGGAAAACAAACGTAAGGGAGTCGCGAGGAATGCATGGTCGCTATTTCCGGTGTTGGTGATTAACTCCTTTGTTTGCGAAACAGATGAAATCACAGGCGGCCCAAGCTCCAGCTGTGAGATGATCATCTTGCGCAATAACAGTCATGGCGGAATTATAAGAGTTTGTATGGGCATATTTACGACCGCTCTAAGGAATAAAAAATACGTCAAATTCTCAAAAAAAAAAACCTCACCTTACTTCCACAGTGTGTCGCTTGTTATCTGACCGCTTACTTTGATGAAAAGAGCCCATTTAAGCAAGTTGTTTATTTCGAGGTTCTCAACGTACATAAGAAAAGCCCAAGGCTGAACACTCCATTTCCGATCGAAACAATAGCCTCTTGATCGATTTCTTTTAAGGGGACCCGTGGTTCTAAAACAATTTATTGACGATAACTGACGGTCTGGTCCCCGGCAAAGCTCAGTTTGAAAAGGAGGTAGGGTTACCGAGCTGGTTTTCAACTGTCGTGTGTCAAGGTTGATGTGGCCGCGGGCTGTTAGAAACCTCTAAACTGGAAATTTTTGAAGCAAACTGCGACTTAGTGTCGGTTGCACGGGGAAGATTGAGTTTTTAGTGAATTGGAATGAAACTACAGTATATGTGCTTGGATTCTGCGTTGGATTTGTGGGCACCCGGTCATTTTGAGCTTGGATTTTTCGCTTCTCGGATCAGGCGTTCGGAAATGGAGTGTTCAGCCTTGGGCTTTTCTTATGAACGTTGAAAACCTCGAAATGGACAACTCGCTAATATGCGTTCTTTTCATCTAAGTAAGCGGTCATATAACAAGCGATACGCTGTGAAAGTAAGGTGAGGTATTTTTTTTGAGAATTTGACGTATTATTTTATACCTTAGAGCGATCGTAAATATTCCCATACAAACTCTAATAATTCCGCCATGACTGTTATTGCGCAAGATGATCATCTCACAGCTGGAGCTTGGGCCGCCTGTGATGAAATCGATATTTGCGCTTCCCATACTACAAGTACAGCAGTGCTTTTGCTCGATTCGAGAATATAGATTCCTCTTCGAAATAGTTCAGATAGTAAAAGTTTAAACGTTGAAATTGCAAAAGCGCTCGTGAATTCTACATGCTGCTAAGTTAAGGGCTAAGGACCGAAAATTTCGTGATCTCGTCTGATAAGATGAATGACAAAAGGAAGATAGATAAATTTAGTAATTATATACTGTATACACAAAGGGAAACGTGAAGCAACTGATGGTACACATCTCGACTCAAAAGGCACAGGCATAACTCAACTGTAGAGGATCTTAAACGCGATATTTTCAATAGAAATCAAAGTCCAGTGTTCATGTGGCAGTTTCGCTTTCGCAGGACGACAAAAATGAAGAACATTCAAAAAGTCAGTCGAAAAACCGATGAAGATAATCTATACGATCGAGTAAAAGCTCCATTAACAAGTAGTGTTTACTATTACATTCACCTCTAACCCCTCCCTGCCTAACAATAGTCCTTCTCTCACCCCTCCCTGAGTAATAACACTCTGCCTTCCACCCCTCCCTCAGTACTAGTAGACTGCATCCCACCCCTCCCTGAATACTAATGGTGTGCTTCCCCCCTATAAAATGGTCCAAAAAATGGTCCAAAAAATAGTCCAAAAAAAATAGTCCAAAAAAGGGTCCAAAAAAAGGTCCAGTCCATATTTTACCCTATGCCACAATTTTGGTGACCATTGATACAGCTTCCATGGAATCTTCAACAATTTGTGATTCACCTCCTC